TAAATCATCACAAGTCAATATGAACATTTTTTTCCTCACTAAACTAAACACCGAATGCTAGATGGGTTGACATATGGCCAATGAGGAATCTAACAACATATAATGACCGTTTAATTGGAAAAATTGATTGGAAGGAGTATTGAAATGTTACCATTGACGAATTTTCTTCTATCTACTAACACATAGGTGTTGATTATGATCAGATTCATGAGTGCCCCGTTCTTTTAAAACATATCACTCCCACAAATTAGGAAGCATATTGTTAACGTAGGATCATTTTCGACCCTCAAAAAAGTATAGGCATGGAAAAAGACCGAGTAAAGCTCAAGAAGATCAAGGTCCAAAGAAGGAATGGAAATCCAAAGCCCAATGGAAGTAGGAAGAGTATTTCCGAGCTTTATAGCTGATAGCTCACCAGCCTAGCTTGACTAAGTAGCAAAAAGCACTCTTTGACTGACAAAGGTACGTAGGCAAACTGACAGCTTTATAGCACGTGGCTTTAAGAACATGCCTACTTAAACACCAACCCAGGCTAAGTGGCAGTCACCATCAAAGACAGGAGCTTAGAACGGGACATAAAGGTTGTGGGATCATTGCTAGAAAGGAACACATTTGACTAGTCAAGGCTGTGCTTAGTGCTCAATAGCGTTGGCCTAGAAAACATGTAATCCCGATCGAACGACTACCACTTCATTGCCACATGTCGACTTATGAACGAAAGAATAGCCAACTCGCCAGTTTAGTAGGTATCTCATTTAATGCCATAATAGTAAAGTAGGTGAGTACGAAACTTTTTGGGCTTGCTGAAGGCCTTTATAAGAAGGTAAGTACCTCTATAACGGGTCGGACGAGTGAGTGAGAAAAAGGATAAGACTATAGCCGAGCTCCTGCTGTAATCTTTGAATTTATATATTATGAGCATCACAGTGGATGTACCCTAGTTTTGAGAGGTGAACCACTTAAATCTTGATTCTATTATTTCATAACTTTAAAATCTAGCTCATCAATGGGCTAATTGTTCTAATTTGCTAACCTATAAGTTTTGATCGTTAACACATATACTAAAGGGACGTTGTTGAGCCAATTTTCATTATGTTTCTCCCCTATTCCTGTATTCCTCAATTTACGTCTTCTCTCATTCCAAGTAATTAAACACGCTACGAAATTCCATAAAAGTAACGGGCCTCAAAACCAATTTGCTTCAGGACTTTGAGTCAACAATTTGAATGGGCAGGCCCAAAGGGAGGGAGTGTCCTCCGGGTCCAAAGTCCAAAAGGCGCGTCCTTCTAAGAGCTCTGCTGAAAGAAAAGAATTTAGAACTCGAAGACTGAGAGAGATGACGATAGACGACGAGAGCTCCGTCTACGTCGGTGGCCTTCCGTACGATGCCACCGAGGAAACCGTCCGCAGAGTCTTCGAGCTGTACGGAAACGTCATTGCGGTTAAGGTCAGATCCCTCCTCCTCCTCCCTCCATTGGCCGCCATTTTTTTTTACTTCGTAGGGTTCTTTAGCATTTGGGATTTTCTCCCCCTCATCTGCTTCTTCTTCTTCTTCATTTGCAGATTATCAACGACGCTTCGACGCGCGGAAAATGCTATGGCTTTGTCACTTTCAGGAATCCCCGGTCAGCGATTCTCGCCATCAATGAGATGGATGGGAGGGTAAGTAATTTTTGCTTTCTTCTTCCATTTGATTGAACATGTTTGTAATTAGGGTTTCTGTGATTGGTTTGTTGTCTTATACTATTGAGTGAAATTTTGGTGCTTTTTCTGTTGTGTTATTTGAATTAGACTGTTGATGGAAGAGTGATCAGAGTAAATGAAGTGAGGAGTAGAGGTAGAAGATTGAGTTTTGGGAGAGAGAGGGAGAGTTTCCGGTGGAATGCTGAGAGGGGGAGGAATTGGGATAGGGGTAGATACCATGAGAGGGATTTTGATCGGGAGAGTGACCGGTATAAGGATAGATACAGTGATCGGTCGAGAGAGCGTGACCGTGACAGGTCCCTTGAGGATGATGGTGAAGAGAGGGACAGACGGTATGAAAGGGGACACGATTATGATCATCTAAGGAACCATTTTTTGGATAGAGATCATGATCAGGACAGGGATGTGGAAGATAACCAGCAAGGACAGAGCAGGAACCGCGATCAGGGTTGGGAAAGAGATGGAGCTTTGGAGTCTGAACGAGATAGGGAGATGGACAAAACCAAAAGCCATGATAGCATCAGTGACAAGGATAGGGATGACCAGTCAAGGAGATGGAACGGGTAAGATGCCCTTCTTATTTCTAATTGTTGGTTTTCAGTACAGTATCACGTTATCAAATATGAGTTCAGTAGCAATCATGTTTCTTGGGAGATGATCATGCAAGTTCAATTAAACAGACTTTTATTGCTCCTTTAAGAACTGTACCTTTCTTCACTATGTTTTAGTTGCTTTCCTGCAGTTCAAGTACTGTTGACCGACAAAGTCGGGACCTCATATCTCATCCAAGTGATGATTACAATGTTCAGGCAAGTTCAGCCTTTTTAGCTTTTCTTGCTAAGAGAGTGCCATGCATTTGTAAGTTGTGTCATCTTAACTACAGAGTTTCTTTGCTTTCATATGTTCTGTTAAAAACAATAGGTAAAAGAACAGCTTGAGAGATCCATGCAAAGGTTTGAAGAAATAAAAAATGAGGTTTGTCTCCCCATAAGAATTTACCCTTATTTGTTCGATTATTCACAAACACCTAAGGCAGCATGCAGTAGTCTTTTAGATGTCAATACGCAAGAAGCATATTTTCTGGTTGTTCAGCGTACTTTCAAATGCATCAAATCTTGTACTGCCATTTAGGAGAGTAAGTTTTATTGCATGATGTCAGACTATTCAGATGGAGGAGAGCTTAGAGGAGAAAGAGAAACTTGTTTTGGATTTACAGAAGAAATCTAAGGTACCTTTTCTTATTGGTTAAAGGTCATTTTTTATCTCATGCAGTCTTTGACTTTAATCTGAATGTTATTTTACTGCAATTCTTTTGGTTTTACATGCTAAACTTGGTGCATGTCATACTGAGAATCTGTTTATGCAGAAATTGGAGGATGCCTTGATAAATGCAAAGAAGAACTCTTCACACCAGAAGTTGAAGCTAACCAAGGTATTTTCAATCTCTAGGATTTGTTGTTAGTAAACTCTGCTTGACAAATGGACATCAGGTGGAGCTAATGCATGTTGTTTAAATTATTTGCAGCTACATAAATCCTTTATGCAAGTAAAAGATTACACTGAAAGACTTAAAATCTGTGAACACGAACTTCAGGTTGGTGTTTTTGTTCCTCTGAAACTTGTACAGTTGTAATTTTGTAAAGGAAAACAATGCTGATGCATTTCCTTTTTATTACTGCATATAAACACGTAAAGAAATGAACCATTTGAAAAATTTGCAAATGAGAAAGAACGGTTTTCTTCATCCTTGAATTGAAGTCAAATTAGTTTGCATTTCTGCCATAATAAAGTTATCCAATTTCATTGGAGGTGGCACATTAACGCTTTTGTCAAATCAAACCCCTAAGTTTGGTCTTCGTAAGATCTTCATACCCTCGTTTTCCCTCAAAAGTCTATTCTAGCATATTAGATTGTGGTGGGGTAAAACTTTTTACATTCTGCACTGTTAGATTGTGGTGGGGTAAATGTTGCGAGAGAAATTAACATTAAACCATTTTGCTTGCAGTCGCTCGTCGATACAGAATTATTGGAACATGGTAGTGATGATGTTGGCTTAGGGGATGAAATCTTGACAATTGGTGATGCATGATGTACATCGTGTTGAAATCTGGTAGAAGAGTAACATGTAACAAAGTATATTTATTGCCCCCTTTTTTGGGTGGGAGATTATGAAGCATCTGTAGATATTTACTTGAAAGTAAGTAGAGATTCAGCTGATTGTATCTGAGACGTATATCCTACATCATGTTTCCCGATTAAGCTGGTGGTTTGTCTCGTGTTGGTACAACACTGTTGTCTTGTGATATGCATTTTCACTTTGACAGTTTATTAACTCATTGCTTCTTCATTCCTAAGAAGTAGAATTCTTTTGGGTTAGAATTGCATGTGTGTAATTCAGGACAGGGTCTTGTCTGCTGATATTTATCTAGCTCCACGAAAGCGGTTCGTTATCGAATTTTTGTTGGGGTGTCGAATATACATCTTTTATCGCCGAAGATGGAAAGATTGTGCAAATGGTAAAATGTAGTAACCTTCTTCCTCAGAACTGCATAAAGCAAAGGAACAGAAAGAAAAAGGGTGAGGCATAAAGTGGCTGTTGTGTGTTTTTGTGAATGCCTTTGAGAGATCATCAGGGTGGAAAGAAGTCTGAGTTAGGCAGTAAAACACGCACGCACGCGCACTTTCGGTTTGTTCCTCTTTTTAGTTTCTTTCTGGGTAACAACACCACAACACATGGTTTAAGTGAGTGCAACCAACAAGTTTCCTACATGGCCCATATATTTTTTATTGCGTTACGTTTTGAAGCCCAAGTATTTTTAAAATGTGCGAATCTGTCATTCACAGTTAAATTTGTCGATTTTTCTATCAGTAAAACTGTAAAAGTGAGAAAAAAATGTGACCATATAATGATTGGGGGGAAATTTTTTTTAAAATTATGTGGAGAACGAACAAAAACGAGATGCGTCGGCGAGTACACAGTCGTAATCGTTGTCGTCTTGCTTGCTGGAACAGTGACAGTCGTTGTCCGATGCTGCCACGTGTCAGGCGAGTTTAGTCGAAGAAGGTGAGGTGACGAAATATACCTTTGCCGATGAAGATATAATTAAGAGGTATAACAAGTTCATATCACTAAATTTTTAAAATTATTAATTCCAGGACCTCCTTGTCCTCTATAATTCATGTGTACGAATATTAAAAAAATTGAATGGAGATAGATGTGAATTATTCCTTCAAATAGAATCCAATCTACAAAAGAAAAAGGAAAAGGGGAAAATAAAACACTCAGTTTTCCCGTTCTTTTTATCCCTTTCTAATGTCTAACTTGAGAGATTTCTTGTGTGTTCAAAACATAGGGTTGTGATTTACATATCATTATACAAATAAACCTGTAATAACATGTAATATATGATTCCATGTTCCGACACATTGAAAAACTTCTCCTCTAATCCTAACCCGATGGGCACATTTCACATCATAAATAATGGACAAATATTAGATTAAACATGATTAGCCCATAGAACATACATATGGGTAGCTCTAATCTTTCTCCTATTTATCCTATGAAAATTAATCATCAAAAGGTCAGAACTTGAGCGTGATCTGACTTCCGTTACTGTCCCCGCCGTCTTCCGATCTCCTCGCAGCCAACCCTCCTCCGTTTCTCTGATCTCCGCCGTTCATGTGAACATGATCACCGCTCTCAGTACCCTTCCAGCTGCTGCTATCCGACTTGCCTTCTTCGATACTCCCTGACCTGTCCCCGGCTCCTCGGCCATCAGACTCGGGGGAGCTCTGGGTGTGGGAAGCGGTCGACGTCCTGTACACGTGGAGCTGGTGTTGGAGAGTGTGGTGGTGCAGCTGCTGCTGCGTGGCGTAGAAATCTTGTGGCGTTGGGGTGGCGCAATAGTGCGTTGGTGCATGGGAGCCCGGGTGCGGGCTGTAAAGAGCCGTGGGACCGTTGTGGGCTGCAGTGGCGTACTCCTGCGACACCCAGATGCCGCCTAGGACTACCAGCTGTGGCGCTGGTCCTCCGCCTGCTTGGGGGCTTGGGCTTGGTCGTCTCGTGTGGAGCCTGTACTTCTGTAATTTTCACAATAATATAACAAAATTAACAATTAAGAAAGAGAAAAGAGAAAAAAAAAAAAAAAAAGGATATGTTTAAAATATGGGTATTTTGCGGATTTCTTTAGTTCACAGTCGATTTCTCCTTAATTAAAACTTTTATTTAAATTAAGTTTTCTTGCTGAGCTATTATAAATGGCCAATTTCCCTCTATAGTCATGTTTATGCGCTTCCCATCTAATTTTTATTCAGAAAAGTCACCATTTTTTTTAAGAAAAACAAACATCATCATTAAGTGTTATTTTTTCTTCTAATTATAATAATTTGTTACTTTTTATTTCTTGAGATTTATAACAAAAAGTTATATGAAATGTCATAAAATATGACTGAAGGGGGGAAACTGGTTGTTTGTAATAGTTCATAGCAAAATTTGCCTAAATAAAATAAAAAAATCAACGACGTAATACAAGTTCAGGAAAACAATCGACAATATACTTGTAAATAGGACAAAGGGAGCAAAGGGTAGGCATAGGTTTTTCGTGCCTGCATCTTTGCCTGCATGGATCAGAAAAAGAGCAAGCCATGGACCCATATATATTGTACCTGCAAATGGCTTTTAACTTCATCATTGGTCAAACCGTCAACCTTCATCAGCTCTCTGATCTGTTTCGGGGTCGCCACTGCAAATTTGACCATAACAAACAAAACATATGTAAATAAGATTGAAATTGACCAGAAATCACAACAAATAGTAATAGCAATAAAAAACAAGCAAAAATAATCATCGTAACAAATAAATAACGATTGAGAGCTATTAATTAGGAGGTAGCTAGGGTTAGGTTACCTTGAGAACCACCAAGCATTTGAAGGGCATTGACGAATCTGCGGTGTAAGTCCGGAGACCAACACCTCCTTGCCTTTCTATGGGTTTGAGCGGCGGCGGCGGCTGTAGTTGTTTGTCCATTTTGTCCCTCCGAGTTATTACCTTGTTCATTACAGTTCCCAGCAGCTGATGATGAATTATTATTTCCATTCTCATGATGGTCCTCCAAGATAATCTCTGCCTTGTTCTCCGGAGAGGCAAGAGCTAGTTCCGGAAGAGGCCGCAAAGTAGGGCTGCGGTCTTTGGAAAACGGAAGGAATGCTCCTCCACCGTAGGACCTAGGTTGCTTGGTGTCTAACCCTAGCTTGGGGCTGACGCTGAAGCCGATATCGGCTTCTTTCGGGCCAGATGTTATAGTTGATTGAGGTTTGGACGTTGCACTAGGATTATGATCAGTTGCTTGACTCCAGAGTTGGGCGGAGGTCATCCAGTTTGCCTTATCAGAAGTAGGGTTGGTGGGTTTTTCTGAGCCTTCAGAGGTTGAATGTTTAAGGGGTATGAATTCTTCAAGCACTGGCCTGGTTTGGCCTTGGATATTGTTTGTTCTGTACGCCTGTAGCTGCTGCCTTGAAGCCTCCACAGCTTTAAAAAGAAAAAGAAAATTATTATTTTCCGAATTGTGGTTGCTTTAGTTCTTTAGAAAATATGTTGGATATTCATATGTATGTGAGTGGCTACTTTGAGATAGCTCTCCCTTCTATAAATAAAAGGGATAAAGAAAAAGGGTCGGGAATGAAAGCTGGACCTAGTAAATTAATTAAAATTTGAAGGAAGTTAGAAGAACATGAATCTTGAGACCTAGTACGATGGTGGAAAGCTATCTAGGTGCATGCATACCAGTGGTGAGGAGTTGCATGGAAAGAGGGAGTTCGCGCTTGAAAGCGTCGATCTTGAGACGTTCTTCTTCGAGGCGGGAGAGGAATTCTTCAAGCTTCTGAGTCTGAGGCTGGTCGTGGAGGTGAGACGCCTGCAGATCCGCAAAGGATTTGAGGAGCATGGAGTAACTGATCAGCTCTGAAGGCGACGATGCCATTTGACTTAAATATTGTAACTTTCTCAGAAAACTCACTACTGTTTTTATAAGAAAATGTCGATGCTCAAGCAAAAACAAGAACAGGGTTATGAGGGAACAAACAAGAGCAAAAGAAGGTCTTTGGCTCTTTCTAGGAAACTCTAGATAGGATGGAGAAGTTTTTCAAAACAAGGTTAGAGAGACAGAGATATATATATATAGAGATAAAGTGAGGGGGTGTTGGTTTCTGAAAACAAGGAGGATCGAGGTGGGATCGTCTTCTTTATAGGGTGAGTTCAAGGGAATAAAGTGCTTTTTGCTGGAAGAGATTTAAGAGAGACAAGAGAGAGAGAGGAAGAGAAAATAAAGCAAAGAGGGGATAAAGAGGGATGGTAACTTCTTGCAAAGAACAAAGGCAAATGAACAAAAGCTAAAAATGAGTATGCTCTCTCTCTACTGGTCTTTGGATGGAGAGATTTTTCAGTGTGATGGTCACACGTGGTGGTACACCACGTGTTTCTATATAAATGGTGGGTTATATGTGTTAAAAGGTTAATAACTTAAAAATTAAAATTTTCCACCACTTACATAAAAACACATAATGTATCATCCGTGTTCTTGTCACAACTAAAAATTCCTCCTTTGGCTGTGGGTGTTGGAGAAGGAATCAAGGTGTCTAACAGTAGAGGGTCATGTGCTAAGAGCCTTTGCTTGGACTTGATACTCTCCCTCTCTCTCTCTCTCTAAGTCTGTCCGTCTAGACTGTACGATTTCAAATTCACCAAAATAAAAGTTGATTCTTCTTACTACTACTGCTCTAACTTTTTTTTCTTCTCCCTTTCTCTTTTTAGTAATTATTTCCCTTACTTTTCTTTGGTCCTTGGAATCGTACTCTGCTATGAACTTCTTATTCTCTACTCAACCCAAATTAAGATATATGTATTAATATTCAAGCTATCCTATAAAAATTAGTTCTTGTTTCCATTCATGTCCTCTACTTCACCTAGTTTTGTTTTAGTCTAACATATGTGCATACACACATTGCCCGTGATATTTGACATGATGACCATGGAATGGAATGGTTCAAAACTAGGTACTGCAAATTGAAGAATTGCCTTACAGTAATTAGGATTTACAAAATTAAAATCCGTTGAATCCTCAAATTCTAATGACTACACACAATTAGAACGTGAACATTCAACCTAAAATCAATAAATAACTTGAGAGAGGTCAAAATATTTGAACTAGTAAGGCAACAAATTTATTTTCAATATGGGACAACTCTTAAAATACACAAACAGAATTGACAAAATCAACCTCTTAAATAAATCAACCTTAAACAGATCAACCACTATTTGGAGAAAGTTTATCTTATACACCGTTGTTAGAAATGTGATGAAAACACATATAGTTAGCAAACGTTAAATAAAATAACCTATCAAATCCACAAATTAAAGGGTCAAAGAGAATGTAGGATATATTCCATGGTTGTGATGTACGTGTATCACATCTAAAGTCTAGCCAGGGAAAAGCTCTCACACCATACCAAAGTCCAAAGCAGCAGCAGATTGTAGATATTGGACACGTGTACGGCCAAGTAGTACGTATTCGAGACAGAGGGTACCCTTACCAAAGTATTCTATCATTTACATATAATTCTATGTATTCATGATTCCATGATGATTAAATATTAAAAAAAAAAACACCCTTGGGAGAGGAGCTAGCATATACTATATATCATCCACATCCATGATCCATTATATTAATTTTTTACCAACGAAATGGAATATGAGCTAGAAAGAATCGAAAGAGGAAGAAAAAGAGGACATATTCAAACTGGATAATTAGCATCAATATTCCAAGCACCATGCTGCAATTGCATGAAACCTTCTTTTTGGTTTCAAAAGTTGCATAAGTGCTGTGCAATTGAGTGTATTCAGAGATAGGAAGGGGAATATCTAATAAAAAGATGAAACATTCATGTTAAAAGAACATAATATTTTGCCTCTAAGGAAAAGGAATATCTTCGTTCCAATTCTACGACTCTAAATTGAGGGAACAAAACCCGCAAAGCTTAAAGGGAATAGGAAAACCATTACCACCCCAAAAAAGAATAATAAAGGAGCCTAAGAGATGGGAATCTTCTTCTGCTACTCACTTTAATGAAGTGGGTTGGAAGGTAAGAAGATTCTTTATTAAAATTAGGGGAATTTTCTTAGGGTTCTGAACCTCCATAACAATTAATCTCGATTCACCTTTGAATGAAATGAATTTATATATTTGAAATATATTTGTACCAAAAGAAATATATTTGAGGGTACATTTTTGTTCACTATCCTCAAGTGGGTAGTGCTCACACCACCCTATTTGTTACTATGTGATGAGTTCAAATTTTGAAATTTGTGTTTATCCGCTACACAAACAGGACGGTAAGCAAAAATATTCCTTATGTTTGAGGGCTGTAGCAAAAAAATCAAACAGTTTGTGGATAAGATCTAGAAGTACCCACTTCGATATATAGCTTGTTAGTTTGACACAGGCAATTACATGAATGGACATGTAATGACTCAGATTACCTAGCTAGTTATCTTAATACTCAATTAGAGAAATTCTACAGTACTTCATAGAGTATTGTATCCTCACCATAATGTGTATTATATTTTAATCCTTAAATAAGCGAGGATGATCGAAAAATTGTCGATCACTCAACTGCTGAATGGATTACAACTTTTGAAAAGGGAATTTAACTTTTTAAGTAGGAGTGGAAAACGGAGAGATACCACTAAACCCTCAAGATTAATGCATAATACAAAGAGTTAAAGATATTCACCATGATGCATACCAATAAAGAATTACATACTGATTGAGTCTCTCCACCTCTCAGGTCACAACAAGCTTTTAGTATTGATACTGCAGTATAATGCATGCGCTTTCTAGGCTTTCTTCAATCCATCATATGAACTTTGTACACTATTTAATTAGCTTTTTGTTATAAATAATATGGTTGCTGCATGGCTTGGCATGCAACTAAAAAAATGAAAAACGGTCGGTCCAAATGCAGGTCCATGAATTATCAGGGAAAGACCTAAGCTAGCAGTAAGAGAGACAGATACCTTTTCTACTAGAAAATGATGTCGCAGAGAGAGGGAGAGGACTTAATAGCATTGCATCGAATTCTCTTTTATCTGTTCCAAAGAGAAAGATAGAAAGAGAGGTGCAAATAATGATGGTTGGTCGCTTTCTGAAATCAGTCTTCTCGTACAAGCCTCCAACCCTAACCTTTTCTGCAGATTCTCTCTCTGTCTCTCTCTTAATTTCTTTGTTTTGTTTTTGTTTAGGGTTTTCCAAAGGAAAGCAAAGCAAAGCAAAGGAAAAGAAGGAAAACAAAAGTAAAGAAAGAGATTCTCCTGGTGACAACTGTCATGATATTCCCCCATATCGTCCCCTCTGAATATCCCTTTTGTCTGGCGCAAAAATAAAGGAATATTCATTCTCTTTTACTTTCCCGTTTTACGATTAAAATTGCATTGCCTTCGAAGAATAAGTTAGAAATTTCTTTTAGCGGGGCAATCTAAAAATTGATTAAAAAAATCTTACTATAGTATGACTTATCACTAATATGAAAATAGAAATGAATTCAAATAATAATATATTACAATTCTATTGTTACAAAAATTTCAGTATAGTAGTGAAAAGTAGCAAAATGATAAAAAAAATATCAATACATAATTACGCAAGAGTGAGGTTTTTCGGTTTGAATTATAAAACAATAACACTTTTACTCATATAATATTTGATATGGAGTATACATAGTATGAAAGTATGTTGGATACTAAGTACATATATTTTCTTCAAAAATAACGTGTGTGTATTATATAATTATAATTTACAACTTAAAAAACAAATCACTTGATTGAGGACATATGCTCTGAGTGAGCCTTTATTGGCTTCGTCCTTGATTGCCTTCAAATTAGAAGAATTAAAATTGTGTTATGAACAGAAACCGAGGTGGGAAGGCTCTGCCCCAATTGGCCCTTTGCTGAAATCCATGTAATGCTTTAGGCTTTCGTAGTCCTGTTGTAAGTTCTCTGCGTACCCTACAGGCTACAGCAACTTGCAGCTTAAAATTGATTGATATTTTGGGTTGAAGTTATATTAATGTGACCATCTATCAAACGAGTGGTTCATCTTTTAAGCATATAATAATATATAATTAACATCATTAAAATTATATTTCATTACAAGAAAGAATTCTCTCTTTCAAACAGTCCCTTAATTATATGGTTAGAAAGGTGCGGGCCGGGGCAACGTTTTCCCTATGCATGCATGCATGCCCCTAATTCAATTATAGAAGAAAATTTTCAGTGTGCTGAAAACACGGTTTGTACATCAAATATCATAATATAAGTGGTTAGATACTTTAATAAAAAAATTTCAATCATTTGTATTATGACACTTGATATACCAAGTCGTATTTCCGAAACATTGAAAAATTTCTCCAACTATAGATAATATATGGTTGCCACCGGTTTTTTAATGGGTTTCACATGGGCAAAAAGGTGTGATACCACAAATAGCCTATCTTATATTTTTCGCTAGCCTTTGGAAATAAACTTTACAGTGAAAAAACAAAGCCATAGTTAGTAGCTAGTTAAGGACCACTATTTTTTAACAGAAATCCCCACCAACTCCAAGGCTAAACTTTCCCTATGCTCTATGCCATGCATACTTAAAAGCGCTCTCTCAGATGCTGGATGATAATTCATGTTAAAAAGGTAAATGTTCAAAAAGGTGTTTCTTTGATTCCATTCGTAATTAACTTTTAAATCATCTATGCCAGGAAATGTCATACTACATACCATATTGAACATGACATAATGCTTGTTTAGATAACATATTCAAAGAAGGAATACGAATTATTATACCAGCTAGTTAGGCCTTTCATAATGATGGGACAATCTGAGTTTGATTCTAATTTATGATAAATTATCTAAATACCTATCTGAAAGGTGGTATATATATGTCCTATATACGTATATACACACACAGCAAATTATTATACCAGCTAGTTGTAGATATAAAGTCCACCTGATTTAGTATATGCTTTAAAATGCGCCACAAGGAGTCTTCAAGATCAGTACCAGTCTTCAGTATAGTAGCTTTGAATAGGAATACGACATTGTCAGATTCTATTCTATTCTATATCCACTAATTGATTATGATCTAAATTTACTTTCAGCGGGAACTACTGATTATACACGTGTGTGTGTGTCGTCTGAGGCGGATAGGTGGTACCACTTTTTTTTATATAATTTTTGACATATGTTTTTGTGGTCCTCTTTGAAATGTATTTCAACGATCCGAACCGTTATCTTTTAGGTCTTCTCTCAAAGTCATGTCCACCAAAAATCACCCTAATGTGAATCCGAACCCATATAACCATTGGATTAGGGTTTAGGGTTTCTTTGTAGAACCTCTTCGTCGATTTTCCTTGGTATAAATGAATGTTTTAATGGTTTTAAGTTTGTCTAATTTTTTACAAAGATCATCTATGAATGATATTCCAAAAGAAGATGATTTGGACAATTAAAATACAATACAGAATGGGCCCACAAAAACATGTTTTAAAAATTGTATAAAAAAAAGTGGTGTAATGTATCCGGCCTATATATATATATATATATATATATATATATACATTTATAATGTCAAGGTTGCTGCGACTGGTTTCAAATTAAAGGCCGAAAATATAACAAAAGGGAATATTGAGAAGCTTTAAGAAGCATTATATGAAATATTCTTATTTCCTATAATTAACTTTGCGGAAAGGCAAATGAAAGCTACATTTACGGGCTGTAAGTTTGTCAATGAGAATCATCAACTAAAAATTGTTGATGAGAAAGACGATTTGTTCTACTAAATTCCCTAATTCACTTCAGATTTATGGATTCCACGCTTTGGCATCAGAATTTCATGTTTTATTGATGATTAATATTGCAATCTAGCTGTTGAGAAGATCATTTGAATTATATTTGGATATATACTTATCTTCAACAAAAGGTTGTGCCCTCTCTCAATCTGTTTTTATAGGGTACTGCTATCCATGCATACATTTTTGCCTCTCACACAACTCTCTCAATTTTAGGCCGTTGGATTGAATGAGTTGAAGAAGGTCAATGGATAAAAATAACAAGAATGAGCGAAAAGGTAAAAAGAGGTGTGTGAATAGAACTACCCTTTTTTATTGTAAACTGAGAAAGTTAAGTTCTCGTTGACCACGGCCTACAGGAACCAGGCTATCTACCGCTTTTAACCCTGTTTGCATAGCTTCAAGAACGAGAACAAATTTTTTCCTTAGTCCTTAAAAAGCAAACAGATATAGAAAAGAAGAGAGAAGAAGAGAGTGGCGGACGTAAGCGTAGACATTAGCTAGAGTGGATGTTCTTTTTTTTATGCACTTGAGTTTGAATCCGCATTCTTTCACTTTAGATTAGTTTAAAATAAAATATTTTCTTGTATAAAAATTACAACAACAAAAAAAGTATTTAATTTGCAAATTAATTATACTTTTCCAAGCCTTCTTGAGAATTTCCTAGCTAGAAATTAAAACCATCTTGGGATTTAATTGGTCAAAAATGAAATTCTGATTTTTCTTTCTGGAAGACTGGCACTTATCTTTTATTGGAATTTGATGGAATTGGAGTTTTGACCAAAAACATTAAGAACTGAGTGCACATAGAATCTGAATAAGCAAGAGAGTGGAGTATGGAATTAGAATCACTTTGATCGGCCTCTTATGAAAAGATATGAACTACTTAATTAATAATACTCATAAGAAGGCACAGTTAGAGTGTTTATGAAGAAACGAATTCGAACAAATATCTTAAATATATATTATGTTGTTGACCTATTATTGTCTTAATCAACAACATGCCCTTTAACAAGAGGGATCCTCATTTAAAAAAAAAAAAAAAAAAATGGGGTACCCTCTTGACCGTTGGAATGGCTTTAATGAAATTGTGTGGTTGAGATTAAATCACAGGTCAAACAATATCATTAAAATCAAATCCAACGGTTAAAAGGGTGTCCCCATTTTTTTAGAAAAATGGGGATCCCTCTTGTTAAAGGATTCCTAATCAACAAAAAGTATTCAACAGATTTTTTTTCAGTTGTTGGGAACACGGTCTGGTACACTTAGTGTTATAATATAAGTGGTTAGACATATCTTTTTCTAAGTCCCCAACTACTTGTACTATAATACTTAGTATACTGGGCCATGTTTCCAAACACAACAAAAATATTCTCCAATCAAGTCTTCTTCTTAGAGAGAGAAAAAAAAAAAAACAAAAGTCTTCATCATGTAGGTACATGCATCACGACAAGTCGTAAAATATCTAGTTTATGATAAACTTTATACATCTAACATGATCCACCACCAACATTATTGATATTGTCCCAACATCATCGATATAATCTCTTTCTTACTTTGGTCGGTTTCATTGTAAGTTAATTGATCGCTTCAGTCTTTCTTGATGTGCTATGTTGTATTTCGTTTCCAAGAAAATAACATTCTCTAAATCACCTCTCTAATAGAGGTAAGGCTCATCAATACATGCGGGTCACATATCTGTTAGAGAGATGGTATAAATATGGTACGAAAAAAAAATAATAATAAGAGTAGCATTTTTGAAGAAAATCATGGTTTTTTATTGTTTCTTTATTAAGTACTTTTAAACTTTAGTAGGGATTTTGGCATGGAAAAAAAATATGAAAGGGCAAAAGGATAAAATGAATGTGAGGAAATTATTTTTTCTTATCGTATATATACATAAACACATATACGTATTGTAACGTCTAGCCCAAGGCCCCAATACAACAAAACAAGAGTTAACCCTTAGTTCTATGGACCGATGGATCTTCGTGCTTGTAGCCCAGGTTTCAATCTGAGGCCCAAATTGCAACTTCTGACCCAAACAAAATTTATATTGACGACAATACCCTTCCTGCTTTCGGTGGCATTAACGGCCAACCATATCCTGCTCCCTTGCTTCCTCTGCTTCAAGCTTTGGCTATGGCTTCTCTCTTCCCAAACACCACAATTCCCAACCCAAACGTCTCTCTCCCCAAACACTCTCTTCCCACAGAACCCCACAAAATCTCACAAACCCAATTCACAAAACCCCCAGAAAATGCGAAAAGCAATCAAATTCTGTACCAATCGTACTTTAGTCGCATGTCATCTCTCTGCAAGCAAGGCCAAATTCAACAGGCTGTGGACTTGGTCACCGAAATGGAGCTCAAAAACCTCCGCATCGGGCCTGAAGTCTACGGCGAGCTCCTCCAGGGGTGCGTCTACGAGCGAGCTCTTCAAACGGGTAGGCAAATTCACGCTCAGATTGTCAAGAAAGGTGCCATCTTTGCGATGAATGAGTACATTGAAACCAAGTTAGTGATTTTCTACGCGAAATGCGATAATCCGGAGGCTTCAAATAGTTTGTTTAGGAGGGTGAGGTTCAAAAATGTGTTTTCTTGGGCTGCTGTTATTGGGTTGAATTGCAGGAAGGGTTTTCATCAAGAGGCTTTGCTAGGGTTTAGGGAAATGCAGGAAAATGGGTTGCTGCCGGACAATTTTGTGCTTCCGAATGTGTTGAAGGCTTGTGGTGGTTTGGAGTGGATTCGGATTGGGAAAGTGGTTCATGGGTTGGTGGTGAAGTTGGGTTGTGGTGGGTGTGTGTTTGTTGCTAGTAGTCTTGTGGATATGTATGGAAAATGTGGGGAGGTGGAGGATGCAAGAAAGGTGTTTGATGGTATGCCCGAAAGAAATGCAGTCGCTTGGAATTCGATGATTGTGGGTTATGTACAAAACGGTTTGAATGAGGAAGCTATTGAGGTGTTTTATGAGATGAGGGAGGAAGGAGTTGAGCCCACTCAAGTTACTATATCGAGCTTTCTTTCTGCTTCGGCTAATTTAGGCGCATTACAAGACGGTAAGCAAGGTCATGCAATTGCCGTGATATGTGGAATAGAAATGACGACCAATTTGGGGAGTTCTCTTATAAACTTTTATTCCAAGGTTGGTTTGATTGAGGATGCTGAATCGGTTTTTAGTAGGATGCTTGAGAAAGATGTGGTCACATGGAATTTGCTCATATCTGGATATGTGCAAATTGGGGAAGTTGACAAAGCACTGAATATGTGCCGTTTAATGAGACTGGAAAACTTGAGGTTTGACTCTGTATGTCTTGCAACCTTAATGTCTGCTTTTGCAGATACGCGTAATTTGAAGTTGGGTAAGGAAGGACATTGCTATTGTGTAAGGAACAACCTTGAATCCGACGTGGTTGTTGTGAGTAGCATTGTAGACATGTATGCCAAATGTGAGAAAATCGGTTGTGCAAGACGAGTTTTCAACTCTTCGATAATGAAAGATCTTATTCTGTGGAACACAATGCTGGCTGCTTTTGCAGAATTGGGTCACAGTGGTGAGGGCTTAAATTTGTTCTATCAGATGCAGCTAGAAAGCGTGCCGCCAAATGTGATATCATGGAACTCTCTGATTTTAGGGTTTCTGAATAGTGGCCAGGTTAATGAGGCTAAAGATATGTTTTTGCAAATGCAGTCCCTTGGAGTCCAACCTAACCTGGTCACTTGGACTACCCTGATCTCGGGCCTGGCTAGGAGTGGTTTTGGCTACGAAGCGATTCTAACATTCCAGCGGATGCAAGAAGCTGGAGTTAAACCGAATGTTGTGAGCATTATTGGTGTACTCTTGGCTTGCATAAACTTGGCATCATTACAGATTGGAAGAGCCTTACATGGATATTTGATACGGCATTCACTCTACTTGTCAATTCCAATCGCGACCTCTTTGGTAAATATGTACGCTAAATGTGGCAATAGAGATCAAGCGAAGAGGGTGTTTGATATGATTCCTGACAAGGAGTTACCAATCTACAATGCAATGATTTCCGGTTTTGCATTACACGGTCAAGCTGTGGAAGCTCTTGCACTATATCGGTGCTTAAAAGAAGAAGGTTTGAAACCTGACAACATAACCTTTACCAATGCGTTATACGCATGTAGCCATGCCATGATGGTTAGTGAAGGGTTGGAGCTTTTTGTTGATATGGTGTCCAATCACAATATAAATCCGAGTATAGAGCATTATGGCTGTATGGTTAGCCTTCTTTCGCGGTGTGGAGATCTGGATGAAGCTTTTAGGCTCATTAGCACGATGCCTTACAAGCCTGATGTGCAGATATTGGGATCATTACTTGCTGCTTGTAGGGAACACAATAAGATCGAACTTGAAGAGTATCTATCCAATCAAATACTGAAATTACAGCCAGACAATTCCGGAAACTATGTAGCAATGTCAAATGCATATGCAGCTGTAGGAAGATGGGATGAGGTTAAAAAGGTGAGGCAGTTAATGAAAGAAAGGGGCTTGCGAAAAATTCCCGGATGCAGCTGGATTCAAGTCGGAGAAGAACTTAATGTGTTTGTTGCTGGTGACAAGTCACACCCTGAAACTGAAGAAATCTATACGACATTGGCATTGTTGCGAATGGAAATGTCTTTTCGCTGATGTCTTCCTTCAAACTATACTCGTCCTTTCGAATGCTGCTGCTTTCCCTCGGTGGGTGGGATCTGTAAATACAAAATACTGAATCTTATGTGTATTTCGTTTGAAAACTATACGGTTTCTGTGACTGATTGTATGCTGTATTTCTTCAACAAACGATAGGAAAACCAGAAAGATAATTTTACAACAGGTCATTATCTATCCACAACAAGCCCAATGTCTCCTAACCTAATATCAAACCGGAGACCACCTCTTATCAAGTAAAGACGGAGGGCCGCTAAACCATCTGATCATCGTCTGCTGTGTTGGCTATCGCTTTCACATGGGAATTTGAGTGTAGACCTCCAAGGAGTCCTTTTCTTTGGCACTGAGAAGTACAAAGAACTCAAGAAATGCTTGAACTGTTGAAGCAACGAGACCCACAATTCAATAAAAAGTGTGATGAGCTGGGTGTGATGCTTGCTTTTTACGTAGCTATTCTTTAATTATTGGCCAGAAAAAGGCGGGAAACTAATACAACTGAAGAGCAAAGCAGAGAATTGAGCAGTTGATTAACTTTTTCTAGGGTTTCACTATTTACTTCGTCAAGTACGTGAACATGAGCAAGAACGTGTAGCCCATGACTCAACTGATTAAGTGTATTTGTCGATACATCCGAACTTGTGTACTTGAATTTCCGCTCCCCAAGTGTAATTTTTAGGGGAAAAACATTTGCTTTCTCAGTCACTAGTACGTACCTTGTTCCATGTGGGAACAAGGGTAACATGTCATGCTATTTTTCCAAACAGATCAAAGTAGCACGGACCTTGTTTCATGTGGGAACATGGGTAAGATGTCATGCTATTTTTCCAAACAGATCAAAGTTGTTTCACTATTTGCTTCATCGAGTACATGAATAAGAGTTAGGGATGTACAACTGAAGTGATTAAGAGCATTTTTTATCGCATTTGAGCATATGTATTTAATTCCCCGCTCTCCGAAATATTAGCCGCTATCTTAATTTGCTATTAAATTTGGTTGGTTGGGTTGGATATGACTTGAGAACAACTTCTAATAATTTGAAGATTCTTGTTTCTTGATAGATGACCTAAACATGCATATTATTCATAGTTCATCAATCTGATGCTGTAGGTGGAGACAAAATAGGCACAGTACTCTTGATGTTAAATTCAACTGTTAAGATAATTATTTATTTGAATTCCTACAGCCCAAATTTAAACCCTATAAGTTACAACCATATATTTGTTTTTAGTAACTTCAAAGTATTACTTTGAAGGTAAGTAACTGTAAAGGGTGGTACTATCCACACACATATTTTTACTTTCCACACATTTTTTGTTAATTTCTGTCATTAGATATTCTTCAATTCACTTGTTTCGATGGCCAAAAATTTAGATGAGTGTTTGAGAGGTAAAAAGAGATGTGTCGATAACACCACCAACTATAAATATATATAATGTTGAACTTGTAGGTAGGCAATGGTCAATCATACATTGTCATCCACTTCTCATTTGTATTTAATTGGTACATTTCCTTTCGTGAAGGAGCAAAAATATGTCAACAATTGTTTTTTTGTATTCTTTTCTCTCTGTATTGCAGATGCAAGTTAGGTCATTTGATAAACATTTGTGCTGGCCTTTGGCATCAAGGTTCAAGATTCTCTTCCTATAATTTAGAATATCACATGTGATCAAAGAATGGTAAATGAAATTTATCGTCCTTTGCATCCGAATTTGAATTCCGTCACCATTTCAAATAAAAAAGTTCCCAACACATGCATACTCTCTAGAACCTAACTTTCTGAACCCACCAAAACCTTAATATGGAAATAAATTACTGAATTAAAATACCAAATGCTGAAGTTTTAGGCAAACTGTGTTCCAACAGAATTTAGGTTTCTTCAAACATGAACTTTCTGTAATTAGGTTAACCATGCATTCCTTGCACTATTGAGCATTATCCAATATCTTGTAACTCCGACTAGGTCCTCCTTCATCTGTGTCTAGGGCTACGGTGTTTGGTGAACTGCACACACTTTTTTTGTATTTTTTGTCAAACGATAGATTTATTAGATTAGATGTTAGATTAGACAGCCGATGAAGTTTAAATCCACGCCATGGTTAAGGACAACATTCTTTTCCATCACTGTAGTAGATGGCTACTTGTGTGAACTGCACACACACACACACACCCCTTTCTATCTTGCATGGACCACACAAAACCAAGCTTTTTCCACATTGACTAATAATTTTCAAGCTTCATTAAACTGGTGTCAGACTTCCCCTTCTCACATCGTAAGTATCGCTTCGGCTTTCAGATTAGACCGACATTCAAGGTCTGTCAAATAGAAAAACAAAAAATCTGTAACCAACTTGAAAGGAGAAGATGTATTAGTCATTCATAAACTTATTTATTCTTCTAATATCCTGAATTATCCATCCCAATATAATTCTAAAGACCAAACGAGGATTAAGTAAAGAAAAAAAACTTGTCATGAAACAAGTGTGTCATGTATAACTCACGTATCGCTTGAATATAGAAAATGCGAGATATTCCTTTTATTTTCGAAGTGTTGACATGAACGAAAATCCAAGGAAAATGAAACAAAAATTGGGTCATATCATGCTACCCAATTGGCACACTCCCTCACTGCAACCTTCACAATCAGTTGGAATTAAGCAAAGAGTCATGTCTTAAACCGTCTTGTTTAACTTTATCCACAATAACACAAGCATATAATCTTTGAAGAATCTCAGTCAATAGTATTTCCCCTAAAAAAAACCAATTTCTAATTAAAGGTGTCAAGTGACTGTCATGTCCCATACGGAACTCCAAGAACTTAAGCATGGATGTTCACATTTGGGTTTATTTGAAACTGCTTTAAAATAATTAAATTTTAAGATGATTGAAAGAGTTTTAAAAACATTTAACGTGAATTTGTAAGAAACACTAATTATATGCCTCTTTCATGAAGTACTAAAGTGTTTTTTTCAAAGTTCACTTGCATTTTTACTAAGGATTGGTTCTAAAAACATTTTTATCAAAAGTGCGTCCAGCTACTTTAAATGTGCTTCTAAACAAGCTGTATATTATGCATGTTATTATCAAGTAAATATCACTTAGATAACTTAATCTTCTGATTGATTCGTTACATTAACAACAGACAAAATTAGAAGGAAAATGTCAATTTTTTTTTGCGACCACAAGCTGCTGGCGTCCAACTTTCGGTGCATCAAAACCATGAAAATTGAGGCTTTCCGAAGGAGGCACGTGCATGCTTTGACCTACACATATTTGGACGGTAATTTTGTTCTCACGGTTGAGTTAAGAGTAATCATATTTAGTTCTCAATAGTTGACCAATTAGCAATTTACAAAGAAGATTAGGAGTTAAGGATTCTTTAGAATATCAATGGATTATGGATAAGTTGAGTAGCATGTAGTGTTTGAGAAATTCTAAGAAGACTCTGTCAAAAGTGAGACTTTTTATGAACTCTTCATCATTCATCATCTTTTTTGACACAAAGAATTATAAGGTTGGCACTGGAATTGACGTAAAACAATGAGCGACAGATGGTCCAACTTTAAAAGAGTTTTCTTAGCATTTCACTTGTATTTTTTAGAAAGTTATGCAAGCATTTCTCTAGCATTTCCCTTGTATTTTTTAGAAAGTTATGCAAGCATTTCTCTTAAACCAAACAGGTGCAGAATTTTAATTTTCAAAAATTAAGCGATAAAGGATATGACCGAAGTAAATCTTTTTTATTTGTTTTTAAGTCAACGGCCGAAGTAAAATTGGTATAAGCATATATATGAAACGAATTGGTACGAAAACTATAGGATTTTGGTTGAGCCTTTTCAATTTAAGTGATAGTGAGTGCACATGATCAGACACGTCTCTTAACGTATAAATTAGAGTTTATTTGTCAAAGATATTTAAAATTGGAGAATTTTTGTTCAAGATTCACGTCATTGAGTACGAACATGTTGTCATTTTTTTTTCTTATTTAAAAAAAAAAAAAGAGCAACTAGTGACAAGTTACGGTTATCTATTATTTTCCTGCCCGTTACCACATTCAAGTGGACTCACCAACTCAGAATATCAAACCTGAAACCTCTCATATTTTGTACAAACATGATGTCAGGCTGTGGTAAGTTGCATATGTACTATCATTATTTTTTATTTTGTATGATCAATAAAACATGTTGGCGAAAGATAGAAGTTAGAAATTTCATTGATTTGAAAGTAATTTTTCCATGAAAGCAATTGTCTAACATTTTTAAATACACCCGTTTTATACAGAGATATTTCATTAGCGAGTAGACGAGTGACGAAACACAAGGGCCCCTGAAGGGGAAGGCTTGGGGCTTCTGGAGGAAGATAGAAAAAGACGAAAGGAGGATTAATGAATAAAGTTGGGTCCCAAGGACCCTGGACCCTGATGGACGGATGGAGATTGACGCATGGGAGAGGTGGGGCCTCTGTTTATCATGCGAATCAACGGCTGAGATTTTTCCTAGAGGTCAAAACTCACTCTTTTCTTCTACTCAGTCGGTCAGGCAATAAAAAGAAGTAAAAAGAGAAAGCTGGCCAGGCTGTCACTATTCCTTCACAGGACCCACAGATAAAGGGACAAATGCTGAGCCACGTGGCAAACTATCCCCCCACATACCGTCACAGCGACCTCCTACACCGCCGATTCCGGACTCGACGGTACTGATTTTCAATCATTGAGCTGCTTCATTAATAACTACTTGGCACACCGTAAGTGGTGTGGCATACAATTATGAAGAGAATGCGATGCCGCTGTGAGAGTATTCATAGAGCTACGGCATTCCATTATAACAACATTTTCGAGGTTTTTTTTAGTTCAAATGGTATATGAGATTGATATAATTTTTCATTTTGACATCTCTGATTTGAAATCGATAGAAGTGATTTCTAAGACTGTTCATTGTCGATCATTTTGGTCATTATGTGAAAATCTCCGTTAAGTTGAAGAAACTACTAGTTTAAGAGGTGGGGCTGATTTGACACAAATATCCTTAATTTAACGGAGATTTCTCACATAATAGCCAAAAGGATTGACGGTGACTAATTTCAAGACGACTTCTATCGATTTTATATCTCAAAGACTAAAGTAAAGAGTTAAACCAATTTTAATGATTATTTTGGATAAAAAAACCTATTTGCAATTAATCATACAATCATGGAGCCTCTTCCTTAATCAGCACTTTTGTAAGATGGATGCGCTGTTGTAATATTATTGAATTGAAATAAGTCATAATGGCCTATAAGTTTTTTTTTTTTTTTTGGTAGTGCTATCTACACATCTATTTTCACTTCTTACACATCACTTTTAATTTATGACCGTCAGATAGAATAAATTGAAGAAAATGAATAACAAAAAATTAACAAAGGATGTGAGAAGTAAAAAAAAAATGTGTGAATAGCACTATCCTTTTGTTTGCACACTACTTGACTCTTTACATATAAAAAGTTAATCTTTCTACAAGGACACATTATTACTGTGCAAATGTCATATCTAAAAAATTTATTCAATTTAACGATCAACTGTGAAGATGTTATTTGTTACCAACGATTTAATTTACACACAGATAACAAAACAAATTTGAAAATGAATAAGAATTGATTGTGGCTCACTACAAAGATGACTAACAATTCCAATTATGACGTAAGCGTCTTACGTCACCAAGACAAGAAGAATAGCTTCATAATTTGTAACCAAATATTGTCCTTTTATTTTCCTTCCAATGCGAACGTTGATACAACAGAAAAATTACTTCTTTGTGACTTAATGATTACAAATTTGAATCGTGAAAATATCTTAAAACAAGTGTAAGACTCTTTACGATGGATATTTATCTCTCACGTCTCTTAAAACGGGAACCTTGTTACCCAGATAAGGGCGTTTTTGTTTTGAGTGATGGGCCATAATTTAATAAGAATTTTTTTAGGGGAAATTTTCAAAAAAGTTGGCTGCAGGAGCTGGATTCCAATAAAACAAAAATGGACCAATAAAAAAGTACACGTAAAAACAACAAAGAGCCATGTGTAACGAGACAGAAATTCTGAATCATAAAATTAAAAATAATAAAAGTAAAAACCAAAAGTCCATCAAATGGTCAATTCCAATCAGCTCATGGAACTCCCCCACGGGCCCCACCCCCGAAAACTTCATAAACAAAATAAACCCTCCCTCCCACGTCGCACCTGTAAAAATAATTGCCACAATTAAAAAAATAAAAATTCCAAAAAAAAAAAAAAAACAGATATTGGGCCCACCACAAATACACAACATTGCCTTATGTCCTTCCGTTTCCGATCCTTTACAATTTTTTCTTCCTTTTTTTCTCTTTTTTAAATCGAGATTATTCCCTAAGGCGTGGGTGTGACGCTGGGTGGGGTCCTCGACCCAGCGGGAGGAGTATGACCGTCCGATCCTTTCGAAGGATCATCGGACGACTGTCGTAACCCGTCATCGGTCTCGGCCCGGTTCATATCTTCGATCATCCGGACCACCTCCTGCATTGCGGGTCTTTGATCGGGTACCGTGGACACGCACGCCATGGCGATCTGTAAAAGCTGCACCATCTCCTCCTCAATGTTATGGTACCTCATCAGCTCCACGTCGAACACCTCCGCCGTCCACTCCTCCCGGACCACCGACTGCACCCACCGTGGCAAATCGATCCCCTCCTCCCCCAGCGACGCCTGATTGGGCGCTTTCCCGGTTAACAGCTCCAGCAGCAACACGCCAAAACTGTACACGTCGGATTTGAACGTGACCTTTCGGGTCTCCACCACCTCCGGCGCGCGGTATCCCGCCACCCGGTTCGGCGGCGTCGAAGTCCCGAAGAGCGGGTTGAGCCCGAAGTCGGAAACGGAAGCGTCGTTGTCGGGTCGGAGGAGGATGTTGGAGGATTTAATGTTGCCGTGGACCACCTTGCCTGACACGTGGAGGTGAGCTATTCCTCTTGCCGCGCTCAGCGCTATTTTCATGCGGTTGTCCCAGTCTAGTGGCGTCCGGCCTGAGCCTCTACTCCCTGCAACCAAATCAAAATCTTTTTGTTTAGGCCTCCGAATTATTATCTGTTTTCTTTTTAGAGAAACCTACATTCTAAAATTATTTAATGCTAAAGTAGCGGTATTTTAACTCAATCAATCACGAAAATATTAAGAAATTATTATTAGCATTCTAGAAATTTAATTTGACACTTCAAAATGTTGTATAATTAGAAAAAAAATACTCTTCTAATAAACGTAGAATGAAAATTTTGAAATGTAACTATTCTTAAATATTATCATATGCATGAAAGATTGATTTAGGCCACTACATTGACGTGCCAAGCGAAGGTAATTTTTTCTCTTAATTTAAGAGAGACGAATCATATGTAGCGGGCAAAAGCGCAAACTCGCAACATATTTGCATCGAATTGTTCGTAACTTTAATGAACTGCTTGTTTATTTTTAATTTTAATTTTTAATTTTTAATTTTGATAGATATCTTTTACCTTTTCCTAAAAAGACGTAAAAAGCCTTTGCACAGAAAATAAAAGAGAAAGGTGAAATAATGTCGGTGACCAGACCACCATGGTCCATGGTGAATCATGACGACAACTTCATGTTTCTCTTTTTATATCCAAATTTTTATTTATTTTGCTCTAAAAACGAAAAATAAAAACATTTATGCGTATAGCTTTAGATTGCTGCGGTTTTTTCGAAAACTTATTTCTGCCGTGCATTAAGTAATGATTTTTTAAAACGTATTATAGAAATTAAAATTATTGTTAAAATTTAACTCCATTTTCCATCCGGTTATTATTAAAATAATTTTTAAAGGTAAACTACTGCTAAATCTGAAAGTTAATGTCTAGAGATTATAATTTTTATAATAAGCAGATATTTAATTTTTGCAAAACCATTTTAATTGCTAACTTAGAAAGCCGATTTTGGTGAAATAAAAAACCAATACCAAACCGGCATAAGAATGTTTGCACAGAAACATCAATATCCCAGTGATTTCAGCGCACCCACCGCCGATCAGAAAATCCAGAAACTGAAGAATTATAAAATATAAAAAAAAACCCCAAAGTTAATTTTCTATGGAATTATACGTACGAGAACTACATTTATTCCCTCGGATTAAAACGATTAAGTTTTAATTATATAAAAAATAATCAGCATTAAATTGAATAATTAAAAAATGGAAAAATTAAGGGGAAATTCGGAATCGAAATCGTACCGTGGAGAAGGGCAGACAAGCTGCCGGCGGACATGTAATCGGAGACGAGCAATTTCTCGTCCTTGGAGAAGTAAAACGCTCGCAGCGGCACCACATTGTCGTGCTTAATCTTCCCAAGAACCTCCATTGTCATCTCGAACTCTCTCTTCGTAACCACCACGTCCTTAAGCCGCTTCACCACCACCGTCGTCCCTTCCTCCAGCACCGCCTTGTACGACGTCCCCACGCTTCCCTTCCCCAAAACCTCAGCCGACGCTCTCAACAAGTCCTCCAAATCGAAGCTGTAAACTCCGCCGTTGAAGAACACAAGTTTGTTTCTCTCCGCCTCGGTGGACCCGCCCGTGATGTCGTCTTTCGAGGATGATGTTCCAGCCTCCGTCTCTACCGACCGTGCGGCCACAGGTGGCTTTGGGGCCTTCGCCGGCTGCTGGCGGCGCCGTTTCCGGAGGCAGAGGAAGAGTATGAGGAGAAGTAGGAACAGGGCTAGAGCGGACCCCACGGCGATGGCGACAATGGCGGCGGTAGAGAGCTTCTTGGACTTTTTGTGGACTGGGATTATGGGCGGGGACTCGGGCGACGGAGCGGGAGCAGGGAAAAACGGGTTGCACTGCTTAAGCGGGCCACCGCAAAGATCTAAGTTTCCAGAGAATGCAGAGGCGGGAAAGTGTGATAGCGATTCCGGGATTGAGCCGTTGAGTTTGTTGTTTGAAACGCTAAAGTTGGTCAGATTGGGAGCTGGGATGCTGGGCAGCTTGCCAGAGAAACCGTTGTTTTGAAGAAAGAGTCCGGTCAGGTGGCTCAGGTTGCTGACGGCAAATGGAATCGGACCGGTGAACTTGTTGGAGCTGAGATCGAGCCTGTTCAACCGCTCCAACTGGGTCAGCCCGGTCGGAAACTCACCCGATAATTGATTCCCCTGGAGGTAGAGGCTGCGGAGCAGAGTCAGGTTGGAGAAATCGGCGGGGATGGGGCCGAAGAGTCGGTTAGAACGGAGACTGAGAACCCGGAGCTGAGTCAGCCGGCCGAGCGTGTTGGGCGGAACCGACCCGACGAGACCGACACCCGGGAGGCGGAGGGAGTAGACGTAGGACTGGTTGTCGTCGCATTTAATTCCGACCCAGGTGCAGGCCGAAACCGACGCGTTCCATTGGACCCGGTTCGCATGTGGCGTCCGGGTAAGAAACGCAAGGAGGGCTTGCTTGTCCTGAATCGGCTCCGAGTTGACTCGCTCGCCACTCAGTGACAGAAGCGTAATCAGAAGAAAACCCACCACAGTAGCAGCACTAAAACTCACTGCCATTATATTTCTAAAAATAAAATACACATAAAAGGAAGAAGAAAAGTGGGCGTTGTCTCAACAGTGGTTTGGACCGAAGCAATAGGTGGTTTGCCGGCGCTTCTGTAGACGGCGGTGAATGGGTTTCCGGTGAATACCCATGAGAGAGAGAGCAGTGAGTGATGTGAGGGAGGAGAGAGAGGGGGGATTTGAGGTATCACGAGGAAGAAAAGTGAAAGTAAAGCTGGAAGAAAACAGATGCTCATATGGTGTGGTGTGGAGTGGTGCGCTGTCAGGGACTGGAAAACGTTTTTATTAGTAATTTATGGGGTTGAATTTATTGGATTATTTATTAATAAAAACGTTTCGTTAAGGGTTTTGGAGTTTTTTGCTACGGTTTGCTGTAGGCGCGTGGTTTTGGCGGCACTCACGAGTGGCAACTTTGGCGACAGTATTCAGCTTGGCCTGCCCGAAGAACAAAATACGATGGAAGACAGCTAAAAATTCGTATTTATTAAAAAAAATTAAAAGTAATCGCACTTCTAAATTAACCAAAACTATTATAATTTTGTTAAAAAATCGTTTCTTTGACTCATTTGATATGATTCAAATTCTGTCCAATAAGATCCCGAAAAGGATGAACATCGACGTATTAATAGCGAAACTCTTCTAAAATTTTGGAGTTTCACGCATCAAATTGCAAGAGAATGAGAGTTTTTAAAATAGTCGGAGAAAATCATTACTAGTTTTGAATTGTTATCTATTTTTGTCATCTCTAGAAGGGTAATAATTAAATATCAAGTAACTTAACTCCTCAAGTTCTTAGTATGATAGGCGTATTTGTACATTACTCGTAGAAATAAGAAAGAGAAGAACATTGAATTAAGTATGCGAGCTTAACAAACTAACTCTAATCCATAACGAATCATGATTACTCACGAAAGAAACAATTTAGAGCACCGTATCATCTCGTACGTATATATATTTTTTTCAAATATGTATATATCTCGTTTGATATTATATTTTGATCTGAGTATATAGTTTTTTTAAAATAAATTTTCATTTCATGAAACTTTTTGTTTTGTTTTGTTTTTTTTTTTTTTTGGTAAAAACTTTTTGTTTATTATATTTTGACTGTTTAAATGCAATTTAAAATAGATTTAAGTTATGAGGTTGTGTTTTTTTGGAAGACGAGTTATGAAACTTTGAATAATTTGAATTTTCTTCACCAGCATGTACTTTTCCTAAATTTTAAATGAAATTTAAAACATGAAGGTGTTGAAAGTCGTAGGTGTCTGTCTTATGCAGTCAGGCCTACGACAATTTTTGCTTGACCGTATGATGAGGAAGGAGCGGCTGCCACGCGCCGTTTAGGGGTTGTATTCGATGATCAAGGAGCAAATTCGTGGAGGTAAAATGACGGGTCGTAGGTTACTGACTCTGCAAACAGGCTAAAATTAATTTAGATCCTTCCCAAATATCGCGGTATGTAGCTGGTAGATTGCATAATTCGAGCTGTTCAAAAGAATGAGAAATAGATTAGGATTCTTAATATTTGTGATATGAGTCAATGAAATAGATTAACAGAGATCATAAAATTAAAATGAGTTGCCTGAATTACTCTGTTTGTTGATTCTAAATTTTGATTCCTAAAATTGCATGTGAGGAAAGGCTAGGAGAGTGGCAGTGTTATCAAGCGATAGTATTTTCTTGATTTCCGTTAAGTGTAACATCTTCTAATAATCTTGTAATCAAATATCATTGCTTTACTTTTCTTTTTTCTTGGACTGAAAATATCATAAATTGTCGCAGATGGGTTTAGCATTTGGTAAGAAAATAAATTAGTGAATAATTGTAGATTATTTATTGATGAGAGGAAGCAAAAGGTGAGTTGTGGAGAAGATACAAATCATTAATCATGTAAGCTAAGTATTAAGATGCTTAAGTTTTGATTAACTTAAGGCTTTTGAATTCGAGTTTTCAAGCAAACTTGATAGGCTCAAAATCGCAAGACAACCTTAAATACACTTTACGTATAAAAGTAAAACACCATTAACCAATCGAAATACAAATTCAATGTAGTTCACTATTTTGTTCTAATGACCTAAAAACATTCACGATATAATTGAACCAACTCAATTTTGCAACTTTGTGTTAACTTATAAACTTGGTGGCTTCCTATGTATATCTTTAGTCACTAAATTAATTAAAATTACAAAGAGCTGAACTCTTTTAACCAACTTAACTAAATTCAGATTTATACCACTTTTTATAAATTATTGGTTGAGGAACTAGGATTTTTACATGATTTTATCCATCCTTTGTTTTTCACCTTTAAGATTATTTGCCATTTCACGTATGTTTGGTATGGCAATCGATTGTATTCTTAAATTTAACATTTCTTTTTCTCTTTCATGTGGTTTGATTCAAGAGATTTTTAGTGTATTCGGAACATGAAGCAGTACGTCACATTTGATTATACAATTGAAGGGATACCTAGAGAGAGAAAAAAAAAAAACTTTCCTCCAATTAAACAATGACGTGCGGTGTAACAACTCATATTCCAAATACATTGCAAAATTTCTCGTTTTGATTGATAGTGATGCTAAAGAGACTAAATTTTTAGATTTTTTTTTTATATAATAAGATATGACAGTTGATGGTTGGACTCCTTTGTTAGATCATTAAAAATGAGTCCAACCATCAAATGTTACATCATATAGTGTACAAAAAATGATATAAATATTTGATCTTTCTAACGTTTTTATTTGATGATAATGCTTCCAAGTCTGGAGTAAATAATTCATTTATCTCAATTGCCAATGCTGCTCACCAACTCAAAGCAGGCACTTTATGCCTTCTGTACCATAATAAGCTCCTGTTTTTTAACTAATTTCCAAGCAAAATATTAGCAAATGTTAAACTCTTAACTTATATTAAGGGCAACAAAACTTTTATTATGTACCTAATAATAAGTAGTTATGTGCCTTAAAAACAGATGAAATAGGTAAGTAATATAATAATATTCATACCATTTGGCTGTATGAAATGCTGGATAAATGAATACGGTATAAACTAATATTGATCAATCCTATTCCCATTGGAGTTTTTAAAAGAAGAGCAACTTACTTGTAATACGTTTATCACTATCGTGACATTTTCATTTAGGGTATATTAGGAAAATTAAAATTTTAAATTCAAGTTTGTAAACCAAATGATGTAGTTATTGATGATCGGATTATTACTTAGGGCTTGTTTGAAAGTGTTTTTAAAATGACTACAAGTGCAAAGTAGAATATCCCCTTTGTAGTTGGAGAAGGCGAACACTAAAGCCCGTCCCATTACATTGAGTGCGTGTCATACTTTTTGGGTATAAGCTCTTAGCGCAAGCACTAAGCAAGTAAACTGCCATTTTCGCTAAACCAACAAGGCATTACGTTGAATGAATAGAAAACTGCTTTCTAGGCCCTTTCCTCTGTCAGGGGCTTCCACGATATGGTAACGGGGGACATTGTTGTTTTTAGTAAAAATGCAAATAAATATTAGAAAAACACTTAAATGCTTCCATGATATGGTAATGGGGGATATAACTGGTGTTTTTTGCAAAAACTCAAAAACATGTTCTTTAATAACACTTTCAGTTATTTAAAAGTACTTCCAAATGAGCCTATTAGTAAAATACTTATTTTTTATTTGTGAAACATTATTTAGCTAGTTTACAAATTTAATTTAAAATTAACATTATCTTTCGATTTATGCAAGCTCCTCTTCTGTGGAAGAAAAACAAACATGAGAAGGAATTCTAGGGAAAAGGACATTGGAAAGTTAGAAACAGGAAAAAGAAGTTGTTTCGCTTTGTGTAAAGTTAAGTATTAACTAATCACTTCTTGCCAAAACAGAACTGGAGATTTTTCCAGTACAGTGTAAATCAAACAAATCATGACAAATAAAGCTTCCACGTAAATCCTAATTTGGCCAGAGTAAGCAGTGATAAAACAAAACATCTGCTGAAGCTGCTTTTTCAACAAGTGCTTGTGCATAAGGCACATTTTCAATATCCAATCAAATACAATTTCTATTAAGAGATTTTTATCTGCAATGAAGGTCTGTTCTCACAAGTTTACATGTCCTCGCATAGTGAGTGTTGTAGCCTTATGAAGCTATATTTCAAATGACAAAGGAAAATCTATCGTCACACAAGCAGGGGCGAATGTACATTGGAATTAAGGTGATTCTAGGATCACTTTGAGTAAAAAAAAATATACATGTGAAGGTCTTCCAAGAACCTTTGAATGCTTGATACGAGTTCTTTTTGTATCTATCAAGTGTCTTGATATAACGTCTGCTACACATATCTTGACAAATTGCATCGACAATGCTTGACAAATTCTCTTAATATCACTTATCAAATTGCTTCGGCATACGTCGATACATGTTGATATGTATGCAACATAATTTGACTAACGACAACAAGTCTAATAAGTGCTCAACCAAATGCACTCTGTTTAAATCCAAAAAACTTTGACATTTAACACTAAAATCCAAAGGTTCATATTCTAGATCCACCTTACGAGTATAGAATCGGCCTTGTGATAGGCTTACTTTGTGAAACAATAGTTTATATCACTGAGTGTGGTGTTATTAGGCCAGAAATCTGATTAAAATAAGTTTATATTTAATTATTTTACAAAATCAAGAGAATGTCAGCATTTATACAGTGAAAAAAAAAAGAAAAAAAAAAAAGAAGACTTTTCTCTGTTTTCTTTTCTTCCCAGGAAGTATAATTTCAATATTTCATAGACTCAGAAATGGTTGAGAATAATTTTTTTTCCAAGATCATTAAAATATGTTAATATTTTATTAATCTGAAAGAAGAATAAACCAGCTAAGCGCATGCATAAGAAAATAAGGCCAGCAGAGACCAAGTCCAGCAAAATCATAATGTTTGGCAGCCACTGAAGCCATATGGCATAAATCATACTGCTCCCCTCGGCAGCTCCAGCTTATATATTTTCTCCTTTAATTTTTTAAATTTATTTTGTATTGTTTTTAATACGTGAAAAGTTCAAAATAAAATACAAATCCTCATGATTTGAGAGCTAATACGGCCTCTCACAGTAGGCTAAAAAAATGAGTGAGATACCAATATATTGAAAAAAGCGTTGTTCGTTTTGCTCTGGATTTAATCGGTCCCCACCAAGCCATCAAGCATCACAAAACAAAAATTGATAAAATCAAGTGGTTAATATGATCACAGACTGGTTCGATGACGATTGTCTATGGCCAACCAAATGGGGAAGGCAGCATGTGGCCAGATGTGTCAACCATTGTATAGTAGAATCTTGAAAGCCATCCTCTCTTTTTATCTCTTTATTATGTCCCAGTTCTTTTAGGATTTAGACCCTTTTGTTTTGTGCTCTCAATTATTATTGAAGTGTATTTAGCAATATATTAAACTGACGGGTTCGCCGAGTTAGCTTAAATAGTGAAATAGATTTTCAAGAGCTTGCGGAGTCCTCTCCTTATTTATTTTAAACTTCTTCTGATAATTGCTATGCCGTTGTTAGAGTTAGACTAATTTTCCTTTGTGTTTCTTTTTTGTTTTTCTTCTATGTTACCGAAAAAAGACATCCGCTGAGCAATATATTAAACTGAGTTTATTAAATGATAGATTGTAAAATAATGCATGTATCCTTGTGTAACTTTTTTGTTTTATTGGGACGGTATTTTTATAGCGGAAAATTTGAACTCAGATGGATATAGATTATTTTCTAGTTGTTTATATTTGTTTTGGTCACGTCCGGATTTTTTTCTAGACCAATACTAATTATAGTTATGGAAATATATTACATATAGTCCCTAACTAGAACAACGCACACGATCAAGACTTTTTGCCTTATGACTAAGGATATATCTAATTGTGTCTACAGTATTCATCACCCAACAATTTGCATACTCCACTTGTTTCTTGAGAAGATCAAAGCTTTTTTTCGTTGAAGAAACCTTCCGCTTCAATTTGTACTTTTTTCAACAAAAAACAAACATGAAAAACAAATGTACTATTTTCACTAACATTTCAAGTAGGGGCCCCGAATTCAAATTGGTTATGTCTTGCCTCTACCTGAAGGTGTGGACACAGGGCATTGTATTCAGATGACCAAGGGCGGATCCACAAGGGGTTAATGCGAGTCAGTTGACCTCATAGACGCCGAAAAGATGGTTAGGGAGAATCTCAAATGACCTTGTGATCGTCTCGGATGGCCATCCATGAGAAGCGGACTTTAGTATATCGATAATTAAAAAAAAAAAAAACTAATGAAAAAAGCTTGAAAACTTTGAGTTTTAACGATAAGGACAAAATAAAGGGTAAAGTGAATAGTACTAAGATTGACTTTTTAGTGTAAAAATGTGATTTTTCGCTAAACTAAATAGTACCAGAAGTTTTTTTATTAAAGTTCCCTTAAAAAAAAAAAAAAGTTCACGTCTTAACCCTATAAAGTAAAAATATTGGATCTTCCACTGCCGAGGAAACAACGAATTTTATACATACACTGAGGTCTGTGTTAATGAACGTTCCTACATATCTCACCAAACTTCGATTTTCTGTGGAAACAAAACCTAAGTACTTGATATTCGGTAAGAGCATATTTGAAAAGACCAGTGCTTATTTTTCTTACAGAAACAAACCAATTATGCAGGAAAATAGATACAACATGCTTGCTCTGTAGTTGGTATTGGTGCAGAATTTATTTGTACTCTGTTACACCTATTTATAGGCATGAAACTAAAACCCAAGATACAGAGTCGAGAGAATAAGTGAAGAAATGTGTCAACTCTACTTACCACAGTTGCTATCATGGCTTCGTACAATCCATCTCAATATTCTTACACTTTATAATGTCTATACACACACACACACTGACACACATATTTATATTTATGAATCTGCGATCAAAGAAATTGACGAACATAGTGTTATTAAAAACATTGAAATTTAATGATGCATAAACAACAACAACAAAGTCTTACCCTATTAAGTAAGGTATTCCGTTAACTCCAAGTACTCCATGTCTTTTCTTAAAGTCTCATTCTAAGTCTTCCTCTACCCCTTGAACCTCAAGCCTCTGTCTCCTAATTGCATTTTCTAACCGGAGCATTTGTAAATTTTCGATTCACATGTTCAAACCACTTTAACCGATTTAAACTGAATGATGCATGAGAAAAGAATATATCAGATAGAGATAAAAAAGCTGATATCATTAAAGAGAGAGAGGGAGTAAAGATGAGATGGAGAGTTTAGGTGGGGTGTGTTGTCATTGAGTTGGAACAAATACATGGATTGCATGGGGGAGAATATATGTTTAACTTGGAAAACATATTAATGATGACATAATTAGTATATAATATAGGTAGAGAGTGATTAGGTTGTTGGGGCGTCTTGGCTGTTGAAAAGTGTAATCCATCTCATGTGTGGTTCACCACTAACCACTCTTAGTTGTTTATAGAAGATGAACCACCTATAGAAGTTGAACCAATTTAGTTGGTAGAACTTCTTGCCTAGGACAATTTTCTTACACCCTGTGGAACTAGCGACGCCAGATTGTATTTTTGTGAGAGCTGTCGAATATATATTACATGCGGCCACCTTTTTTTTAACAGGACTGTAAATTTTACTATGTTCTCATATATTGTATACAATAAGATTATTTAATCGTTAAATTTTGATCATTGTCGATCATGTGATGCATGTTTAGCATACTAGACAAATCTCAATGAAAATGGTGGCTGATGTGGAAGAATAAGGTAGGAGCAGTAACCAATCACATAGAAACAGCCAACACAAGACTACAGCATAGAAAGAGCCAACGCAGCACTACAGCTGCTCTCAACGGTGGATTGAGATCTTCTCCGGATCTAAAACACTTCTAAGTTTGTGAACCGAGCAATTCAGAGTGTTCAAGAGAAAAATATATAAAGAAAAAGTGTGTGTAAGATGAGCCAGTGGTATAGGCTAATAAAAATCACATGATTTAAATTGAACGGTCAGTATTACTTAATCAACGAGTTCTAGAGTGAGATTCGGATAGAATCTCAATTCTTCATTTGCTTCAAAAATCTTGGCCCGGCGGTCCATCTCACTTTACATGTCTAGTCTCTACCACGTGCGCTATCACTGTTTTTCTGATTAGTGACAGCAAATGGGGGAAGAAGAAAAAAACAGGGCAATCCGGACATCCTCCTGGTGTAAACTTGAGAAGCCACTGAACACCAGTTTTGGCTCCTATGGACCACAATTTTAGGCCTAAGTTACGTTCTACACCACCATTCAAGTCTTAGTTAGTATCAAAATGAGCCACGAGCTTCGCATTTTTAACGTCTTAACATTTTGACATTCAACTAATTTACACTTTTTGACAAGTTACTTAGTGTTAACTAATGACGTGTAAGTGATGGACCCACTTGCAAAACATTCTTGGTGTGATTCTTGTGGCACTGCTGGTGGGTCTTGCTTTACAATGCGTCGTTAATGGTTGACTAGATTATCAACCTACAAGGTTGTAAATTGGACAAATGTCGCAAAAGTTGAGGTGCAGTGTGAAAAATTATAACCTCATGACTTATTTAGAAATCCACATGTAACCTCGATGGCGGGAAGTGTCCTTAGTCTAAAATTTTACTATTTAATTTTTAACCGTTAAATCCGTAGTCAAGAATTCAATACCAAAGATTTAATGGTATAAAATTATCGTGTATAAAATACACTGAAATATACTAGAAACTCTCCAAAAAATAGTTCTATATGATAAAACATTCGAAGAGTAGGGTAGAACCGCCCTTGTCAGTGCCAATATGGGTCACTTATAAATGTCAGAGGCCCATTGATTACAATCGCCAGGGGAAAACAAAGGCCCAAAGGCCCACTTAAACTTCATGGATATTTATGATTCCTTCAGTCCCAACTCCCAATGATAGAGGAGTGCTCCTTCACTAGGCCCACAGTTTAATAGTTTATTTTTCTCTTTTCGGAAAATTGCATAATTTTATATTACATCACCACAAGTATTTGCTAACAAATATATTAAAAACACATCTTTTTTTATTTTCTTATCTGTGTTTATATCTATTGTTTTCGTATGATTCACTCCTTCTATCAAAAAATTTAAAAAAATGTTTGAAAATTATCTTTTTGGAAATAGTAGACAAATTATCTTTTTAAATCATATTTTGTAAATTAAAAGATGTGATAGTTGATGATTGAATTTCATTTTAGTGGTTTAAAGAAAAAATTCAACTATTAAACGTCACATCACGTGGTTGAGAATATGATCTCTAAACATCATTCGGAATGAGACCCACTCCAAATCTATGTCTAGAGTCTGCAAATCAAGAGATTTGGACCATTCAAGAGAGAGAAAGGGATCCATGTAGTTTTAATTTTTTGAATTTTTGAGATGTGTAAGTGAGATGAGTTAATGAGAGCGTCCGGATCTCTCTGTCTACGAGCTCTAAACAAAGATCTAGAATAGATCTCAATTTAATAGGAACCGTAATATTGAAATTGGATGATCTAAATCTCTCGTTCTGGAAGGCGGGACACAGAATTCAGAAGTAGATCTCAATCCAACACCACCCCAGCTCTTTTATCACTATAATGCGTATTTTTGATTAAAAATTCAGGTCAAATAAGTGAAAGTCAATTGTAATTAGATTTCCCAAATCAAAACGAAATTATGGGAGCTATCAGCTCAAGGCTCAAGCGATCGACTGTTCAACTGTACTTACAATGCCGACTAGACTGTAATTTTCAAAAGTCAGCATCGAAAAACCAATCAATGTTTTTCGTTCTTTTGCGAAAAGAATTTGGATGAGGCAAACAACGGATAGATTCATTTGTGTGGTTCATCGGTTTCCACGATTCCCAACAAGGCAACGTAGACCCCCACCATTTTTGGAGGCAACCAAAACCTCCCTCTGCAGCAAACCTCACTCAAAACCCCCACTGAAATTTGAGCTTAAACCCATAATCCTTTCGTCTTCTCCGTCTGATCGAATCGTTCGAGTAGTTTGATTCGATCCAATGTCGTCCATATCGTCGAAATTTGCTCTCAAGGATTTCAAGCTGAGAACGTGCGACGCTTTCTTCAGGCCAGCTGCTTCTTTATCTGCAAGGAGGCTGCAGTCTCATCTGGGTACGTTGGATATAATATTTCGTTGATTTTTGTTTCTGGATTGTGTTTTTTGGGGAATTTGCCAATAGGGTTCTGGTTGTTTTGATGATTTATCTGTAAAGTTTTGTGCTTTGGGACTATAAAATTTGCTGACAAGAAATTTGGGTTAAGCTCGTTTTGATGTTTTATCTGTCAATTTTTGTGCTTTGAGACTTTTTTCGGGTTCCTGGATTCTGGGGAGTGTGACATTTATTTATGTCCCTCCGTTTCTAGCATTTATTTTTCTAACAGTGATTGGTGTTTCAGACTTCATAGGTGAACTTTCTGTGCCTGAGAATGTAAGGTGCTGTGCGATCCAAAGCAAGACATGGAGTCCCATCGTTGTGAAACCTTCTTCTTCGATAATTCAAACATCAAGGTGTGTTTTATGTTTCTTGTTACCTTTGTTTGATGAGAAAAATGAGCATATATGTTAGTATATCAATGTGATCATGCACAAGAGTTACTGGTTAATGCTAGTGGGAACAATAGTGGTCTCGTAGTTCAATTTTGTAAAGACAATCGGAATAAGTGTGTTTAGTCTTGGAGGAGAAAGTGGAATATACACCAGTTGGATGATGTAGGACAATAACGGTCTCAACCATTTACGGTCTAGGCTGTCCTAATTTTATTTGTAAAGATGATTACCGTTTTCGTGTACTTCCTGGTTACCAATACCCAAGTCTACATTCATCAGCTTGTTGACAACTATATGTAGGAACTCCAAAGTTTTCTGCAAGGCTGCAACAAATTTATCTGGAGATCTTCCTAGTAGTACTCCTAGTGGGATGAACCTGTACGAGAAAATAATCGAAACTTTGACAACTCTATTTCCTGTGTGGGTAGGTGTTACATTTTATTTAACCAGATTCTCATCTTCGGTACTTCTTAATTGCTTAGTTCTGTGTATATTTAAAATAAAGCTTTCTCAAGAACACTTGCAAGTTTTAAATCTACTTCCGTGGACAGGTCATATTGGGCACCATCCTTGGGATCTACAAGCCAGCTGCGGTAATCTCTCTGTCTGCTACTTCATTGTGTGGCATATCAACTAGTGTATAACTAGCTTATTCATGGGGTTTCTACAGGTAACTTGGTTGCAGACAGACCTTTTCACGCTTGGCCTTGGTTTCCTCATGCTTTCTATGGGGTTGACATTGACCTTTGAGGACTTTAGACGATGTTTGCGTAATCCTTGGACAGTGAGTAGCATCCACTCACATTTAAATCGTGGATGGTATCTGAAACAGAATAATCTAATTTTAAATTAAAATTTATTTTTCTGTTTCAGGTGGGTGTAGGTTTTCTTGCACAGTACATGATCAAACCCCTACTAGGTTTTGTTATTGCCTTGGTAATTCTTCGTCAAATTTTTTGTTGTCTGTCATGTAATTTACTATTGAAATGTTTTACAGTTGTAATTAAATTTTTACTCAAGTCAGACTTTAGCGAAAAAATCTCATTTTTACGGCTAGTGTTTGAAGATCTTCTCTTCTATTACAAAGAAGGGGAATGTTGACTAGATTAAGTTTTATGGATTACATATTTTGGATTCTATATTGATGAACAGCTTCCGAGTGGTTAGATGCAGATGTAACATTGACGAAATATAAGTGATCTAAAATTCATTTTGATTTTCAGACTCTCAAACTTTCTGCACCTATTGCGACTGGTCTTATCTTGGTCTCGTGCTGTCCTGGTGGTCAGGCATCAAATGTTGCAACTTATATCTCTAAGGGAAACGTAGCGCTTTCTGTTCTCATGACAACGTAAGTTACATGCCCTCAAATGTTTATGTTTGTTTTGACTTTTGGCAGGTCCTGGATATGTTTGCAGTATTTATTAACTTATACTGCTACTGAAGTATGATAAAACCAGACTCGACAGCCTTTAGTTTATCGTAATGTCACGTATTGAAGCAACAATTATTTTGTGGTCAATCTGTAGGTGTTCAACAATAGGAGCTATTATTATGACACCACTTCTTACCAAGCTTCTTGCTGGCCAGCTTGTTCCAGTTGATGCTGCGGTAAGTTGAAACATGGTTAACAAACTTTGTTGATAAGTTATGTAATACTTGAACTTCTGCAGTTTATAAGTACTACTTGCTGGCTAGCACTTCCAAGAGTAATTAAAGAAATTTTACGGATAAAATATAAAGATACGGAAATAGTCTGTTTACACTGAGATTTTCTCCCTGCCATCTTTGCAGGGCCTGGCTCTCAGCACTTTCCAGGTTGTTTTAATGCCAACAATTGTAGGAGGTAAATAGAAGGTTTTTACAGTTATCCTTGGAATTCGAAATCTTTCTACAAATCTTAGCTTATTTCCAATATCTGGACATAAATTTATAATCAACACCCCCCCCCCCCCCCACCTTTTTCTCTCTCGCTTTCCATGACAGTACTGGCAAATGAGTTCTTCCCCAAATTCACTTCAAAAATAGCTGCGGTGACACCTTTAATTGGAGTACTGCTCACCACTCTACTCTGTGCCAGCCCGGTAAGTCGCAAACATATACTGAATTGACTTCCATATGGATACATTTTGTTTCTCCTCAGTAAATTCATAGTAGTTACATTACGAATCTAATAGGGTAACTTGTATTCGCATAATTGTTAAGATTGGGCAAGTTTCTGAAGTCTTGAAAACACAAGGAGCGCAACTGATACTCCCAGTGGCTATTCTGCACAGTGCTGCATTTTGTATTGGTTACTGGATTTCGAAGTTATCATTTGGTGAATCTACATCTCGTACCATATCCATAGAGTGTGGGATGCAGGTAGCCATCTTCTCATTCGGTATTTTCTTACTGATTTTCGCACTGTTTGTCAAGTTGAACGAGTTCATACATTTAAGTACCCTCTAATTACTGTCTCGATATTTCGTTCGCAGAGCTCAGCACTTGGATTTTTACTTGCTCAAAAACATTTTACAAACCCTCTTGTTGCCGTCCCTTCTGCTGTCAGCGTTGTTTGCATGGCGGTACGATTCTCTTTAACTCTCTTAATTTCCTTCTTAACTACCCTTTTGAGGTAATTAATTATGGGAGTTCTGCAAAGTACAACGTTATTTACTATCATCGTACATTGTCCTTCCGAACAGCTTGGTGGGAGTGCTCTTGCTGTCTTCTGGAGAAACAGACCAATTCCAATCGACGACAAGGATGATTTCAAGGAATGAGAAACTTGGCCTCCCTTTTTGTCTGGGTATTTTTTTACTTAAAAATTACTTGTTAGAGTTGGTTTAACTTTTTATTACCAAGTTATATGTGCATTAGATATCAGTTTTATGTCAAGTTTTATTACCATTAACGCTAATAACACGAAGCTTGTCGCTCAAGTTGTCAAACGTTTACCATTGCGCTGAGATCCTGTGTTCGAATCTCTTCTCTTCTTCTATCAAGAAAAGGGCTTCACATGCATATTGGAGAAGTGCTTGAATTCAACCATGTGATGTGATTTATGGCAGATTTTTGTACACAACTGAGTTTATAATTTAGGGAAGAGATCCGGTCCTGATCTCTCCTACTAAAGCCTAAGGATCAAGTGATCCGGGTTTTTGAAATTTGATCCAACTGCTGCAATTATTATAACTTTTAAAGGGTCCCTTGTTTTAGCCGTTTGATCAAATTTCAAAACCCAGATCACTTCCTTTGGCTTTGTTGAGAGAGATCCGGACCGGATCTCTTCCCTATAATTTATATATGCAGTCAGTTTCATTTTTGTTGCCTTGTTATGCATCAGTTTTGGGATTAGGGTTTTTTCAGAAAACTGGAACTATTCAGAGCTAATGGTGTGCTCTGCAAAAAATTGAGAGGACTGGAATTTCCCAACCACCTATCTTTTGACTTCTGTGACCCTTTTCGGCAAATCTGCAAAAGCATGTCCCAACTTTTTTGGCTCCTTTTCTCTGGCACCAATGAAGACAATTGGCAGTAAATATTATAAACTGTGATGTGATTGATATATGCATACCTTTTGCCGGCCACAGATTTAAAAAGAGAGAGAGGGTCTCTCCAAACTTGTTCTCATCTTTTGACCGATTTATGTGTCCTACTGTGATTGAATCAAACAAAACTCGAAGTAGAACAGTCTGATCAGCTAGTTAATCAAATATTGGAGCAAGATTATATATATTAAAAGTTGTACTTATATAATCGGATGATATCTAAATATGAAACAAGTTGTTCTCTTGTTAGGGACTGATTAAGTACCCTCTCAAGTAAACATAACATTAAAAATGCACTTGTTAGGTTGCCCTATCTCGCTAATGTAAAGATAAGGAGACGTAAAATGCGTTACATTAAAATAAATTACATGAGAAAATTTGAATTATAGAAAAATGAGACCATTAAAATGATTTGATGTGGAAATCATGGTTTAAATTATATAAAAATGGCTGTGTTGCTTACCAACCAAGTTATTAAAAATTTGGCAAAAATATAAATCCCAACAAACATTTTAAAAATACATAAATTAAAGGCCAACATGTTTTTGCACGGGTTGCGTGCCGGTTTAGAATTATGTATAAGCATAACTTTCCTTTTCTTTTTTAATATAAAGGCATCCGCCGATAATAATTAAGAGAATTGTTATTCGCATTCCAAAAATCTCATTCTACACTCTAAATTTTCAATATTTGGAAAGAAAAATACATTTGTGAGGAATGTTGAATAAAATTTTTGAAATGCCAATAATACTTTCCATAATTAATTTCTTTTTATGCAGTTTTGGAAGCACATGGGGGCGGCAACACACTTTTGACCATAAATTCAACTGCCCATAAAAGATGAGTTGGTGGCTTTAAAAAGTTCATTCGTAGGAGTTCCAACTCGGGTTTTTGGTCCAAAAATTTTGCACGCTTTTTACTAAAATAGAAGAGTTTTCTTAATTAAAATAGTTTTTGAAATTAATATAATTTTTTATTTTGATCTGTGAAATTTAAAGGTGTTGTTTCATTTTGATTCTTATATAACAAAATTATCACGGAATGATCAAATTGATTGACGATGAATAAACACAGAAATCACTTCAAACTTAAAAACCAAATTGAAAAATTATGTTAATTCGGGAACCATTTTGGTAAAAATGCCAAATAGAAATTATTATTTTAGTGTTGACTTAACGAGGGGGTGACCGTCTTCCTTCAACTTTCTTTTATAAGTTTAATAGGGTGAGAAAGATAGAATATATTTTGACAAAAAAAAAAAAAAAAACAACAAACAAACTCTCGTTTGCTTCCGCAGAACAAAAAAAGACAGAGCCTCCGACGTTCTACTTCATCATCTGCTAAGTGTCCCAAGTTTCGGATTTTCCTGCAGATTAAACTTGCTGCGAATATCTTAGTCATGTCTCAGAGCCAGACCAATTGGGAAGCTGATAAAATGTTAGTAATTTTGCACTGTAAAAATTTTCTTTTCTCCTAACGTTATTTTGGTCGAAAATTTTCTGGGGCTTTTCGTGTTCTTACTGCCATGGCGGCAACTTGGACTCTGGGGGTTTTTTGTAGTGAGTTTTTGGTTGTAGGGTTTTGGTGGGTACTATTGTTTTCTCATCTTTTATTCCAAATGGGTATTTTATGGTGTTTTGCTTTTTGGCATTTGGGTTTGTTTCACTTATGTTGTTCGTTTTCTCGCATAAATAACCATCCTTTCGGTTAAAGATTGAACCTTTGCTGTTGGGTTGTGGTAAATTTATGTTTTTCATGTTTTGCTGACCTTAATCTGTACTGGGTTGTTTGATTTTACATGTTTTTGCAAGCTATGTCGAGATATCCTCAATGTTTTTTTGTGTATGATAAGGTTGTGTTCTTGTTGTTGGTAACGCCCTGGCTGTCTGGCTCCCAGTTTTCTATTTTTTTCCTCATGCTCCAGGGAAAAAAGGGGAAAATAAGAAAGAAATTTAACTTTTCAGACTTGTATGGGGACATTGGGGATCCAAAAAGTTGCTTTTCTTACATTTTCTTAGCGGAAGTAAAGTAACATGTCTTTTGATGCTGTGAATTTTCTTAAAACAGCTTAAAATTTTGTTTCTCGTGTTTGATTCAGTTAGTTCTAGGAATTAAATAATTCGCTTCAACAAAATTTGACGTTAAAAAAGATAATTAGTGATAAGAATTTGAGTTTTCGGGGCTCAAAGATTTTTCACTTTTAATAGTTCCATTCATTTTCTTGGCACTGGATTGGTGGATTAGCATTATGTGAGATGTTGTTTCTGCATTTTGTACCTTCTGTCAATGTTATTTTCTGCAGATTCTCAAGTGTTAAGAGTTTTTTTGGATTCGTGACGTGTGGAAACATTATAATGTGTTTGGATCACAGGTTGGATGTGTATATCTATGATTACCTTATGAAGAGAAAATTACATGCTTCTGCAAAGGCATTTCAAGATGAAGGAAAAGTTTCTACGGATCCTGTAGGTGAGAATATACTTAAATCTGCCAAAGAAAAGAGATTCATTGTATATACGTGAATTTATACCTGAATTTAATTTAATTTCTTTGATTTTATGGTTGCTTCAGCTATTGATGCACCTGGTGGCTTTCTTTTCGAATGGTGGTCTGTCTTTTGGGACATATTCATTGCTAGGACGAATGAGAAGCATTCAGAAGCAGCTGCATCTTACATAGAGGTGTGGACTTAGATTTGACTTCATTCCTGGCTCTATTGTTTTTGCTGCCCTTGCAATATAGTTGGCATCTTTTGAATTTCTCCATTTTAAGTCGTTTCACTGTTTGTCTGGATGCGTTAGACTCAAGTGATAAAGGTGAGGGAGCAGCAGCAGAAGCCTCAGCAGCAAGATCAAATGCAAATGCAGCAGCTTCTATTACAAAGGCAGCAACAGCAGCAGCGACAACAACAACAACAACAGCAGCAGCCGCAGCAGCAACAGCAACAGCTGCGTCGAGATGGGACCCAGCTTCATAATGGCACTGCCAATGATTCTCTTTTGAGGCAGAACCCGGCAACTGCAAATTCTATGGCAACAAAAATGTACGAGGAGAGATTAAAGCTTCCACCACAGAGAGATGCTATGGATGATGCAGCTATCAAGGTAATGAGTTTTGCCATATTCCTCCGAGAGACTTTCTTTCTATGTTATGTTCGTTTAATCTAGTTACAAACTCACAATACATACATCATGCAGCAAAGGTTAGGCGATAATATGAGTCAGCTTTTGGATCCCAATCATGCGTCGATGATGAAAGCAGCCACAGCAGGTGGCCTGCCTCCTGGGTATTTCTCTTAAGATTCCACATTTATCATGACTCAGCTTTACGGTGTAACACATGTTCTCTGCATGCAATTGATACTTAGTATGAAAGTGGTTGAACTCCTTTACAGTCAAATGCTGCATGGTACACCTGAAGGTGTGTTGGGGAATCTTCAACAACCTCACAGTCGGAGTCAGCAACTTCCTGGTTCTTCACAGGTGATTATCATCAGTGATCTGTTTCCTTGTCTTTTATCCCTATAATTTGATTTTCTTATTGTGGGTGTGTTTTCTTTGATGAAACAGGACATAAAGAGTGAGATGATGAACCCCAGAGCTGTTGCTTCAGAAGGATCATTGATTGGTGCTCACGGTACTGAATCTACTGATTGATATCATCAGTTAGGACTCATATTTAATGCAGAAAATGCAATTTCCATTTCAGTTTGTTGCATATTTCATTGCTTGTTTATGTGTAGAAATCATTACTCATATTTGTGTTTAATTCTTCTCTTACAAATGATTCGTGTTTTCATTTTAGGATCAAATCAAGGCAATAACAATTTGACTCTGAAGGGATGGCCTTTAACGGTAGGACTGAATATACCCTTCCACTCTATATGATTGTAATGTATCTTTTCTTAGTGTTTCTTTCAAATTAGATAAACAGTGGTTTTCTGATTGAGTTTCACCTTTTTAGGGATTTGATCGGCTTCGATCTGGGATTCTTCAGCAGCAAAATTCTTTGATGCAGTCCCCACAACCCTATAATCAACTTCTGCAACAGCAGCAACTTATGCTAGCACAACAAAATTTGGCTTCCCCATCTTCCAATGACTTGGACAATAGACGGATGAAAATGCTTCTCAACAATCGAAATTTGGTTATTGGGAAGGATGGTCAATTAAGTTCTGTCGATGTACCTAATGTTGGATCACCAGTGCAAGTTGGTTGCCCGGTCTTGCCTCGTGGAGATGCTGACATGCTGATGAAGGTATCATTTCTTCGTCTACACTAGATTTTTTGAATAGCTTAACTATTACCACTAGATGTCAACTTCATGCTTCCTATAAATATTTGCTTATATAGCCAACCTATCAGTTACAGCAACAGCAGATGCAAAGCAACAATCAACAGCAGCAGCCATATTCGCAGCATCCGCTTTCAGGTCAGCATTCTCAGAATTCAAGCCAACACCTTCAGCAGCATGAAAAAATTATGGGTTCTAGCAGCATGGCGCCAGATGGTAGCATGCCTAACACCTTACAAGGGAATGACCAGGTTTTCTGTTACTGCCTATTGAATTCATGTTTTCTATAGCTATGTCCTTATTCTTATCTATCTTTTCTTTTCTTCAACTTGATCATTGCAGTAAAAACGTTCTTAGAAATATATTGTGTAGTTTGCATGCTTTAACTTCCATCCTACTTAACTGTTTTTATAATACTAAACTCATTTTCATCATATTTCTAGAGCCAACGGCTTTTTTTATCTGTATTTTCGCTGTGAACATGATTAGTGTTGAATACTGTTATATGAGATTCTCACTTTAGTTTTCCTTGTTTAAGGCTTCAAAGAATCAACTTGGGCGAAAGAGAAAGCTGCCAGTGTCATCTTCGGGTCCTGCCAATAGCTCAGGGACAGTTAATACCACAGGGCCATCTCTCAGTTCACCTTCAACGCCTTCTACTAACACGGCAGGAGATGTCATGTCTATGCCAACTTTACCCCAAAATGGTGGTTCGTCGAAGTCTCTACTTATGTTTGGCTCTGATGGCTTGGGCTCACTTGCATCAGCGCCAAATAAATTGGTTAGAAACTTGAAATTATTTTATCTAACTTCTCTGTATTGATTGCATTTGGGATGACTTAATTTGTGTTACCCCAAGTCACTTGTAGTGGGTATAACATGCTCTTAGAGACTTGACTCACCTGTGATTTTCTTATCATTAATGTGCCCTTTGCGAGAAAACGTAGAAAATTTACTTATCAGGGATTGTTCTTAGAACTTCATTGGCAATCTGTAACTGAGCTATATATTGCAGACTGATGTAGACCGTTTTGTGGACGATGGATCTTTGGAGGATAACGTTGAGTCATTCTTATCACATGATGATGCTGACCCTAGAGGTAGAGTCGTTCGGTGTTCAGATGTCAGCAAAGGTATGAACTTTGTTAATTATGTCAGAAGATGTATGTCTTGGTTTCTTCATGCTAGAAATGTAACAAAAGGCTTTCTATATCTTCTTGATGAAATAGGCTTCAGTTTTACGGAAGTCCAGCTTATTCCTGCAAGTACAAATAAAGTTGAATGTTGCCACTTCTCTTCAGATGGAAAATCACTTGCCACTGGTGGGCATGACCGAAAGGTAAGCCTAGATCGAAATTTCATATAGATACTGTGGGCATGAGCAACTTAAATTGCTATCTGCTCCTGTTTTTCAAAGAAGTGTTGCAAATATGAATGGTTCAAGTTTGATACTGTTTTTGTTGATCATATGGTTTATATAAACACACAATACTCGTGATTAATTGATTATTTTGTGGTGCAGGCTGTATTGTGGTGCACTGAAACTTATAGTGTCAAGTCTACACTTGAAGAGCATTCTCATTGGATAACTGACGTTCGCTTTAGTCCTAGCATGTCAAGGCTTGCTACATCTTCTGCTGACAAAACCGTCAGGGTTTGGGATGCTGATAACGTGGGTCGACATTTTTGTTTTTTCTTAATTCAATACAATGCCGATAATGTTTCATGCAATTGATGATTTGATGTTAATTTGTGCAGCCTGGATATTCACTACGTACTTTTACGGGACATTCTACCACTGTCATGTCGGTGGACTTCCACCCCAGCAAAGAGGACTTTCTCTGCTCCTGTGATAACAACAGTGAGGTACGGTACTGGAGTATCAAGAACGGTAGTTGTGCTGGAGTTTTCAAGGTATACAACTTGGTGTTAATTTGTCTGCTCTATATACGGATTACCAGAATTCTATTTCTCCGTTTAGTAAATCCATTTGTATTTAATAATGTTACCCTATTTTTTCAGGGTGGTGCAACTCAGGTGAGGTTTCAACCGCGTTTTGGAAGAAACCTTGCTGCTGCAGCAGATAATTTCGTATCCATCTTGGATGTCGAGACACAAATTTGCAGGCTTAAGTTACAGGTTTCTTATTGACTTCCTGTTATTTTTATTAGTTTTGGTATTGATTTTAAATTGTTAGGATGGGTAGTAGTGTCCACGTTTGGGCTCTAGTGAAACTGTGAAAGTATATGAAAACAAGATTACTGTGTTATTTTGCCTGGACACTCTTTTCTTTACAAACCTCAAAATATATGAATCAAAATCTTACGATTACCGTCCTTGTTTCTTAAACTTTCCTAACCATCATGTTCATCATGATTACTTTCTGATTTGTTTCTTGTGGTATTTATCATAGGGTCATAAAAGCACTGTCCATTCTGTGTGCTGGGATCCTTCTGGCGAGAATCTAGCATCAGTGAGTGATGATTTGGTGCGAGTGTGGACAGTTGGTTCCAGCTGCAAAGGGGAATTCATTCACGAGTTGAGCTGTTCTGGCAACAAATTCAATACGTGCGTGTTCCATCCTAGTTATCCTGCATTGTTGATCATTGGCTGTTATGAGGTAAGTCATAACTTCTTTACCTTTCTATTACGCGGTGACTTGCTCTTATCGAAGATGCTAAGCGGATTTTTGTTTTGATGTGGTGTGAATTCAGAATTTGGAGCTTTGGAACATGGCCGAGAACAAGACAATGACTCTGCACGCTCATGACAAGCTAGTGTCTTCTCTGGCGGTATCAAGTGCTACGGGGTTAGTTGCTTCAGCCAGCCATGACAAGTGCGTCAAGCTCTGGAAGTGAGTCAGTGTTTAGATGCTTTAGTTGTTTATATGGTTACTGTGTCGTAGCATGAAAAAAAAGGCGCTTTAGATCTTTAGTTTAACCAACCCCAGTTAACCGATACAAGAATTTTGTTGCCCCGGGCCTAACTGCGATATCAAAACGATCTCAATCGAAGAATCTTGTTCAACATAAGGGGATTATATGTAAATATATTTTCGGCCAAAGGAAATATCATCAGATGTATGCTACTACAGCTTGTGTGCATCTGTCTGGATTAGTTCAAGCTCCTTTGTCGAAATATGTTGCTTTGTACCCAAGGTACTCTGTCCATGTTACCGGAGATAGAGCGGACGATTGTGGTCAATCAACGGTGATATCTCCACGTCCATTGGCGGGCCATAGAAGTATGCGATCGAAATCCGATGGTGTGGTTTGTTCACAACTGCACAATGCACAGCAATCTTGAAGCGTCCGTTCAACAGTATGTGCATCAAATCACCAACGTTTAGGACAAGTGCACCGGGGATCGGGTGCGCCGGATCCAGGACTTTGGAGGCCGTTTATGTTGATTTGGTTTACCATGCATCCGACGTACGATACGTCGGATTGTATACGAGTGTCCATAACCCTAGAAAAATCGATTGTGATGAGAGGGCAAGCGGATATGTATCAGGGAATAGAGTCACATCATAGATATAAACTAATGTACAGTTTATATGTCAAAGGGTACAACCATTATCATCGATACTTTTTTAGGATGGAATTGTACTAGTGCTTGGTTAGCATGGCGGCTAAGTTGGGGATAAGATCAGTGTTGTACCATTGACTCGTCTCTTTGATACATAAGCTTTTCCATCGTGACACGACTCTTGAATCATAACTCTTGTGAGATGGTCCGAAGCCATTGGATCTTTTTTTATTTTTTTTCTTATTGTCAGTCATGCATGATTGACAGGCCAATAAAAAGCACAAAAATAGTTATCAGACGCAACCTTAGAAAACAAAAAAGACGACGACATTTTATTCGGTAAGTTGAAGAAATGCGTTCAAACCAAAAGTATGGAACAAGTAATTAGTTTACAAATGAAAATTTCCAGCCAGTCCACCGGCTGTTATCTGCACTCGATCTAAAACAAACAAATAAGTTGGTCCTATATATATAAATGTAAATCTTGTGGCTATATACCTCAACTGTTTCTTCAGGAGAAGCTGCTATACTTGTAATACAAGTAACATTCCCAGAACTGAAGCAATGTGGTATAAAAATCAGACATGTCATCTCCTCTGGAAGTTGAATGATTTTATTGCGAAGGCAAAAATAAAGGCGAAAAACACGCAGAAACCGACCACCATAATGCCGGCTACACCCAGAAAATCATGCTTGTAACCAAACCCTACTTTGAGTAACTGCCTTACAGGCATTTTATGGATTCCGTCGGCTAGTGTCAAAAGACTCTCATCCTCGCCGTACTGTGAAACAAAGAGGCCGTACAGACTCCAGGCTACCGGGTTTGCCCAGTAATACCATCTCCACCATATTGGAATTCTCTGAACAAGTGCAACGTGTTAGATAGCTAACTCAATCAATCAGTGTTTTCACCTGTAAATCAGGTTTTCGTGCTAGTTTCGTGTCTGAAACTAGCACTGTACATCCGAGATGTAGCGCGAAATGCAAGTGATCAAATTAAGCAAACTGAGAAGAAAGAAAGCAGTCACTTTCGTTACCTTGTGAGGAATCATAAAGCCGCTGAAGAGGTTCCACAGCATATAAAATGGAGCAGCAATTACAGCGGCCACGTTATGATTTGGGGTGACAGCAGTTGTCATCATTCCGTAGAAGGTGAAGTACAGCATTGTGAAGTACATAAAGAATATGTACCAAAGAAACTTCAAAGCAGTCCACTCAAATGAGGCCGTGGAGTAAAAAATTGTGCAGTAGAAAATTGCTTGTGCAAACACATAAGGGAGCTCTATAACCACCTGCAGGCATGACCAAAGCATTAGATAACTTTTCGGGATACCAGGGTATTGTGCGTTAAAAGAGTCGCATAACACAACAAAGGTAAACCTGAGCAAATGCAAACGGTAAAGCTGAGTACATCCCTGCAGCTCTCTCTCGATATGAAACAAAACGTTCTACAGAAACAACAGGTTGAACAGCAGTGGCATTGGTGATTCCGCTAAATAGGATTGCTGCATACATGGATCCCATGGCATTTAATAAATCCTGCTGTGTATCCCTGTAAAGAGAACGAAAGTAAATTCCTGTCATGTATAGAACCTAATGGTACGGATACTAATCATCATAGCTCAAAATCTATTAGAGTAGCAATAAAATCAAAAGATTAAGAAAAAGAAGGAAACCTCTTAGCTCCAAATCTCCAACAAATTGTTCCTAACATCAACGAGATGATGACAGTGTAAAAGAAGCGAACTGCAGTGTACTGAGGGTTTCGCCAGTAAGACAGATTTTGCTTCCAAAGACAGGTGAGAAATTGTTCGACAAATGATTGAGAGTACTTGGTTGGAAAGTTTAATTCTTTCAAATTGGCGCTTGGCTTGCTTAGATTTTCAACCAACTCTTTGTTATGTCTGAAACAAAGGAATATAGGTTGTTAGCTAAAGGAACAGATAGTTCTCTGTACAAGCAACACAGCCAGGATTCATGTAGTAGTCATACCGAAACAAGTTAGAACTTCGGTAAACTTCTGCAAAATCCACCCCTAGACGACTTTCTTCAACTGTAGAAGTAACATCAAGCATCCATGTGGCAGGATTATATCCAGGCCTGATCTTTTCTACTCCTTCGACTGCCTGCAGAAGCAAATATTTACATGGTAAGTTGACAGTTGTAACCATTTCGCAATCACACACTTTATTAAAGAAATACTGGCATGCAAGATCCGACCTCAAAGTACTTGATGATATCACAAGACTTGGGACCAAGTGGACCAGCATATATGAGCTCTCCTCCACGCTTCAAAAATAGGAGCTGCAATGATAGATAAGATTGTAGCAGGATGAATCAAGATACTAAAGCATTATTCTCGGTATACATATGCATGGAGAGAGAGGGAGAGAGAGAGTGTGTGTACCTCATCAAAGGATTCAAAGATGTCTATGCTAGGCTGGTGGATTGTGCATACGATAGTACGTCCAGTATTGACGATATTCCTCACAGTCCTCATCACAATAGCTGCAGAACGTGCATCCAACCCTGATGTTGGCTCATCCATGAACACTATTGAGGGGTTGGCAACCAGCTCAACAGCTATTGTTAGCCTTTTTCTTTGTTCTGTAGACAAACCATCCACCCCCGGTAGACCAACCAACGCCCCACTTAACGGAGTGAGCTCCACTAGTTCCATCACCTCTTCTACAAAAGCCTGAATGTAATTTTTTTTAAATTATTAAAATGATGGATTAATTGATCTTATAATGAAGACATACATAAGCAGTAAATAATTTTATGTGCGTACCCTTTGTGTCTCCAACTCAACATCTGATGGTAACCGAAGCCAAACAGAGAAGAGAAGCGATTCCAGGACAGTCAAGCAGGGGGAATGAATATCAGACTGCTCACAGTAACCAGAAATTCTCGCAAAAGTTTCTTGTCTTTTTGGATAACCAGATATATGAATGCTCCCTTCTATCGTCCCACCAGTTTTTCGACCAGCTAATACATCCATGAGGGTGGTTTTCCCTGCACCACTTACTCCAACCAATGCTGTAAGCACCCCAGGCCTAAATGCTCCAGTGACATTACTTAACAGCTGCAATTTCTCTTCTTGAATGCCCTGCTGCTTCAATTCCTGCAGCCGTACTTGGATCAGAAACGATTATATAGTCAACATGTTTCCAAGAATAGATGGCGCAAGTGAGTAGTGTTAAATTCTCACCAGAGGGACATCGACGTAGTAATTGATATTGCTGAAAGACATGGAAAGTGGTTGAAATGGGAGCACCATTCCTCTCTGCTTAAAATATTTTGCTGCACAGGATATGAACAAGAATTTTCGAAATTAGACTGATCCATAGTTAATTGAAAAGAGTTGTTCTAATACATTCAATTTCTGAACTTCTTTACAAACCATTTAATGACTCTGAATGCTGCAAGTACTGTCTCAGCTCAATAACAACAGTTTCTCCTTTTCTTCTCCCTTCTCTCTCTTGAAGCTCGTCCTTGGTGACTACTGCTTGTTGTTTCCCCAAGGCTATTGTATATATCATAAATCAACTCAATTAGCTTTCTTTCTTTGAGTTTGTTTGGCTACATGTAGCACTAAGAGAAAACAAACATTAGGGTATTCTTGTGAGCAGAAATGACTTACGGTTAAGGTAAGCTAGGAAGAATGTGAAGAGCATGTTGAATAAAATTGTATATCCAAGCAAAGCACCAGCACCAATCCAAAACCAGTAGCTCTGTGGAAACAAACTGCGTGCTCTTAGCAATGCCTCGCCTAATGGAATGGTCTCGTTTCCAATTCTCTGCATAAATAACAGAAAATACAAATTAGAAGTTCCAAAATAGAATCCTAGAGACTAGCTTGAAAAAATATGTATTTTCTGTACAGTGTGGAATTTTGTGAATATTTATACGATTTAGAAAAATTAATAAAAAATTATAATCCATTAATCAAAATTGAATATACAGTGAATTGGAAGGTTACCTTATCCCATTTATGTCCAAGGAATTCATTTACGGAAGCTGCATTTTGAGCATACATCAAGGGAGAAAACCAGAAGCCCCATATCCACCACTTTGGTATATGATCTGTCGCAATCAAATAAGGACATTAGTAAAATTATAAACTCAAATTGGAAACATATAGGCATTGACAAAATGTTAGTTTACCTTTTGAGATGATGTATCCTCCAAGAGCCATAACAACTAACATAGCAAAAGATCCAAAAGTGTTGGCAATTATCATATTTCGACCCAAGGATCCCATAAGACGGAAGAGAGCTATTGACATCTGGTGTAGCAAGAAATATATCAAGAACTGCCCACAGAATCTGCATATTCAACAATTTAACCTAAGAATTTCATCCCAACTTTCAGAATGCATGGAGAAATCCAAAGGAACGTATGATTTACCTAGTAATTGAAGGATCAAATCCAATGACATAGTATGTGATTGCCACCCAGAAACCAGACTCTATGAATGAATTTGGAACACTTAAGGCCCAGGACGGAATGGTATAGACCCAGCTAGGGTAGAAATGCAAGTCCCTATGCTTGTAAAGTACCGGAAGCTTGGCAACCAACATTGACACCTCCATGAAGCCATTGAAAAGAATAATAACCATGGAAAAGTATAGTGCACCAAGATATAGGCCTCCATCATCAATTGTATTGTGGTGCAATGTTGACCGGAAAAAAACACTCATTGTGACCATAGCAACAAAAAGAAGCTGGAAGACAGAACATATTACTTGGGAAATCAGCACCAGATAGCAAAAAGAAACCGGAAAAAAAAATACTCATTGTGGCGCAATGTAACAATTTCATCTTACAGATGATTGGGATAAGGGAAAAATAGATACTAACTCAGAAGTGAACTGGTACCTGAATGAACTTGAAAACGTAGATAAATGCATTTCGCTTCATTAGAAGAAGTTGCCAGTTATAGCTTGTTTTGAGAAGCTCACACCTCTTCATGCCATAGAGAGACGTAGCTAAAGCTGCAGGATGGTTATAGCGTTTATCAAAAGGAACATCTAGTTCTTCAGACAAAGTCTTCCCAGCTTGAAATAAACGATAAGCGTCAACAAACTTTGCTGGTGGCACATAGCGGTATGGGAGATCAGGATTGGACCAGTACTGCTCTTGGTCCTTCTTTGATATAACCTGCGTACAAGGAAAACAATTATCAACCATTCCATGTACGTAACAGAATGCAAATTCACAACTACAACTCAAGACTTCTATATATAACTTACTTCTTGCAAGAAGTCTGCCACATTCTTTCTCAGTGGACATCTAAATCCCATATATGAAAAGAAATCAATAGCAGTTTCGCGGGGTCCCTGATACACAATCTGGCCCTCACACAAAAGTATAACATCATCAAACAACTCATAGGTCTCTGGAGCAGGTTGAAGCAAAGATATGACAGTGGTTGCATCAAGTGCTCGAGTTGAATGCCTTAGATATTTGATGATTTGATAAGTAGTAGAACTGTCAAGACCAGTTGATATTTCATCCATGAACAGAACTCTTGCCGGACCTACTAATAATTCCCCTGGAAATCATAGCGGAGTTATTAGCAAACAGCTTTACCTTACTAGTGCACAAGAACTCCCTCCCTCGTCAAAAATTAAAAAACAAAGTATGCACCTGTAGTAAGCCGCTTCTTTTGCCCCCCTGAGATTCCCTTGAGCATTTCATCTCCAACCAATGTATCAGCACATATGTCCAACCCTAAAATCTTTGTCAAACATATTTAGTATCAAAAGATAATCCAAGAATAAAACTAGATTATGACATACTATACACGACAATGAAATCCAAACAAGGGATAAATGAAAAAAACCTAATCTAATCTCTCTACTAAAACAAATTCTCCATAATCTCTTCTCCCTCCGTTTGAACTTCAACTTACAATTTGCCCGCTTTAACAATGTGGTCCAGAATGTTGTTGAAACAAGACATTTCTGCTTTTGGGAGAATATAACCTCACAAAATATTTTCATTCATTTTTAAAATGAAAATAACCGGACAGAATATATGTATTCGGAAATGACAAGCATCAAACAAGTACCTTCATGATGTACTCCACCACAAGGCTTGTCTCCTTCCCCCCAAGAGCTAATGACTGGAAAAGAAATTGTGTCAGCAATCATTTCATATACAATGGAATTGACATATCTAACAACTGCAAGTACCTTCATGAATATATCAAGATCTTCGTCGGGTATTATCCCAGCGCACTTCTCTCTTCTTGCAAGTTCTACTAACATATCTATGATGACAAGTATTCATGTCAGCATATAAACAAGAACGATACATACACAAACACGTGACCTTGCAAAGCTTACCATATTTGGTTCCAACACCTTGACATCGTCCGGCAAACTCAAGAGTTTCCCTTACAGTCATCTCTGCCGCGTGCCAATCCTGTTGGCTGACATAAGCAGATGTCCGCTGAGGGACAAACTCCTTTAAGCCATGTCCGTTATACGTGACGTTCCCTGACATCTTCAAAATAATCAAAAGTACAAATGAGCAAAAGGAAATGTCAAACGGAGCGAGCAACTAGTAGAAAATCTGTCATTAAATCTGAAAAAGCGGTAATTTCACAACACGAAATATTGTCTCACCCTTCAAACATCTGCTCAATAGGAAAAAGATCAAAGATTTCATGATTTCATGAAAACTCAAAAAAGTAACGGAGTTACCTGCAAACCGGTTCCCAGGCGTCCGGCAAGAGCCAATAGTAGCGTAGTCTTTCCGGAGCTTGGTGGACCCAATAGTAATGTCAATCTAGAAGCAATACCAACGGCTTGTTAGGCGTAACTCTGACAGACATTCCGATGCTACTGTAGCAGTATACCAAGCCAATCCAACACTACCACGTGAGAAATTGGCTTGAAACACCGCCACAATGGCATCCGAATTATATATCAGTGCTTCCAGTAAACACTGGACTGGAAATTCAGTAACCGAGTACTGACTGAAGCTTAAAAAACTTACCTTGAAGGTCTTACAATCCCGCTAATGTTGTCTAAAATCGTTAATTTGCTTCTCTGCCCCCTGTATATTCGCAATTGCCTAAAAAGGGCCTAAAACGCCATCCGAAAAATGCAAAGATTACAAATTTTTCAGACAATTATGTAATTTAAGAAAATTAAAGGGAATGAGTTTATACCTCCGTCATATTAAAAACAAAATTGGGAATAGTGGGCAGCGCTCTGCTTCCGACGTGGACGAAAGCTTCAACCTTCAAGTTCTGAAATCGGACCTCGATCTTCGGAAAATTCAATGCTACTCTGCACACTCAAATAAAGAACACCAAAACAAATTAAGCACAACAGAAAGGTTCCGGAATTGAAAAGGAGAAAATGATCTGTTTGGTTGCTGAGAAAACGAGAAAAAACAGAAACTTCAGTACTCGCAGTCTCTGCCGACATTTTCTCAGAAGCCGAACAGACTCAAATTAAGTGCAAGAGAAAAGTTACGAAATTGGAAAGGACAAAAAGAAAATCCTCCGTTTGGTTGCTGAGAAAATGATCACATTTGGCATTATTATACTGAAATCAATGATTTTCTCAGCAGTCAAACAGTGTAAATCAAAGTATCAGTAAAGTTGAAGAGGATTACGCGTCAAATCTTCGGCGCATGCGATCGAAAAATTGCTCGGGGTCGTCGTCGGCGGAGCTAACAAGCCGGTCGAGAAGAAGCTTCTGCTCCTTAGCCTCGAGCTCGCCGACGTCGATCTCCATAGTGTCTCCGACGACGTTTCTGAAAATGCCGCGCCGTACTCTGGCGTAGGTCGGGAGCCGCTCCAGCGCGGCCCACCGCAGCGCCTCCTCATCGTCCCCTCCCTCCCGAAACGACCCCGATCTCGCGAACACGTTCTCTGCCGAGTTCCACATCGGAAATCCCCAAAAGCTCTCCCCAGCCACAGAAAAATGCACAGGCTTAGGCTGAAGAGGGAGATAAGAGAGAGAGAGAGAGGCTAATTAAAAGTGGAGTGTGAATGTGAGAGGGACATGTTTGATTGCTGGAAATGGTGGTTGGAGCTCTGCATTTAATTTCTCTCTCTAAGTAAGTCTTGGTGTTTGTTGCGACGGGTGAGAGAAAGAGAGACAGGGAGAGAGCTTCTACTTTCTCTCTTTAAAATGATCGTTAAAATTTTCAGTTTGTGCAGGACGACAGAGAGCGAGGTTCATTTAATAGCCGAGGGAAAGACAATGCGCAGCAGGCCTCTTGCAAAGCCCGACGCGCGCGGCTATTTAAATCAATTCTATTTGCTCCACGGATGAAGCTTCTATCTCATCCAACGGCTAGAATTAATCGTGAAATGGGGAACTTTCAAATTTATCTATTTTTAAACATACTCTAACTCTTGGAGTAAAACTCAAATTTTAGGTTGTAAACTTACTCCAACTTAATCTAACCTTTGGAGCAAATATGAGTTAAACTCAAACTCATTTATGGGCCAAATTTAGCCCAAGATTCCTCCAGGTTAGTTGGGCTGACTTACCATATATGTATATATTTTTTAATTTTATATTTATAAATTCATTGAATTCAACTGTTAAGATCTAATTTGATCAAATCCAACGTAAAAAAAAAATCTAATAGTCCAAATTTTCTAGGTTAAAACCTAAATTTTCTAAGTTAAAAATTTTAGGTTTTAATCCAAGGGTTGGTAAATGGTCTTAGAGACTCAAAATAATTGATGCCCTTGTTTTCTTTTTCTCATACGAAAATAAGAAAACTCTGTTTTTTGGTACTATTGCTTGAGACCCTTAAAAAATAACTCGAGCCCCTTCACCACCTCTCGAATATATAACAAGAAGTAATATAACACTCAAGACAATAAAAATGACTCGACAAGTGCTTGAGATGAGCTTAAGACATACTGGAGAGTGACAACCGAAGGTAGATAAACAAATTGAGTGCAATTAAATTATGACTCGGAAGCGAGGCGTAATAGTTGAATAGTTACTTCCTAATGTCATGTGTCGATTCTGTATGTATTTCGATGTCGGAACATATGACATCTAGACAGTTTAAAAACTTATTTTTGTGTGAGGTGTATAAGTGAGATGAACTAATACGCAGACCTATTAAGTCTTTTCACATACAAAAATAGCATATTTTATAAATTAAAGAAACAAACATATTTTTTAGCCCACTAAAAATCAAATTTCCAACATTCCCACTGTGAAGTGTGAAAGGACCGTCGGTTTTGTTCATAGGTCTGGCGCGTGCGGTAGTTGGGTTGGCGCCGGCGCGTGTGGGTTATTTTCGTGGGAATTTAAATGAAACGGTTGGGAAGGTGTGATTTTACTGATTTACCACCCTGTTGGGGTGATTCGGAGTTAAAAAAACGGCAGGTAAAGTTCAATTTTCCAAGGGAAAAAGCATGACGTTTTGCTTCTTTAAACCGAAGCATTTATCCATTATCCACCATCCCGTCGAAAAGGTGAGGCATTGCATATTTGTGGAAGCTTTTCCATTGCCATTGCTCACTATACTCGTGTGTTCTTTGCCAAGGTTAGTTCTTGTTATTTACTTCTAATGCTCCATAGTTCCTAGTTGAGGTTGACACTGTCAGTTATTTATAATTTATAATCATTGATTTATAATAGGTTATAACTAATCATGTCAGTCGTCTACTGTTGATGGATAGTTATCATCTACAATTCCTCATCGTTGATATCCAAAATTTCTAACAATTGATGCATTGTGGGTCATGGCTGCTCTGGTATTTCAAAATTCTTGATCATTGATGCATTATTGGTTAGGAATGTTTTGGTCAATCGCCTACAATCCTAATTGTTAATGCATTGTAAGATAAGAACAGTCTAAACCATCACTTACAATTTCGTATGTGAACGACTAGAACATATAAACTTTTGTGTGTTTCAGATCAGAATTGTACATGATCATGTGGTTAATATGATAAATGGAGGGTAAATGCAATTTCTTAATTTGTATATTTTTTGGTAGCATGAGGACTTCATTTCATCAGTATGGCATGGCAGCTCTTAACCCCACTGAAAGTGACATTTTCATCAGAATAGCTTCTGTTAAATTGTCTTGTTGTCTTCTGTATATTGCATGAAAATTGTCGATTTTCAAACCCTAGTCGTTTTCATCTACCAAAAATATTGCAATTTCTGCCATTGATGGTCAGAAAATATTTGACCTACTCAAACCAAAATCTAGAACCACATCGGAATGATTCCATGGTAGGAGACGAATTACAGACTCATATTCCACATAGCACGTTTTGAGTTTGATCTCTGATACTGGTGAATCACACGATAATGGTCAAGGGAAGGCTGAAATATCTTTGCAAGTCTTCCGAGCCCCCAAAAAAGTAAAATATATAACGTAGAGAGAAAATGTCATAACTTTTACAATCAAGCTAGGAAGTTATCTCCGACACTACATGTATATGATAAAGGGTAATGCCAAGGAAACTAAATTTATGGACAAAATTTTAGAAACCAAAGGACATGAAAGTCGATGACTTGTTTATTACTTAAACGTTGATGAACGTGCTCATTTTTATTAATAATACATGATTTAGTAAGAAAGAAATCTATGGTAAGAGTTCGGTGATCCAAAAAGCAAAAAAGACAGGTAGGATTTAAATTCTGCCTCCGTTACGGACGAGAATTTGGTTTACACAGAACAAGTGACAAGTCAAAGGAAAAAAAAAAAAAAAAACTATTCAGACAATGGAAATTGGAAAACATTTCCCTGCCAACTGCATATTATTACTGTTCCTTTGCCCCTTACTTGTTGGCAATGGCGTTGGGATATTAATGGGAAAACTAAATGCCCAAGGCCCAGCTTTGAAAATATGTAACACCACCACTGCTGGTTCATATGTAGTTGCAAAAACTCAATAATTCCTTCCAATCCTTCAAATACAACAATAAAATTTGTTTTGTATGAATCCTGAAACATCATTGTGCTCGTTTTGCGTCAAATCATCATTTACCCTTATTACCCTAAACCTCTATGTCAAAAGTGCATTTTCTAACATGATAATTTGTAGATCTTTCAGTTCATATGTCCAACCATTTTAAACTGAATTTCTTTCATCTATCTTCAATTGCAATTATTCTCACTTTATCTCAGATATCCTCGATCATAATATTATCCTTCTAATCTACCAAATAAGTGGTGGAATTTATTGCTATATGTTTTTGATGTGCACACCTTGACGAAAATATTGTTTAAAGTTTCAATAAAATTGACCAAGATGCCAAGGCATTTACATAATTGAGCATGTTTATGGAACAACGTGATCATACATACAAACCATATGTCTGAAGTTTGAAATATGCATGGTTGAGATGTGCATGGCGCATAGACTAGTGACTCTGTGAGTTGTTTAATTATTACACCAAGAAAACCAAACTTCCTCACCTCTCTTGAATCTTAACGGGCAATATTGCGTCAAAAACTTACTTCTCTCATTGTGTACTAGTTGGTGGAGAGTAGTTCACATTGGTGAATGGTAAGCGACTATTAACAATATTCACGATCAACCATAAGAGTTAGAAAACCATGTACAATGTGTGTGTGTGTGTGTATTAGGCCTTTAAGCAAAGGAATTCTTATTTTAATTTTTTATCTTTAATTTTTTAAATAGGGATTAGTTGTAAGGTTCATACTACATCGAACTTCAATGATCTGAACCGTTTATTTTTCAAGTTGTACCTCATAGATCATTATTGCAAAATATAGCCAAATTGGATATACTTCAAATATCTAAATGGGTGCAAAGAAATTAATGAACACTTTGTTCTATAAGAAATAATGAAATTTCATCGTGATAATTAAATAGTTAAATGGTTTCATATTGAATTGAATTTTTGTAAGGATGATTTATGAATCAAGACTTACAAAATAAACGGTTTAGATTGTTGAAATTCAATGTGGAGTGGGTCCCACAACTAATCCACCTTATATACAGTTTATAGGTTGAACCGGAATTTTATGACAATGTTGTACACAAAGACGGGGTAATTAATGCACATGCACTCTTTAAGTTTGTTATATTCTTTTATATTAAATAAAATAAAGGAGAACTAGTAGATATAAACAATATGAATGTGAAGATGATACTCTAAATGAATTACAATTTTAGATTGTAAATTTAAATGTCAATTATCAATAATAAGTGATGTAACAAGCGGAGTTCACTTTGTAGAGATAAGCGTGGTTCAATTTGATTCGTTTCAAGTCTTAAACAATACCCCAATCAATGTAGCAACATCGTTAAGATTGGTTTTGGTTTAATAGTTTCTTAATACGTCAATTCGAATTGAACCAAACCAAGCTAATTATAATTTAATTTAGTTCAACCTAAAGTTTTACGTTTTCATTCTAAAAGCCAAACCAAACTACTTGGATTGGTTTTTAATACAACAATATATTTGCACTAGAAGCAGAAGTACAAAGTTATATCAAACCTACCGTTCATGAAAATTAAGTTTCAGACCTCTCATGCTATAGCCATTCGGCCGTAATAATCCATGCTTTCGGCGTATACAAAATATCACCTTGTCGGTGGTCCATTACATTTTAGGCTTTAATTTTGGGCCACTGGCTCTCATTCTCACAAAAGGCAAACCAATACCCCGGACGATGCCGTTTCATGAACTATTTGGGACTGTACCATATATTTGCCGTTTTGTGTTGCAGGAAAATAAATAAATAAATAAATCAGATAACCCCCAAAATCAAAGCCGCAGCAAACAGGCGCTGAAAAATGGAGGGAGTTCCGGCGCCGCGTCCGACTCCGCAATCGAAACATTAAGAGCCAGAGGATATAGCTTCGCGACCACGAACAAGTGGAGGCGATGATCCTGATCCACTCCGCCTTGTCCGACGACAAGCGTACGGTGGTGAATTCAGTGGAAGCCGAGCTCACCAACATGGACCTCAAATCCGTATCCGCTAGGTAAATCACACCTCCTCGGCTCCAAAGTCCTCCAAGTAAATCACACCTCTCTGTATTTCTCGTTATTTTCTCGTTTTCTGTTTGGTTGCTGAGAAAATAGATGAAGAGAAAGAAAAATGTGGTCTTTCGTTTGCGAGGAATTCGAGTAGTCGGCGGCTTTTGAAACTTGGGCCCACAGAAGCGTCGTTCCTGGAAGTAAGGTACTTACTGCTACTTGATGCTTGCTCAATGCTCAGCTTGTATTATACATGTAAATAAGTTAGAGATTTCTTTGATCGATCACTTTTTGGATTTTGAATATGATCAGTTTAGTATTCAAGCTAGTATGAAATTGAGCTAGATTATGGAAAACAACGGCAAATGGAATAATACCATATTAAGAAACCTAACACTTTCGTAGAACTTAGTAATGAGCACTGTGCTTCGTTTTTGTGTATGCAATCTTGTAGTGAATCCACGTCAAATTTTTAATTGATGTAAGTACATTTTCATGAAACTCAATATGAATTTCGTAAGAAGTTTTAGGTGTCTCTCTATACTCAATATGAATTTCATTCACGTTCCGAAGAATGGCAGATGAATAAAAAATATTCCAGGTTTTTTACGTTTATATTTAAGGCTTTCACAGGAAAGTGATGGTAACGTCCCCCTCCATTTCAATGGACAAGAATGATTCGGATAAGAATCTTACTTGTTCAGGCAATGCACTCAGACCAAAATCGGAAATTTTAAATTTCCAAGAGAATCAAGCAACAGATTCTCCGGCTGCAAAGAACAACGATAAGAATCTCGTGCAAAAGAACACTGATAAGAATCTCATGATAAGAATCACAATAGCTAGCTTAATGCTATAAAGGGAAGACCTTTAAGTCTCTATGATATACTCCCTTGCTGTGGCAATAATCCACCCCATCAACAAGCTGTTGGAAGTATCTCCTCGCTTCGCCTTCACTTAGTCGCCCATGATGAACCTAAAAACAGGCCACTTCAACGTTACCATCACCATTTTCTCAAGGACCTAATGGTCCACAATTAGAAATTGAGTTGTGGTATTTGAAAAGTTAGGAGTACTCACGATTTTATCAAACAATTCACCACCAGTAATGAACTCCAAGATTATATAAATCTTAGTACGGCTCGCTAGAACCTGGAGAAAACAACATTCATCCTCAGTGACCGACTGCACAAATCAAACAATTTACAGAAACAGAAAGTTTTTGCAGCTAAAAATAAAGATACGACATGCCTCATGCAGACGAACATCGTAGGGATGCCTGACAAGCTTCATGATAGATATTTCCCTCTTGATCTGCACCACACATATCAAATTTCTTTTAAGAAAAAACCTCCATTTTGGATTTTGAATATGTTCAGTTTAGTATTCAAGCTAGTATGAAATTCAGCTAGTTATGGAAAGCAACGGCAAGTGGGATAATACCCGACAAAATGACTCCACATCAAATTTAGTATTCAAGCTAGATTAAGAAACTAACACTTTCTTAGAACTTAGTAATGAACATTGTGCTTCGTATTTGTGTATGTAATCTCAAAGCGAATCCACATCAAATTTTTAATTGATGTAAGTACATTTTCATGAAACTCAATATGAATTTCATAAGAAGTTTTAGGTGTCTCTCTAAACTCAATATGAATTTCAATCAATGGCAGATGAATAAAAAATATTCCAGGTTTTTTTTCGTTTATCTTTAAGGCTTTCACAGGAAAGTGATGGTAACGCCCCCCTCCATTCGAGAAGTTCCAAGTTGGGGCAGCTAAAAGTCGGTTTCCACAGCAGGGCAAGTTGCTATTACCATAATATTCAACCACTCAATGTTGCTATTGCATGCATAACTCATGGGCATGATGCAATCATAGGCAGATTAATTACTCTGATGTTAGCTCCGACAGTAGTGGGCTATTGCCAGAAATTATGAGTTTAGATCAGTTGGAAGGCAGCAGAACCTTCAATTGAAAGCAAGAGGATAAATCTTATAAAAAAATTGATACAGATAAGATAACACTCGTAAGGCAGATTCCCATGATGAAAGAACTCAAGACAAACCGAGTAGTTCTGCAACGACTACGAGGCCAAAAGAAGGTGGATCTTCATTCATGTCCAGCTTGCAGCTTGTTATTAAATTTTACTATTATTCTATGCTGCATCCGGGTTGTGTAGTATTAAGTTTAATTCTATGTCACTTGGTTGTGGGGAAGGAGTCGAGAGGAGACGGTGTTTTTACACTTGGATTTGTTCACTAATTATTTCTAGTGGTGAATATATAGTTGTAGATGGGGCAGGTGTAAGGTGGCAGAATAAAACTTGAATTTTTTGAATGAAGGGAAAACCAAATTTCTGCTAAGTTTTGTCTGTAATGGACTTATACTTGAATCACACAAGAAACACATTTAGTTGAACTTATTTATACATTTTTTTCACTTTGTAATTTCATATTGATATATTCATGGCTTCCACAGCAATTGAATCTGTCCCTGTTCAAAACCAAGCAGCCGCACAAAAGCTTCCCCAAAAAATGAGTCATCGAGACCATGATGACAAGCATTCAAGAGGCAGACAGTTTGGGGGAAAGGGGAGGCAAGAGGAAGAGCCCGATGGGAAAAGAGAAAAGCCAGGGCGAAGCCTTCAATTGGAGGTGCCTGTACAGGTAGTAGTCGTGAGAAGGAAATTGCACGGCAGCTCCAAAATCAATTTGATTTGGATGATTATCATGTCAGTGTGCAATTGATTTTCAGGTAGGGGATGTAATTAGCACTCATAAAGTGGGTAACAGTTGAAGTGGACCATTTTTAGAATAAGTGGCAGTAGTAGAACTGAGAAATGAAATTGCAGAGTGCATGTATGTTTATCCTTCTGAAGTGTAATTTTTGGATTGAACACAATTTCATGTACAATTCATATTTTTGCTTTTCATTTTTTCAGTTTGTTCTGTTACTGGTTAAGAAGACATGAATCACATGTATGTAAATATTGCATATCGTATATATACTTAGAACTTTTGGCATGTTTTATATGGTTTTAAAAGCCGTAGCATCCTGCGGGCAGCATCGCTAGTAAAAACTAAAACCGGAGAAGAAGCTTATGAACTCATCAGTCAGAGTGGAAGGGAAGTGGAGAAATTTTGTTAGATATTCTATTGAGAATTCCATCGTTTCTGAGTCTTGCAGATGAGATTTTTTGTCTTAACAGGAACGGCTCTACAATCTTACAAACAACTTCCGTCTAAAGTTTTGGAGAATCCAACAGAAGACAATTTTTTATTGGGCATACGAGTTCATCGACTGCAAAGGTGTTAGAAAAGGTAATAAATCTTTTAGTAAATGTAGAGTCAATCTTCTGTTAAAATGTCAGGGCAAGTCAAGGTTAATGAAAAGGTTGTAGAAACTATATATTGACTGGCATCTTGAGGCTATCATTGATTTTCTTTCTAACCTTAAAAGTAAAGGACATGGATCCTCTCTGGATCTAGTGGTCCTAATTCACCAAGTTCAATTATTCGGGCTATTAAAATTTGATCAAACGGTTACAAACAGGAATTTGCTTTAAAAGTTATAATAACTTTAACCGTTGGATTAAATTTCAGTGGTTCGGATGATTAGACTTGGTGGATTAGGACCACTAGATTCGGAGAGGATCCATGTCCAAAAGTAAATTCCTTGAATATGTGGCGGAAGCAGGGCAAGTATTTGTGCGAATTTGAGTAGTATTTGTCATATATTTGGGCGAATGTCTTATATTGATTGTTGTAATTTTGAAATGTTACTTGATGCAATAATTCAAAATTCAAAACAATTAATTGAAAAAATCATAGGAATCTGCAAAAAAAAAAAAAAAAAAAAAAGCATGAAATATGGACTCGCCTCCATTATCGAACTAGGAAAGCGAAAAGTGGTGAGGTGTTTGACGAATTGACTGTGATGCTTTCACCTTCATTTTGCACAAATGAGTTTATCAGATGCGTTATGGCTTCGTCCTCCCTCATCATAGAACTGAGCTGGTTGCGAGTCAAAAACATATCTAGGTTCATCCAAATCATGGCTTGGTCCTTCCTCATCCGAATCTCAGTGAAGAACGGCTCTGGTGTCGTCCAAATCATATATATTTTCCGTTTACCGAAAAAAAACCATGCATATTTTCCTTCATAAGTTTGTCCCATACTAGATTAACCCCTATTCTCATCATTTTAACATATTCCCAACCGTACCATACCAACCTTCAAAAAGTATATCAACTTTATCCCCGCTTTGCAAATTGAGCTCGTTGTTCGAGAGTTGTCCCTGCCAAAGATACTCATCTTCATAATTCTGAGTCCCATAACCTCCACTGGATTTGTAGGCTTGCAACTTAGTACGCTTGGTATTACTTATAATAGTAATGGCAAGATTAGGGAAATATTTCCATGTGCATATGCGGAACAAGCAGAATAGAGTTAGCCCTTCAAAATTACGATTATCGGTCGGGGGAATATCAAAACTGACTTTAGCGCCCTCGTTGACAAACTCAAACCAATCAGGAACATAATTCCTATGGAGAGCAATGCCACCAAATCCGCAAGAAGTCCATCCCTATATATACAATACAAGTGATATATATATAGACATGTATGCGCACGATAGGAAGGCAATGAGAGGGGGAGAGATAGAGATACCTGTAGGATGTTCTTCCTAAAATCAGTTGTGAGATTGGAGCACCTTTTCATATCAATCCACGCCATGGAGTTTAATGATTTATCCAAGCCTGGAACCTCAGTGAGTTTGTGTGAATCACTTACATCCAGTTCTCTCATATTTGACATTTCCGAAAAGTCCGGCATTGTTTCCAATGCAGGGCAATCATCGGCTAACAAAACTTTCAAATTTGTTGGTAGATCAGGGATTGTACGAAGATATCTGCTTCCATTTAAACACAATGTTTCGAGCTTTGAAAGACCACTGAGGTTTGGTAAGCTATGAAACATAATACATCGAAGATGCAAATGTTGTAAATAAATTAGACTGCCAAGATCCTTAATTGCATCATCTAATGCGCCGCGTGTGAGATCGAATTCTCTGAACGAATGTAGCGATTGAATATCCTTCAGAGATAAACGAGTGAGATTCTTCAATCCTACTATGGAAGGTGGTACTTCTCTTATGGCTGTATCCTCTGCTTCAAGTATTCTCAATGATGTCATCTCCCCTAAATCCTCATGCAATTCTCTGAATACTGAACATCCAGTAAGAAGAAGAGTCTGAACAGATTTAGACTTGTAGAAATCCCCTGGAAGAGAAATAAGATTGCGACAAAACTTGAGGTTCACCAAAGAAAGTCTTTTAAGATGACCAATGGATGGGTGAATCTCGGACAAACTACAACACAGCTCCAATATCAACTCTTCAAGATTTGGAACTTGTGAAAAGTCCGGTGATTTCTGTAAGGCTTTGGAAAGGCTGAGATCAAGGGTTTTCAAGTTATGTAGCGACTGTTGCAGAAAATCAAAAGAAAATTGAAATTAATATCCGAAATGAAGATGTTACAAAAAAAAAAAAAAATACACATAGAAACAGAACATCATCAGGTGTAATTCATTGTACCTTGGAACCCTTCCAGACTTGTACCAGTTTGCTACGACGCATCTCTAGAACAGCTAGTCTTGGTTGATTGAAAAAGTAATCTGGTATGGACCTTAAGGGGCATCCTTCCCAACACAACCATATTAACTCCTTGGGAAGATGTTTGTATTCTCCCTTGAGCTCGACGTTGCTGAGTTGAAGCAATCTCAGTTTCTTCATTTTGGCAAATGCTTTTGTACTGAAACTAGCAATCTTAGTTTCTTTATGGAAAAGTAGAGCAAGCAGTCTTAGTTTCTTCATTATGGCAAATGCTTTTGTACTGAAACTAGCAGTCTTAGTTTCGTCAGGGAAATTTAGAGCAAGTCCTTCAATTTTTCCAGTTCCCTGTTAACAAAAAAAAAAAAAAAAAGTTATAGTGGTAAGAAACGGTATATTTGCATATGTTTACATCTATTATTATTATTCATTACGTAAAATCACATACGGTGAATATATTTACACATAAATGTTGTTTAATGTATAATTGACTTGTGTGGGTTACATCTATGCTTTTCTTGTATGAATGCATAAATCCAAAATTTATTGAGAATGAACTTACAGATTTATTTGTCAATACATCAATGACCTCTCGACGGTTCCATAACCTATTCCATTTTCCAGGATGATCAGGAGATTTTTCAGAAATAATTACTCTGGCCATTTCTCGAAGCAAATCATGCATATTCAACTTGTTGCCTTCAACAGTTACAAGACATCGTTCGCGAAGGACACTGATTCCTATTGTTGCATAAAATCCACATCCATCTAATATTTTGGCGACATAGTCCTTGTCCTTTCCAATAAAGAAACAAGATATGTCAAGGAATGTAGCCTTCTCTGGATCATCTAGCCCTTCAAAGCTTATTCTTAGTGATTTTATTATTTCTCTTTCAGGAATTCTTTCCAATTTCTCCAATTGGCTTTTCCACTCTTTAATGGGTCTTTTAAACAAAAAAGAACCTAAAACTTCAAGGGCTAGTGGCAAACCTCCACAATAAGAAACAACCTTTTTTGAGTCTTCAAGATATTCTTCATTAGGGCAACTTTTTTGAAAGGCATGCCAACTAAAGAGCTCCAGAGCTTCTTCCTTGTTCATTTCCTGAAGCGAATACGTCTTGTTCACCTTCACTTGCTTCAGTAAATGTTCATTTCGTGTCGTCATGATAATTCTACTTCCTGGACCAAACCAATCGTGACTTCGGGCTATTGTATCCAATTGTTTCAGGTCATCTATATTGTCTATGATGACAAGTACCCTTCTATGTTGGAGATGTTGTTTTATCAAACCGATACCTTCATCAACACTGCTTATTCCAGACTTTTGTTCCAAGATGTCAGAAATAAGTTTTTCTTGCAAATATACCAGACCATGTTTACTTGTAGCGTCGCTAATGTCGGCAAGGAAACTTTTGAATTCAAACTTACGATGAATTTGGTTATAAATGGCTTTGGCAACTGTTGTTTTACCCAATCCACCCATCCCCCAAATTCCAACCATGAGAACATCATTTGATCCACCACTTGAAAGATCATTGATAATACCTTGAATGCGAGATTTGATTCCAATTGGGTGCTTGGCCACATGTAATTCGTTTGTTCTAGGAAGCCATTCCCAAATATTCTCGTCAACAATTTTTTTAATGAACTCTGCTTCGCGCCTGAAAATTGAATTCGTAAACATTAGTGGGACTAAATGAGGCTCTGTAGGAGATATCAGTACATAAACAATTTTCTTTCTCTTCTTCATATATATATATATATGAGTCATTTTGGTTTCGGTCTTGGTCATCTCAATTGTTAGATTGAAACCTTATAGTTTGTCAATTTTTGATCAAAGTCTTTGACTTTGTACACCTCACCATTTTAGTATTTATTATATTTCCATGTCAGTTTTTTTTTTTTTAAATTAAAAATTATTGATTGAGTCCAACATTTAAAACACTTTGTCTTGTTGAAAATGGCTCTAATTAACAACATTAAGGGATTTAAATCAAAAAATTAATGTAATTCATATCTCACGGATTTAAATCCAAGATCATATCTAAAAACTTATGAAATTTAAAATTCCCAAAATTTATTGGAATCAAAGATCTACAAATCTTGCAGATTATAAGACTTAAAAAAAATATCTACAATAAAACATAGGGCTTTTTAGCCAAAATGGTCATTGTGATTTGCATAACACATCACTTTGGTCCCTGAGATTGAAAATCAATAGAAATGGTCCCTGAAAATGTCCACTATCCATTATTTTGGTTATTCCGTTAAAAACTCCGTTAAGTGTCCCGGAGCTCTTGGCCAGAAGTTTGGGCAATTTTCAAAGCTTCATAACTCAATCGTTTCTTAACCAAATTCGACTCGTAATATATCAAAATGAAGATAGGAAAGTGTAGAACAAGACTATACCATTTGGAAGCCCAATAGTTGCCGGAGATGGCCGGAAAATAGCCTGAAACGTGACTGGTCCACGGGAAAACTGGAAAACTCGCCGGAAATTGGGTAAAATTTAAATGTTCATAACTTCTTCAATACTCAACGAAATCGAGTGATTCAAAGACAAAAATCATACTTATCAACGAGATGAAGAGAATGGTACCTTTCTCAATGGCTAATTCATCATGATTTTGTCGAAAACGACTCGAAATTGGCTAACTGGAGACCAAGATAGCCACTTTCGAGTCGTTTTCCGGCCAAACCACGACGAGTTAGCCTTCAGAAAAGGTACCATTCTCTTAGTCTCATTGAGAAGCATGATTTTCTTTTTGAATCACTCTATTTCATTGAGTATTGAAGAAGTTATGAACATTTAAAGTTTACCCAGTTTTCGGCGAGTTTTCCAATTTTCTTGCGGTCCAGTCACCTTTTAAGCTATTTTCCGGCCATATCCGGCAACCATTGGGCTTCCAAATCTTATTCTACACTTTCGTATCTTCATTTTGATATATTATGAGTCAAATTTGGTTAAGAAACGATTGAGTTACAAAACTTGGAAAATTGCCCAAACTTTCGGCCAAGAGCTCTAGGACACTTAATGGAGTTTTTAACGGAAGGACCAAAATAATGGATGTTGGACAATCTCAGGGACCAAGGTGATGTGTTATGCAAATCTCAGGGACCCGACAAACAAGCATGATGATGTGCGTGAGGAATGAAAAAGAATGGAGGAGTTTAAATGGCTGTTTATTTGACTTAGATGTAGGAAGGGATGAGATTTCAATTATCAACTAAAAATCTGGACAAAGCGATTAATATTAATTTCAACATAAAAAGGGCTAATACTTTAACTGAAGGAACTATTATTAGCACTCTAAAAATCTCATTTGACACTCATCACAAGTGTATTTTAAATATAGAAAGTTTGTAGTGCTAAATGATAATTTTGGAATGCTAATAACAATTCCCTAACTGAAAACTATAAATAATTAGCAAAGTGTTAACGTGTAATTTTTCAAATTCTAAAATGATGTTGTGGACAAGGTCAAAGGACCTTGATGAAAAATAGAAAAACAATAAGGTTTCAATCAATGCAATATAAAAATGGGAGATGAAAACCTAATTTTTCCTATATATATATATATATATATGTATGTATGTATATATATACTAACTAGCAACTAGCTAGTATGTGACTTGAATAAAAGAAAGAAAGTCATTCATTGATAAATAAAAGTTAGGTGTATGAATTAAACTCCAATAACGGTTTAGGTTTTATATCTGAGATTAAGGTGTATTCATTAAGCCTGTGAATCAATGTTTGGATTATGTAAAATGTTAATTGAGCATGTTATATAATTGAGAGATTAAGTCATTCACTAAAATGTTTCAAATCTAGAAACGCAGGTGAAAGATTACCCGTTGTCAGTGGTTTTGTGGTCAGACAAATTTGCAGCTTCGGTAAGAGGATCTCTCCGCCTCTCCCTGACATGCGAAGGATCAACGTGAGAGATTAAGGTGTATTAATTAAGCATGTTAATTAGAGTAATACAACTTAAATCTTGAACAGCAGCTGAATGATTACCTATTATGAGTGGATTTAAGATGGTGACCAGACAAATCTGCGGCTTTTGTGAGAGCCCCTTTCCACTGCTCTACCCTTTTTCGTTTAGCTTCACGTTTCTCGTCATCTTTTTCTTCACGGATGTCTTTTTCGTGTTTCTGAAATGCTTCGGCTAAATCTCCGTCCTGCTTCCTGACATGCGAAGGGTCAACGTGATAGAATATTGGCAAAACATGTCGCCCCAGTTTGTCTCTGCACTCCATGATCTTCACCAGCTCGTCAAGACACCAACTCGAATCCGCATACATCTTTGAGAAGACAATGATAGAGATCCTCGACTCTTCGATTGCCCGAAACAGTTCCCCTCTTATTTCTTCCCCTCTTTTTAGATTGTCCTCATCAATAAAGACCTGGTATCCTCTGTCTTTCAATGCCACGTGGAGGTGGCTCGTGAAGCCATTGCGCGTGTCTTCGCCGCTGAAGCTCAAGAACACATCATACTTCCAAAGTTTCGACTTGGAGGAGGACGAAGAGCAGGCTTCGTGGACTGTCATGATGGTATCCACCATTATGGCACTGCAGTGGTTCAGATCACAGACTGAAAAAATAGCAATGGTTGTGTTTGTGTTGCCGAACGAATGGTACTTAAATTCCGAAGACAAGTCAACATTTCTTCAGTCCACAAAGTCGTCAATAATAATTAATATATAATAATCTTTCTTCACTGGCCGGCGGAAGGTGCAGCGAAAGAGAGTGTGAAAAGGAAAGAAAGGAACACGAAAGGACAAACACTATCTGTATTTTTCATTCATACCCAAAGACTTTATTGAATCTTCATAGGCATAACACCCATATTAGATTAACCCTTACTTTCTTCACTCTCACAGAATAATCATCTGCAATATCAACTGACTACACACCGATAATTTTTTCCCCCGTATTGCAAATTGATCATCTAAGCGTTTGATATCTTTCCTTGCCAAAGATAATCGCCTTCGCATCCACAAGATTTTGGTAGTACCTAGGTAAATGTTATCAAGGTGTGCAAAGCAGTATTCTTTGTATAATTTATAACAATAATCTCAAAAGGACCTTCAGGTTGTTCACTTAACGAGTAAACGCATCAAACAGCCAACCCTTAAAATTACTACCAAGGATAATACCGAAATAAATACCCAAGTCTAAAGTCCATAATAATTTTGCCTTCAAGTCTAAAACTTGGGAAATGACCGAGTCCCGGGAACGGAGAGTTGCACGAAATTGCAGAGACAATAAGAATTGGCTCATTGTATTTCCTCTTCCATTAATTGTAATGATATTAATATTCTCATTTGAAAAAATAAGAACTAGCTCATTATATTTCCTCTTCCATTAATTGTAATGACAGTAATATTCTCATTAAAATAATTTCGCTCTAATTTTTTTATTTATTTTCATCTGGTATGCATAATTTGAATCTTTTACATTCAAATTATGGATTTTTGTCACTTCATCTTTAACATGATTTCTTCTCATACTTATTTTTACTCTTCACAAGTTATTCTTAATTTTAAGCAGTCAAATTAAATGAGTTAAAAAATATCAATTATAAAAAATTAACAAATATGTATGAAATGTAAAAATAAATGCTAACAGAAAATACAGTCGCTTTTAATGCCCAAGGCCTATCTCATCCGCTGAAAAAGTAGACTAGCATAGCGTGCTAGTTCATGTATAGTTGGTAATGGCGTTGGGATGTCAATGACAAAACTTAATGCCCAAGGCACATCATTGAAATATGTAACATCACAACTGCTGGTTCATATATAGTTGCAAAAACTCAATAATTCATTCCAATCCACCATATACAATAGCAATAAAGCCTTATCTCACTAAGTGGGATCGGCTGTATATCTTCTAGAACGTTACTGTGCTTGGCTTTGTGCCAAGTCTTCCATCATCTCCATGTACTTCATGTCTTTTCTTAAGTCTCTTTCCAAGTATTATGAGGTTTTCCTTTACCCCTTTTACCGTGACCTTACGTCTCAAAATTGCTTTTTCTAACAAGAGTATTTGTAAGTTTTTGGTTCACATGTTCATCCATTTTAATCGATTTTTTCTCGTCTTGTTCAATTACTGTCACTCCTATTTTATATCGAATATCCTCATTTCTAATTTGGTCCTTCTAATCCACCCAAGAATTGGTGGAATTTGTGGCAATGTGTTTTCGATGTGCACACCTTAACAAAAATATTGTTTGAAGTTTCAATAAAATTGACCAGACTGCTAAGGCATTTACATAATTGAACATGTTTTAGAACAACGTGATCATACGTACAAAACCATATGTCAGTTTGAAATGATTTATGGCCCATATTGACACGTAGTCTCAGTTATTGTTTATATGGACATCATGTGATTAGTTAACGGAGGTTCTGACAGAAAATTAACGGATGTATAAAAGTGTTCAAGAATAATAACTTTAGGTATCAGACTAGGACGAAAAAAATACTTGATGTATGAGATTAATCCAATATTTATTGTTATTGTACGCGAATAATATCGTTTGTAGGTGAAATATGCATGGCACACACGCATGTTTTCACTCGAATTGAGATGACCTGTGAGCGACTATTGCATCAAGAACTTCCTTCTCTCGTTATATGCTGGTTGGTGGAGAGTAGTTCACATTGGTGAGCAACTATGAACAAATTCGCGATCAACCATAAGAATTAGAAAATCATATATAAAATTGTTTATATACATAGTAAACAAATGTAAACGGTATATACCCTTTATAGATTGAACCATAATTTTATGACTCGATTGCACACATAAACGGAGTAATGCACCAGTTATAAATGACAAATGAATGAGAACAAAGAGGAATTTCTGTAATCTCTTGTTGTCCACATGCACTTGAGTTTGTTATATTCTTGGTATGAACTTTAAAGGGACATTTCCAATGAAGAACCACGAGGCTACTATCTGATAACTGGACGTCTAAAATTGAAGTTTTGCAAAAGATTCATATATGAATACGATCGAGGTAATTGGCAACGTGTTTTGTGGTGGGAACAATATGATTTATGCATTAAAGAAAAAGCTCATGTTTGCTTTTCAATCTTATGGTAGAAATAATTAATAGTCATACTTCATTTTATGAACGAATACTAGCAACTTTCAAATTAAAATTTCCTCGCTCTCTCTTTTTTATTTTGTTTCTCATTTTGTAATGCTGTAAACATGATTTAAACTTTTTATTTTCAAAGTTACCCTTTAAACATGAACAATACTAAGGCTTAACCAAATATGAAACCGTGTAGTAATCTGATAGATATGTAATAAATAGACAAACTATGTTATTTAATAAACCTTGAAATTTTTGACAACTTTAATCAGTGGTTAACCTTAAACTATCACTCATTTGGTTGATTTTTTGCAGAGTTGTTCTTAAATGGTGAATTAGAAAAATGGTTCCGATCATCGTATATTACCATTCGATTATGTAACATCATTTAGCTCAAGACATACATGTTAGGTATTTATTATTTAATGTACCATTAGCTCAAGAGGAATCATTTTATTCTTTGTAGCACTGACTTCATGTCATCATATGATAAACACAATTTCAATTTTCATATGGATTAGTTGCCTACAGATCTATAATATAAGAAACACACAGAATTTTCTACCTAGAAAATACTTGCAAAAAGAAAAGAAGAGACCACTGTTTATATACATGTGCGGTCTTTATCGTATTTTTAGCATCTAGAGGGACTTAATAGTAAATACTTACGAAAGAAGTTATTGATACTCTAATGATTGTTTGAAAGAACTCTTAAAAATAACTACAAGCAGTTGATCATATTCAACAGTGAAAATAGAACTATAGAACGGACCAGATCGATCTTCATTTAGAATTGTTGAAGGACGAGAGTAGGACTAGAGTGATACAGTTTTGGCACATGACGGGCAGGGCAAGGCATTCATATATATATACAAGAACGGCTACGTGTACTCTACTGACATCCCAATCCAATATTCCACCTTTTGCTTTCTCCATGCCTTTACTAGTAAGTGGCTAATTTGTTTCTTCTTCTTAATTTTCTTATTAACTGGGGTTTAATCATTCCGGAATAACTTATTAATCAGTACAACGTGCTTATAACACTTTTAATGTGCCCACTCCTATGAGAAATTTTTCAATACACCTAATGTTATAATACAAATGGTTGAATTTTTTTTTTTTTTTAAAGTTTTAAACTAATTGTATTATGACACTTGTTGTACCAAGTTGTGTATCTGACAAACTGACAAATATCTGCACTCCCATGACCACTAATTAGTCTCTAAGAATTCCATTATCTTCCTCTCCATATATATTGTGGCACTTTCTAGTATGATAGGAAAGAAACAGTTTATCCCAATAATAACAAGTTAACCTTGCACAATTTTGCTCCATTTAACCATGTATTAATGTCATCAGAGACAATAACTGATTGACTTAAATTCAACGTACTTCATAAATTGTTCGACCACAAAAAATTTCGAAGGGATCGAGCAATCCTACTAGCACGTTATAATTCCTCAATTCATCAAAACTAGTTAGCCTGCATAAAAACATGAAAAATAAACTACTAGTTTCTTATGCAGCAGGTCCATGATCATAACCATCACCATTGTTGTCGCTATCATCACCTTCCATAGATGCTGCTGGAGCATAGTCATAATTTAAATCATCGTCATCACCATCACCTTCTATGCATGTTGCAGGGGCATAATCGTATCTGTCATCACCATCGTCGTCACCATCCCCATGCTTCTTGCACCATGAGGCACTTATCATCAATTTTGAAAGGGGAACAAATTGCCAAAAAAGACCTCTCTTATCTCAATATTTCTTTGTTAGGAGTTGTTTGAGAGCACTTCTCTATATTTCATTATTATTAGGAAGAAATATATATAAAACTAGACGAATACTGGGTTGTTTGAGAGCGCTTCTCTATAAAACACTTTTGTTAGTAGCACGTTTACGAAGAAGTAGTTTGTTATTTGGCAAACAACCCAATATGTGCTTTTATGTTATAAAGAAGTGACTTTTACAGCGTAAAAGACGCGTTTTAATATTGAGTGAAGTATTTGGTGCAAGTATTTCTTAATCTATGATGCCTGATTTATGTTATATGATGTTTAAAGTTCAACACACAAACTTTAAAACATACTTTTCAACTTCTTTAGGCTTCCTCAAACTTCAACTTTCAAAAATGTTGCAATCATAAGGAAATAAGATGTCCAAGTCTAAGTCCCAAGCCATGTTATGTCTTTCCTTTCCCTTAACAAAAACCAACTTAAATTCTTTTCTTTTTTTCCCTCCCTTTGTTCATCTACAAATGCTATCTCCAATTGAGATCTTTTAATTTGTAAAAGTTATTTATGTATCTACATTGAGTCCCTCTTTAAATTTAATAGTAGAAACAGGTGGACATGATATATAAAAAAGAGAGAATAAAAAAATAATGTTAAAATTAGCAGTACTTATTGAAGCCGCTATTTCATGTGACTAAAACATTTCAGTTAAAGCCAAACTCAATTGTGTTTTCTAAAAGTTAATGATGTTACTATAAATTTGACATGTCATTTAAAATGCTCTTATCATTTTTCACTTTAAGCTCGGTTCTACTCATTCCAATCCGCTCTTAGAAATCCAAAACTGAGGTTGAATAATTTAAAAGAGCATCCAAATTACATTCCTAATTAAGAAGCGAGCAACAACTCTCATATCTAAAGATTTCATTGCCAAACAATTGAGAAACAATGAGAGATTAAGCATTAATTAATCCGCCCCCTGTTTAATTAGCGATACAACAAAACACAACATTTCCTTCAACTCCTCACACGTAATAATCCGGCTAGCAGAGACAGAGAACCGTGATCGTGAGCTTCTCGTTCCGTTGGCGGACTACGGCGACGAAGATGCATCGTCCAAACCCTCCTCGTCTTCCTCCTCCTCCTACCGCACCGGCCGCGAGGTGAGTTTCGATTGCTGTTTCTTTTCATTGCTTTGCGTGTTATGTTGTGTTTGGTTGCTGAGAAAATGGAGGAAAATTCGAGGGAAAAGCTGAAAGTTTTTGCGTAGGTTGCGAATTGAAGTTAGTGTGTGCTAATTGTGATTTATGGGTTGATTTTTGCGATTAAATTTCTAATTTTGTGTTTGACATTGTCTGATTTAGTGTTTTCTGAGGCTAATGGAGGAGCAAACTCAGATTTGGGTCTTGTTTTGTTTGTGTTCATTTGGACTTGTAATGTGCTAATTTGGATTTTCGGTATTACTTTCCGCTCATTTGTTTGAAATTTGGGTGTGAGTAGAGCTCTATTTCTCTGCTCGAGCTTCCAAGTAATGTGATAAGAAGATCAAACAATTGATTCGGGTATATCTAAGCATTTCTACAAGAAATTTAGTGACATCGTTGCGTTTTACTTTTAGTCAGTTTAAAGGTGTCCCTGCTGCATTATACCACTGGTATGCACGTAAAAATTTGTCCCGTAAGTCAGCGGTAATTTATCAAGAACCGGTTAGAGTGTGTCAAAGTTGATTACTTTTGGTGGCCTAAGTTGCTGCCGCATAAGTTTTCTCATACTTTTTGAGTGTTTGTGTTCCTTTTTCTAATCTTCATAACAATCATTCTTATCTCTTTTATCTCTGCGCAGACGTTTTCCAAAGTTGTTAGATGTTGGTCATCCAAAAAGTTCATGATAGGATGATGGCCATTTCTTTCTTCTGACTCCTATTTTGTTCAAATCATGTTCATATGCAATACTATATCAATACTGTGTGTGTCAACCATCAATCCTATGCTGTGGGGAGGGTCAAATATCTTTAAAGTTGTTGGATTTCTGATTATTCTTAAAATATAGAGCTGAGAGTAGTTAAATTTATTAGCTTGAGCCATGAGATATGCTGAAAGATGGAATGCTTTAAGTAGTGATAGGAACTTAAACTTGGATTGTTGGCATGCGTTTATAATCTATTTTTCTCTATTCTTTTCTCATTTGTTTGAACTCTAGGAGTTTTGTTCCACGCAAAGGAATAGTTGGATAAGATAGAAAAATAGCCTCCCGTTAGATGAATTCAAGAAATGCACAACTTAATTTCTTAATAGTTTTAGACCGAGCCCATTTCATATAATTTTACGCTAATCATGTCGTGTGAGTGAATTTTTTTTTTTTAATCTAGTAGCTAATGAGATCAAGGCTTCGTTCTCTTCTTCGAGATTGCTTTTTGATCATGTTCACTCTTTGTTCTTTTGCAGTGTGATCCTATTTCCAGTAGTGACTTTCTATATCAAGTGGTGGTTAAAGCTTTTTGGATAGCTTCTTCTCTCCAATATATGCTCAACTTGGAATCAACATTTTTGTTACGTTGTATTCTGAAATGCATACCTTAAACCCCATTATTGGATTGGCATATTCTAACTTAAAGTAGTCTTGGGGTTTGACGTTGCTGAGCTAAGTTTGTAATCCATTTTCTCTCTTCATCTCACCCTAGCTAGAGACAACTTCAGTAAAGACAGTTTCTATCCGACTTCAGTGAAGCTAGGGTTTGATTTTCTTCAACTTGGATGCTTAATTGTCTTCTTCTTAGAAGAAGATTTTTGATTGCACGAGTGACCGTATATCTTATCTAGAGTGTGTAACAATAAGAAGAGATGGGAACAAAAGAGAGATCTGGAATCACTCTGGCCTTTGGCATCACAACAAGGCTGCATTGGAAATCACCCCAATAGAATTAGATAAATTCAGGCATCACAGCGAAGGTGACTAAGTTTGGAATCACTCCAAGTCAACCTGTGCCTCCCACATAAGCAGGAAATCCAAAAGCTTACAAATTAGCTCCTTTTTTTGATATATGGATTCGTGCTTGGATACTCCCTCCACCAGCTCAACCCAGAGTTCTATGTTTCATACCACCAGTGACTCCACCATTGCAGCAACAACAGCTGCTTCGCAAATGGTTGGGAAAGGGCCGAGTCTGATTGCCAAGCTCATGGGAATCGAAGAGTACCCATCGAGACCTTTGCAGGCCGCTCTAAAGAAACAGTTTGAGGAAGGTGAGAAGACTGTTTCTAGTCAATATCTCGGCAGCCAATTACTGCGACAATCACAATCTTGAAACGCTCATCTCAGAATGTAGTAATGTTCTTTATGCAGATCAAAAATGTTGAAAGTGAAGAAAGTGAGAAGAGAATTATTACGGACTATAAAAGTGACGCTTCCCCAATCAAAGCTGGTCTTGCAGACGAAAACCCTAAGGAAGAAGAAACAGGTGCCTTTATATCTCAGAGTGAGTGGAGGTATGGCCTTTTTGAATTACAAGAACTTGATTATGTAATGTCCAGTGTTGAATATTAAGTATGGTTGCACTCGTAAAATGAGAACGTGCATTTGACAAGAAAACGTTGGTGCATTTGTATTTCTGCGAATTCGAGTGCTATTTCTCGAATCATTGGATGCATCTTATATCTCAAGGATTCATCTTATATCGGTTCTTGTAATATTGAAATGTTTCTGAATGCAATAGATCTTCAAAATTCAAAACAACTACGTTTTGGAAAAACCATAGGAATCTGCATTCGCACAATAGGAAGGCAATTAGAACTTAGGGGAGAGAGGGGGAGGGGGAAGAGAGATACCTGTATGATGTTCTTGCCAAAATCAGCTGTGAGATTGGTAAACCTTTTCATATCAGTCCATGTCATGGGGTTTAATAACTTATCCAAGCGTGGAGCCTCTGTGAGTTTGAGAGAATCACTTGCTTCCAGTTCTCTCATATTTGACATTTCCGAAAAATTGCGCATTGTTTCCAATGCAGGGCAATCAACAGCATATAGAAATTTCAAACTTCTTGGTAAATCACGGATTGTATGAAGATATATGCATCCATTCCCTCCAAGCTTTGAAAGGCCATTGAGGCTGGGTATGGTATGAACATCATTCCCTCCAAGATCCTTAGGGATTGCATCATCAGGTAATTTTGGGCAAATGACTAGGCAAGGTATTCAGAGATAAAAGTGAGATTCTTCAATCCTACTATGGAAGGTGGTACTTGTCTTATGGCAGTAGAATCTGCTTCAAGAGCCCCAAAGAACCTAAAACTCCAAAGTAAAAGCTTGAAAAGATAGTCTTCATATAGTAGCGCCTCCCAATCTTCTCTGCCTACATAACATTGCACGCATCAACCTCAGGATATTACTCATGCTGAACTTTCACATTTGGTGGTATATCAGGGATTGTACGAAGGTTAGAGCATTGCACTTATTGACCTCAGGATACCCACGCTGAACTTTCACATTTGGTGGTATATCAGGGATTGTACAAAGGTTAAACCGTGTATCTAACTGCAGAGTTTCAAGCTTTGAAAGACCGCTGAGATTGGGTAGGGTATGAAAATCATTCCATGAAAGATCCAGAACTTGTAAAGAAATTAGACTCCCAAGATCCTTAGGGATTGCATCATCAGCTAATCTGCAAAATGAGAGATCTAATTCCCTTAAGGAGTTTAAGCCGTGTAACGAATATGGCAAATGAATATTTTCCACACCTGATAGGGATAAATGAGTGAGATTCTTCAATCTTACTATGGAAGGTGGCACTTCTCTTATGGCTGTTTCATCTGCTTCAAGTGTTCTCAGTGATATCATCTCCCCTATATCCTCGTGCACTTCTCTGAATTCTAAACACCAATTAAGAAGAAGAGTCCCAACAGATTTTGACTTATAGAAATCCCTTGGAAGAGAAATAAGCTTATCACATTTTTGAAGGTTCACCAAAGAAAGTCTTTTAAGATGACCAATGGAGGGGTGAATCTCGGACAAACTCTCACACTCTTCCAATATCAACTCTTCAAGATTTGGGACTTGTGAAAAGTCCGGTGATTTCTGTAAGTAATAGGAAAAGCTGAGATCAAGGGTTTTCAAGTTATGTAGCGACTGTTGCAGAAAATCAAAAGAAAATTGAAATTAATATCCGAAATGAAGATGTTATAAAAAAAAGAGATGAAATCCAAAAAACAAATAGAAACAGAACATCATCAGGTGGAATTCATTGTACCTTGGAACCCTCCCAAACTTGTACCAGTTTGCTTTCCTGCATCTTTAAAACAACTAGTTTATCTTGATTAAAAAAGTCATCTGGTATGGACTTTAAAGGGCATTCTTCCCAACGCAAGCATATTAACTCTACGCCGCTGAGTTCTACGTAGCTGATGTGGTGAAGGGATAAACGAGTGAGATTCTTCAATCTTAATATGGAAGGTGGTACTTCTCTTATGGTTGTATGCTCTGCTTCAAGTGTTCTCAGTGATATCATCTCCCCTATATCCTCATGCAGTTCTAGTTGACTACAACCATTAAGAAGAAGAGTCTCAACAGATTTCGACTTGTAGAAATCCCTTGGAAGAGAAATAAGATTGCGACACCTCATAAGGTTCACCAAAGAAAGTCTTTGAAGATGACCAATGGAGGGGTGAATCTCGAACAAATTGTCACACTTTTCCAATATCAACTCTTCAAGATTTGGGACTTGTGAAAAGTCCGGTGATTTCTGTACGGATTTGGAATAGCTGAGATCAAGGGTTTTTAAGTTATGTAGCGACTGTTGCAGAAAATCAAAAGAAAATTGAAATTAATATCTGAAATGAAGATGTTATAAAAAAATAAATAAAATAAAAAGAGAAGAAATCCAAAAAACAAATAGAAACACAACATCATCAAGTGTAATTCATTGTACCTTGGAACCCTCCCAAACTTGTACCAGACTGCTCCCCTGCATATCTAAAACAACTAGTCTTGGTTGATTAAAAAAGTCATCTGGTATGGACTTTAAGGGGCATTCCCAACGCAACCATATTAACTCTTTGGGAAGATGTTTGTATTCTCCTTTGAGCTCTACGAAGCTGAGGTCAAGCAGTCTCAGTTTCTTCATTTTCGCAAATGCTTTTGTACTGAAACTTTTAGAGTAGAATGGGATATTTAGAGCAAGTCCTTCAACTTTTCGAGTTCCCTGTTAACAAAAAAAAGGTTAAATGAGTAAGAAAAAGGATAATGTGCATATATATTTACGTGATTTTGCCTAATTGAGCTTCTTAAAGCAAATGCATATTTATACATGAACGTTGTTTAGTTTATAATACACATAAGTAGATTACATATAAGCTCTTCTAGTACGATGCATTAATTCAAAATTTTATTGGGAATGTACTTACAGATTTATTTATCAATACATCCATGACCTCTCGTTCATCCCACAACCTACACCATTTTCCAGGGCGACCTGGGAATTTTTCAGAAATTACTACTCTAGCCATTTCACGAAGCAAATCATGCATATTCAACTTGTTGTCTTCAACAGTTACAAGACATCGTTCACGGAGGACACTGATTCCTATTGTTGCAAAAAATTTACATTCATCTAATATTTTTGCAACATAATCCTTGTCCTTTCCAATAAAGAAACAAGATATGTCAAGGAATATAGCCTTTTGTGTGTCATCTAGCCCTTCAAAGCTTATTCTTAGGGGTTTTATTATTTTTCCATCAGGAGTTATTTTCAATTTCTCCAATTGACTTTTCCACTCTGCTATGGGCCTTTTAAACAAAAAAGAACCTAAAACTTCAAGGGCTAGTGGCAAACCTCCACAGTAAGAAACAACCTTTTTTGAGACTTCAAGATATACTTTGTCAGGCCAACTATTTCCAAAGGCATGCCAACTAAAGAGCTCCAGAGCTTCATCTTCATTCATTACCTGAAGCGGATAAACTTTGTCCACATTTAGTAGTAGACGTTCATCTCGTGTCGTTATGATAATTCTACTTCCTGGACCAAACCAATCGCGACTTCCAGCTATTGCATGCAGTTGTACCTCTTCATCTATGTTGTCCATGACGACAAGTACCCTTTTATGTTTAACTACTTCTTGTATCATACTGATACCTTTGTCAACACTTCTTATTTGAGACTTCTCTTCCAAGATGTGGATGTCAGAAATAAGTGTCTCTTGCAAATAAACCAGACCATGTTTACTTGTATCATCGCTAACGTCGGCAAGGAAACTTTTGAATTCAAACTCACAATGAATTTGGTTATAAATACTTTTGGCAGCTGTTGTTTTACCCAATCCACCCATCCCCCAAATTCCAACCATGAGAACATCATTTGATCCACCACTTGAAAGATCACTGATAATACCTTGAATGCGAGATTTGATTCCAACTAAGTGCTTGGTCACATGTAATTCGTTTGTTCTAGGGAGCCATTCCCAAATACTCTCATCAACAATTTTTTTAATGAACTCTGCTTCGCGCCTGAAAATTGAATTCGTAAGCATTAGTGGTAAATATACATACATATATATATACATATAGGTCATTTTAATTGCGGTTCTTGGTCATCTCAATTGTTAGATTGAAACCTTAGTTTTTCAATTTTTTATCAAAGTCTTTGACTTTGTACACCTGCATTTTAGTATTGATTAAATTTCCATGTCATTTTTTTTTGTATTTTTTAAATTAAACATTGTTGATTGAGTCCAACATTTAAAACACTTTGACTTCTGTTTTTTTTTTTAAAAAATGTGAAAATGGCTTTAGTTAACAACATTTAAGGGATTTAGATCAAATAATTAATTTAATTCATATCGCAAGTGGCCCTTTACTACAGTGGTGCAATGGCGTTGAGCTCTTTTATGACTGCATAAGTTCAAATCCCGTCAGTGGCTAACCTAACATCTAATCTAACAAAATCTATCATTTGACCCAAAAAAATAATTAATTAATATCTCACGAATTTAAAGGATTTGAATCCAAGATCGAATCTAAAAACTTATGAAATTTAAATTCCCAAAATTTATTGGATCATAGATCTACAAATCTTACAGATAATGAGACTTAAAAAAAAAAGTCTACAATTAAAAATAGTGCCCATATTTCTGCAAATTTTATCAAGTGGTATTAAGGAAAATAATGTACCGTATTAAATTTATTATGAGTACATACAAAAACAATGTACCCACAAACTTGACAAAAAAAGTACCAACGAACATTAAAAAAAAAAAAAAAATGTATGTGCCCACAACACACAAATACCAAATGGTACATATACTAAATTTACAAAATATATATATATATATATATATATATATATAATTCACATTGTACCCAAATAAAAATAAATAAAAGAGAAAAAACTCATGGGTATATATATATATGTATAATGAAATTGTACTCACAAAATATATTGTATCCATAGATATATTAGAATGAAATAAAATGTAGAATAAAATTGTACCCATGAAATACAAAAGTATAGCCAACCATAAATTCAACAATCAAGATTAATATTCAATATTCTTTAAACAAAATGATTAATATTCAATAATAAAAGGAAAATAAAAAATAAAAAGAAGAAAAGAAGTTGATACATAAATATATTGGTTGGGGTCTTGAGAATGAACAAGCATGATGGATTGAGTTTAGAGGTGACGTGCGTGAGGGATGAAAAAGAATGGAGGAGTTGCTGTTTATTTGACTCAAACGCAGGATGGGATGAGATTTCAATTATCTAACGATCAAGAGGTGTCTATATATATAATACACTAACTAGCAGCTAGCATGTGATTTTGTGACGATAACTTGAATAAAAGACAGAAAGTCATTCCTTGATCCATAAAAGTTAGGTGTATGATTAAACCCCAATTACGGTTTAGGTTTTATATGAGAGATTAAGGTGTATTCATTAAGCATGTGAACTAAAGTTTAGATCTGTCGAGGTTTTTCAAAAAAAAAAAAAAAAGATTATGTAAAATGTTAATTAAGCATGTTAACTAATTGAGAGATCAAGTCATTCACTAAAATGTTTCAAATCTTGAAATAAGCAGGTAAATGATTACCCGTTGCCAGTTGTTTGGTGGTCAGACAAATTTGTAGCTTCTGTATGAGCCTCTCTCCGCCTCTTCCTGACATGTGAAGGATCAGCGTGAGAGATTAAGGTGTATTAATTAAGTACGTTAATTAGAGTATTACAACTTAAATCTTGAAAAGCAGGTGAATAATTACCTATTATTAGCGCTTTGAAGATGGTGGCCAGACAAATTTGCAGCTTTTGTGAGAGCCTCTCTCCACTGCTTTACCCTTTCTTGTTTAGCTTCACGTTTCTTGTCATCTTTTTCTTCACGGATGTCCTTTTCGTGCTTCTGAAATGCTTCGGTTAAATCTCCGTCCTGCCTCCTGACATTCGAAGGATCAACGTGATAGAATATTGGCAAAACATGTCGCCCCAGTTTGTCTCTGCACTCCATGATCTTCACCAGCTCGTCAAGACACCAACTCGAATCCGCATACATCTTTGAGAAGACAATGATAGAGATCCTCGACTCTTCGATTGCACGAAACAGTTTCTGTTTTATTTCTTCCCCTCTTTTTAGACCGACCTCATCAATAAAGACATGGTATCCTCTGTATTTTAATGCCTCGTGGAGGTGGCTGGTGAAGCCATTCCGTGTGTCTTCGCCTCTGAAGCTCAAGAACACATCGTAAGTCCAAAGTTCTGACTTGGAGAAGGACGAGGAGGAGGCTTCGTGGGCTGTCATGGCGGTATCCACCGTTATGGCACTGCAATGGTTCAGATCAGAGACTGAAAAATGGCAACGGTTGCGGTTGTGTCGCCGAAGGATGATACCTAAACACCGGTCAAGATCCTTCAGTAGACAAAGGCAAAAGTTTATAATATAATAATGTTGGCGTATGGACTTGAGAAACGACACGCTACCGTGCAAGGAAAGAGAGGAAAATAAGAAAGAAAAGAACACGAAAGGACCGACTACCGACACGTAATAGGATGGTGGAAAGCAGGAAAGAAAGGAACTCTGAAAGATGCTATATTCACGTGAAGGGAAAAGGCTCATGTTTGCTTTTCAAGAAAATCTGAACACAAGGAAAAGGCTCATGTTTTAATTTTGCTTTTTATACATTAATTTTCTTCAAGAACAGATACTTAATTTTTTTCGCACTATGTTTTTATTCTGCAGTATCTCACCTTGCCAAAGATAATCGCTTTCGCGTTCATGAGATTTTGGTAGTACTGAGGTAAATGTTATCAAGGTGTGCAAAGTAGTATGCTTGGTAGAATTTATAACAATAACCTCATGAGGACCTTCAGGTTGTTCACTTGACGAGTAAATGCATCAGACAACCAACACTTAAAAATTACGACCATCACTTTCAGGTATAACAAAGTCAGCTACATTTCCCTCACAAGCAAACTCAAACCACACGGGAATATCATAAATACCATGAGATAAATGCCACCATTTCCACAAGAAGTCCATCCCTATACATGTTGAAGTGTACAAGAAGCTCATATAAAATTTGACAAAATTAAAGATAACTTATATTGTGCGGTTTCCACTTCTAATTATACCAAAGTATTTTATGATGAAACTTTCACATATGATATGTTGTGCATGTGGTAAGATTCAAGCTGAGAGAAAATATTGGTGTGATTAGGGTCGTTGATCAGTTTGTATGAATCTTTTACAATATTTGCATTTGTTATGTGTGTGTGGTAAGCTACCAAAGATAATACCGAAATAAATACCCAAGTCTAAATCTTAATAATATAGCCTTCACGTTAAAAACTTGAGAAATGACCGTGTCCCGGAAACGGAGAGTTGCACAAAATTAAAGTTCTATTTTTGTTGTTTTGGTTTTTAAACTGGTAGTGAAACGTTACCAGATGAGCTTTTAATTTATATTAGTCCTAATTACTCTAAAAAGACACTATACCAACAAGCCACCAAAGTCTAAATGTTATATTATAAATAAAAAAAGGGAAAATCAACATAGATTTTGAAATGTACAGAATACCCCAGATGGGCAATTTGTAACAAAACCCCCAGAAACAAAAGTTGGGGCCATAAGAAAGATCTAGATAAAATCCCAGAAGATAAAAATTATTAAAAAGTAAGAAAGTTAGTACCGTTTTACTGAAAACAGCAGCTTTCCCTTCCTCTCTTCAGAAACTACTACAACCAGAAGAAAATAACCCCAAAAGAAAAAGGATTAGTCCCAAACAATTAAGTAAATTCAATTTAACTGACAGAAAATAAAAAACCCATTCCTTATAATTTCAGGTTGTAATTTCAAGGTTAAATTCTGCAGAGAAATTGGCAGAAGGGAAAGAGATAGATAGATATATAGATAGAGGGAGAGAGAGAATGAACCTTAGCACCCAGAACAGAGAGAGAAACATCCTGCAGTTGAATTAAAGTTTCAATAAAAATGATTAATCAGAGAGCCGAAAAAGAGTACGCTTTGGAGAAGAGTTTGAGAGAAAGTTGGGTTACAGTGAAAGTTGAACTGTAGAACGGACCAGATCGATCTTCATGTACAGAAATATTGAAGGTAGAGAAAGTTGGGTTACAGTGACATAGTTTTGGCAAGTGACAGGCAGGGCAAGGAAATTGTTGGATGGAGCAATTGCCAAAAGCACTAAAATATACATAAGAACGCCTACGTGTACTCCACTCACATGATCACATCCCAACCCAAGGATCAGGATCTCTCTTGATCTAAGGATGGGGATCCTTCTGATCAAGAAATATGGGTTGTTAGATAAAAATTCAACGGTTATAATTATTATAACTTTAAAGAGACCTTCTGTTTATAAATGTTAAATTTTCATCCAACGTCCCACACTCTTTGATCAAAAAGATTCTCATCCTTAGATTAGAAGAGAATCCTGATCCCCAACAGAATATTCCACCATTTGGCTTTCTCCTTGCTTTCTGGGAAGTGGCGAGTTGAGATTACTAATGGGCAAAATATCCGGGATATGAGTTATTACTATTTATTTAAAACTCACGATTATAATTATGGGTAACCATTTATCTATAAAATTTAAATAAATGACCATAATTATCATGTACAATTGTAATGGGTATCTATTTATTCATTTATTTAATATACGTCACATTAAAAAAAAAAAATTAAAAAACTAAAACTCTAAAATTATTCGGCCTCCCACACTTCCGCCGCTCATCTCTCTTCTTGCTACCCTCTCTCATATCCGCCTCTCTAATCTCCTGCAAAACAGTGAATTCATTGCCCCTTTTTTGTCGTCAATGATGGCGGCACCTAATTCCGACTTCCGTCAACCACAAAACCCACTTCTCTTCTCTTTTTATTTTTATTCAAAATTATTTCAATGATTTATATTTTGGATTTAATTGAATTGGAGGTTTGGATTGGTCTCACATGTGGTAAATAATTAAGGAAGGAGGCAATTGTTTGCGGTGCTGCTGACTAATCTCCAAGGCGAGAGTCCCTGCTTCCTAATTTATTTTCATGGACACTCGCACACTGGGTTTTTATCTTAATGCCTCGGTATTTGTTTTATTTACTCTTTTTCTTATGATACTAATTGACAATGACTTGTATGACATGAGCATATGTCAGTCGTAATTATTTTAATCAACGATACAATAATATGTACATATTTTTTCAGGATTTATAATATTAAAATACGAAAATGCATGTTCAATCTACTTATAATGGTGTTTAATTGCTAGAAAAAAAAAATTATGACAAATTTCTATTTTAATTTTGAAGTTGTTAAAAAGCCATGATAGGTAAAAAAAAGGGGTAAATGATTATAGTTAAATGGGTATACGGTTATGGGTATAGTTAACTTTTTTAAACGGTTATGAGGATGGGTATAACAGTTTATGCAATTACCCAACGGGTAAACGGTTATGCAAGTAAAAGTTTAAACGGTTATGGGTAAATGACAACGGTTACCTGTTCGCCATAACCGTTGCCCATCCTCAGTTGAGATCTTCTCTGGATCTCTGTGTTGGAGCAGAAGGATCGTTGAAGAGAGGAAAAAGAGAGATCTTGATTCTTAATTTATGTGAGGTGGACTTGTAAAATCAGCTAATGAGAACTACATAATTTAAAATAAGTGGTCCAAATCTGCATCTGTTCACATCGGACAGTGAGATCCATAGAGAATCCCAGGTCGTAAGTGGCTACTTGTTTTTTTCTTAATTGTCTTCCTAATTCGGGTTTAATCATTCCATAATAACTTATTATTAATTAGTAACCACGTGCTTATCATACTCTTAATCTGCCCACTCCCATAACCACTAATTAGCCTCAGTGTATTCCTGCATGACCTGTCTCTCCATACATATTGCGGTACTTTTCAGTATGCTAGGAAAGAAACAGTATATCCTAATAACAAGTTAACCCATGCATAATTTTGCTTGTTAATTTAACTGAAAATATGACTTTAACCCCTCAAACTCAATTTCTTTCATACAAAACCTGAAATAAATTTTTTACTCAAATAAAACCCAATAACTAGACTCCACATAAGCAAAATCATTAATTATGTTTGACTTTACACATTTTAAATTTTTCGAATGCCTAAAATACCCCTTTTTGCATGTTTAATGTGCACAATTAAACATATGTAGATTTTAAGGAGGATTAATGATTTTAAAAAAAAAACAAAAAAAGTACTAATATTCTAAATGCATTGCATGTTATATGAGAATTCAATATTTCCACGCTTTGTAATTAATTTGGTTGATTCATGTTTCTCTCACTCCATAAAATTTGCTTCTAATTCGATATAGGAATTAATTTGGCAAGTTTTCTTAATCTTAACAACATTTTTCAATTTAAATATATATACATTAGTGAAATAGTCTATCTTTTAACATATTTATCAATAAAATAATGTACCTATTGTTCAAATTTTAGGATAAAATTTTACCTGTTCTTATTTAACAATAATGTATCCACAATGTTATTTTTGTATGAATATAATTTACCTACTTTTTGATTTTATATGAAACTAATTTACCTACTGTGACAATAATGTATCTACAATACTACATAAAAGATTTACCTTTTTTAACAACACTAGTGTATCTACAATTTTGTTTTCGTATGAATATAATTTACCTACAATTTAACTTTTCAAAAAATGTATCTTCTATTTTATGTTTTACTATCATATGTATGTTTATGTGTTCGCAATATAATTTATCTAAAGTTATATAGTTAAGAGATATTGTAATGCATTATATTAATCCATTATTAGATTGGTAAAAGAAATTGTTAAAAACGTTAGCCATAATGGTTGGCTAATAATGTTTGTATGAGAACAGTTATAGAAAGTTGTGGCATAAATTGTAAATAACTTATATTAATAGGTTACTTGTTTTCTTATGTGGCAATTTATTTAAATTTTGGGTTTTTACTAGATGTTGATTCATAGGTGGGTTTTTATCCGAAATATATGAGTTGTATGGGCTTATATCTAAACAACCCTTAATTTAATTACAAGCATCCTCATTCCTCCATTTGATGATAAGATCCATATATTAATGTCATCGTAATCAGTTCGACCCTTAACAAAAAATTTCGAAGGGATTGAGCAATCCTGCTAGCACATTATAATTCCTTAATTCATCAAAAAGCTAGTTAGCCTGCATAAAAACAAGAAAAGAACTTTTATGCAGCAGGTGCATAATCATAGCCACCATCGTGGTCGCAACCGTCATCACCTTCCATCCCATGGATGTTGCTGGGGCATAACCATAATCCACATCATGGCCGACACCTTCTATGCATGCTGACGGGGCATAATCATCTCCGTCGTCGTCTCTCCGTCTCCGTGCTTCTTGCACCCCGAGGCACTTATCATCAATTTTGAAGGGGTAAACAAAAGTGGTTCTGTAACCCTACCAACAAGTAAGAGGACGGTGGAAAACACGAGCTGCCGTTTGGTAAAAACCAAGTGGAAAAGCAGTAGCTTCTTTTTGAGAAAAACAACCCAACGGAAAGATGTTTTCCGTGGAAAACCACGATGTCACTTGTGGTCTCACGATCTGATCACTGGACGGTTAAGATTGAAGTTTTACAAAAGATTCTTATTATCTAGTTGTATCATCTCTCTAATAGAGAAGTGACTTCTATTCTAATAAATATAGAAAATCCACATAAACCTTATCTTTATTAGAAATGGTATAAAAAATAATATAACTAATTGGGAAGTGTAGCATTATTCTATATGAATACGATGGACATCGTCGGCACCTTCTTGTGCATTCATGTTAAAAAAAAGGCTCATGTTTGGTTTTCAAGGATATGAGGGTAGAAATAATTAAAATCCACCTCATTATATTTTTTTCTTACATTAAGTCCCAACGAATGTCAGGAACATTCTCTTTTAAATTTTTTTGCTTTGTGTCTTTATTTTGTTTTTATTCAGCAATGTCGTAATTTAATTTTTTTTATTTTTGATATTACTCTTTAAAGATCATTATACTAAAGTAAAACCAAATTCATTATACTAAACACGAACCAATACCCCGAACGACGCCGTTTGATGAGCTAATCGGGACTGTACCGTACATTTCCCGTTCTCCGTTGTACAATTCCGAAAAACCCCAAAATCAAACGTCGCGGCAAACAGGCCCTAAAAATTGGAGGGGAGTTCCGGCGCCGCTTCCGACGCCGCAATCGAAACCTTAGAACCAGAGAGTGGTGCTTCGGCGAAATCGAACAAATGAAGGGGATGATCCTGATCCATTCCGCCTTGTCCGACGACATGCGTACGGTGGTGATTTCAGTGGAAACCAAGCTCACCAACATAGACCTCAAATCCATCTCCGCCAGTGCCCTGTCACCTCCTCAGCCCCAAAGTCCTCCAGGTAAATCACACCTCTCTGTACTTCTCGTTAATTTTTCTTGTTTTCTGTTTGGTTGCTCAGAAAATAGATAAAGAGAAAGAAAAATGTGGTCTTTCATTTGCGTTTTTTTAGGAGATAGGTTGGGTAAGAGACGTTACTAAATTCCGTGTGGTGGGTTTTACGAGGAATACGAGTAGTCGGCGGCTTTTGAAACTCGGGCTCACGGACGGCCACAGTGAGGTAGCAGCTGTGGAGTACTCTCATATCCCGGCAATCCCTGACGACGTCGTTCCTGGAACTAAAGTATTTTCCACTACATTTACAATGAGTTTGGAAGTTTTAGGTCACAACTTACAGTTTATGGCTCCAAACTGTTTGCCACGAAATTGATTATTTGATTGGTATTAAGAGGACGAACAGATTCGTGCTCTAGATCAGGGCAAAAGCTTGCCGTGAGAAATTGAGGAGGGAGAGATTTAATGACAGGTATGTGTCCAATCTCAAATTATATTTTTTTACATTTTTTGAAGAATTGGGTTGTTTTGTAATGATGAAATGAATGGTGGTTTTCTGTTGAATTTTACTGTTTTGCAATTTGGGATTTTTGTGTGGATTGTAAATTTTGAATTTTTTTATTTTTATGCAGGTGTTTGAATTTCTCTTGCTACAAAAACTAATGAATTGAGACTGAAAAATGAGAAGTTGCCATCAAGTGCTTATGTTTTAGTATAATTTCACATCTGTGATTCCAAAGTGTTTCCCCCAATCCAGTATGAATGGTGGTTTTCTGTTGAATTTTACTGTTTTGCAATTTGGGATTTGCGTGGATTGTAAATTTTGAATTTTTTTTTTTTTATGCAGGTGTTTGAATTTCTCTTGCTACAAAAACTAATGAATTGAGACTGAAAAATGAGAAGTTGCCATCAAGTGCTTATGTTTTAGTATAATTTCACATCTGTGATTCCAAAGTGTTTCCCCCAATCCAGTATGAATGGTGGTTTTCTGTTGAATTTTACTGTTTTGCAATTTGGGATTTGCGTGGATTGTAAATTTTGAATTTTTTTTTTTTTATGCAGGTGTTTGAATTTCTCTTGCTACAAAAACTAATGAATTGAGACTGAAAAATGAGAAGTTGCCATCAAGTGCTTATGTTTTAGTATAATTTCACATCTGTGATTCCAAAGTGTTTCCCCCAATCCAGTATGAATGGTGGTTTTCTGTTGAATTTTACTGTTTTGCAATTTGGGATTTGCGTGGATTGTAAATTTTGAATTTTTTTTTTTTTTATGCAGGTGTTTGAATTTCTCTTGCTACAAAAACTAATGAATTGAGACTGAAAAATGAGAAGTTGCCATCAAGTGCTTATGTTTTGGTATAATTTCACATCTGTGATTCCAAAGTGTTTCCCCCAATCCAGTTTTGTCTTTTCAGATGAATATATGCCACAAGCCATGCAGAAGAATATAGCTGAGTGAGCAACTTTTGTTTTTAATACTGTGTTTTGAAAAAAATTTGACAAAACAAAAGATCGAAGATACTGATCATGGGCTGGGGTTTGCAATTGGTTTTCAAGTAAGGGATGTAATAAGCACTCATAAATTAGGAACAGTCAAAGTTAACGCTTTTTAGAATAAGTGGCACTTGAGTTATAGAACTGAGGAATGAAATTGCAGAGCGCATGTATATTTATCCTTCAAGTGTTGTTTTTGGATCAAATGCAATTTCATGTACAATTCATATTTTTGCTTTTCATTTTTTCAGTTTGTGTTCTGTTCATGGTTTAAGAAGACATGAATCACATGTATGTAAGTTTTGCATATCACATATATACTTAGAACTTTTGACGTGTTTTATATGATTTTAAAACCCATAGCATTGCACGGGCACCTTCACTAGTAGAAAACTGTAAAAAAAGCTCATGAACACATCAGTAAGAGTGGAAGGTAAGTAGAGAAAATTTCTGAGATATTCTATTGGGCAATCCATTTCTGAGTCTTGCAAATGAGCTTTTTGATCTTACCAGGAACAGCTATACAATCTTACAAAAAACTTCCTTCTACAGCTTCGGAGAATCCAACAGGGGACGATTTTTTGATTGCGCAAACGAGTTCATCGACCGCAAAGGTAGTAGAAAAGGTACTAAATCTTCTAGTAAATATACAATCAATCTTCAGCTAACCTGTCAGGGCAAGTCAAGATTAATGAAAAGGTAGTAGAAACTATTGACTGGCATCTTCAGGCTATCATTGATTTTCTTTCTAACCTTCAAAGTAAATTCCTGGAATATGTGGTGGAAGCATGGCAAGTATTTGTGCAAATTTGAGTAGTATTTGTCAAATATTTGGATGAATGGCTTATATTGATTGTTGTAATGTTGAAATGCTTCTAGATGCAATGTATCTTCAGAATTCAAAACAACTACTTTTTGAAAAAATCATAGGAATCTGCATGCGCACGATAGGAAGGCAATTAGAACTTCGGGGGGAGAGAGAGAGAGAGAGAGAGAGAGAGAGAGAGAGAGAGAGAGAGAGAGAGAGAGAGACCTGTATGATGCCACTGAGTCTGTGTAGGGTATGAAAATCATTCCCTCCAAGACTCAAATGTTGTAAAGAAATTAGACTCCCAAGATCCTTAGGCATTGCATCATCAGGTAGTTTGCACCACGAGAGATTTAATTCCCTTAAAGAGCACAAGCCATGTAATGAATGGGTAAAATGAATAGGCACAGTACTCCGTAGAGATAAACGAGTGAGATTCGTCAACCCTACTATGGAAGGTGGTACTTGTCCTATGGCTGTATGCTCTGCTTCCCCTAAAGAACCTCAAACTCCAAAGTAAAAGCTTGAACAGATGGTCTTCATACATTAGCTCCTCCCAATGTTCTCTGCCTACATAATATTGCACGTTTCACTCTTAACCGTCACAGTTGGTGGTAAATCTGTGCTTTGTTGAAGATTTTTACATCCATGTGTCACCAATAATTCAAGATCCTTAGGGAGTTTGGGTAGGGTATGAAAATCATTTTCTGGAAGATACAAATGTTGTAAGGAATTTAGACTCCCAAAATCAGGGATTTCATCATCTAACAATCTACACCCTGAGAGATCTAATTCCTTTAAAGAGTTTAAGCCACGTAACAGAGAGGGGAAACGAATACCCGTCACATATTTAAGGGATAGACGAGTGAGATTCTTCAATCCTACTATGGAGCGTGGTACTTGTCTTATGGCTGTGAAATCTGCTTCAAGTATTCTCAATGATATCATCTCTCCTAAATTCTCGTGCACTTCTCTGAATCCTCTACATCCATTAAGTAGAAGAGTCTCAACAAATTTTGACTTGTAGAAATCCTCTGGAAGACAAATAAGCTCTGGACAACCTTGAAGGTTCACCAAAGAAAGTTGTCTACGATGACCAATGGAGGGGTGAATCTCGGACAACTTCTCACACGATTCCAATATCAACTCTTCAAGCTTTGGGACTCGTGAAAGGTTTGGTGATCTTTTGAGGTTATTAGAGTAGCTGAGATTGATGATTTTTAACTCGTAAAGCGACTGTTGCACAAAATCAAAGGAAAATTAAAACTAATATTCAAAAGGATTATCTCATGAAAAAAGAGAAACAGAACATCATCATGTGTAATTGATTGTACCTCGGAACCCTCCCAAACTTGTACCAATTTGCTCCACTGCATGTCCAAAACAGCTAGTCTTGGTTGACTAAAAAAGTCATCTGGTATGGAGTGCAAAGGAAATCCACGCCAGCACAACCATGTTAACTTTTTGGGAAGATGTTTGTATTCTCCTTTGAGCTCTACGTTGTCGAGATAAAGAAAGCTCAGATTCTTCATTTTGGCAAATGCTACTGTACTGAAACTATACTTATGATGACGAATAGGATCATATAGAGCAAGTCCTTCAACTTTTTCAGTTCCCTGTAAACAGAAGGTTATATTCATTAGGCTAAATCATGTACGGTGTATATATTTACACATGAGTGTTGTTTAAGATATAATTGACATATACGTGGGTTATATATACGATGCATTAATCCAAAGTTTTTCTAGGAATGTACTCACAGATTTATTTCTCAATACATCAGTGACCTCCCAACGGTTCCACAGCCTACTCCATTTTTCAGGGTGACCAGGAGATTTTTCAGAAATGATTTCTCTGGCCATATAATGAAGCAAATCATGCATGTACAACTTGTTGTCTTTAACAATTAGAAGACATCGTTCACAAAGGACAGCGATTCCTATTGTTGCATAAAAACCACATTTCTCTAATACTTTTGCAACATAGTCCTTATCCCATCCAATAAAGAAACAAGATATGTGAAGGAATATAGCCTTGTATGCATCATCTAGCCCTTCAAAACTTACTCTTAGTTGTTTTATTATTTTCCCAGGAGGAGTATTTTTCAATTTCTCCTATTCACTTTCCCACTCTGCTTGGGTTCTTTTAAACAAAAATGAACCTAAAACTTCAAGGGCTAGTGGCAAACCCGCGCAGTAAGAAACAACTTTTTTTGAGAGTTCACGATATCCTATGATAGGCCGATCATATCCAAATGCATGCCGACTAAAGAGCTTAAGAGCTTCTTCATTATCCAATTTTTGAGCATGATATGTCTTATCTACTCGCTTTAGTAAATGTTGATCTCTTGTTGTTATGATAATTCTACTTCCTGGACCAAACCAATTATGACTTCCAACGATTGCATTGAGTTGTTCCATATCGTCTATGTCGTCCATGATGACAAGTACCCTTCTATGTCGAAGAAGTTGTTTTATCAGATTAATACCTTTATCAACACTATGAATCTTCTGACTCTTGGTCTCTTTCAAGATGTCAGAAACCAGTGTTTCTTGCCAATAAACCAGACCATGTTTACTTGTAGTGCCACTAATGTCGGCAAGGAAAGATTTGCATTCAAACTTATGACGCATTTGGTTATGAATGGCTTTGGCAATTGTTGTTTTACCCAATCCACCCATCCCCAAAATTCCAACCATGAGAACCTTATCTGATCCACCACTTAAAAGATAAGTGATAATATCTTGTATGCGGGAATTGATTCCAACTTGGTACTTAGCCACATATAATTTGTCTGTGCTTGGAGACCAATTTGTAGTAATCTCGTGAACAATTTCTTCAATAAGCATTGCTTCGCGCCTGAAATTGAATTTGCAAGCATTAGTGGATTTTATGATATATATATAGATATATAGGCTCTAGTGGGGTCTCCAATGGGGATAATGCTCTCAGCCGTCAGATCTCTTTTATGAGATTGTGCGGCTGAAATTTAACAAGCTTTTTTTTCCTTTTTTTCTTTAGTCGGGAGAAAGAATGCGCGAATGCGCCCCCGGGGGAAGAGAAAACAAGAATAAAGAAAGAAGACTAAATCAAATGATGTGTCACAAATAGAAAATGAGTGCATTTATTAACGTTTAAGTAATAATTCAATTATCAATTTCTATGTTATTTAGTTTACAAATTTTATCTACAAAATTAATCTTCCTAGTAATCGCAGTCTTTGAATTTTCTTGTCTAAATTAGAATCAGATTTGAAGAATAATCAGATTTTTAAAAGAAAAAAAATCCCCTATTATTGAACCCAATCTCCAAAACTGGAATTAAAAAGAAAAAAAAAAAACAGGAAATGGAACTGCGAAATTGAATCAAGGAAGATGACACTCAAACTGAATCCATTAGCTGTAAAATGGAACTGGAAAAACCAAAATCCCAATTCCTTGAACCCATTTCTACATAAAACTAGAAAGAAAAAGAACCCTCTGATCATTGAATCCACTTATCGAATCGCCCAAAAAGATATATGAATTTGAAAGATGACACACCAGGATTTCCGATTCGTCTTGTTCGCCAGCCCTTCTTCCTCCGTTAAAAGAAAAAAATGGAGAAAAAAAAATAAAAGAAAAAAGGCATGTTAAATTTCAGCCGCACGATCTCATTAAAAAAGACCCCACGGCTGAGAGCACCATCCTCATTTTTAAGTAAAACGGTGATCTATCCTCTTAAAGAGTCTATATAGCTTATATACTAAGACCATCTCAACCAAATGGGCTAAATTTAATCCCGTTCAGAATTATAGCACTGCATAAAATTATTTTTAATAAACAGTGTCATGTCATATTCATATATTATTTGCAACTGAAAAGGCTAAACATAGTCTCTTAATAATTTATTATTTTAAAGTTTATTCTTAAATTTATTGATTAATTAAATTAAACTACCATATTAAAATAAGGTTATCCAGACATGATTTTAAGTAATACAACATTTTAAGTTTGTAATATTTTTCAAATTTATTTGATATTGCAACATATTTTATTAAATATTCTCGAAATTGAGATATATTTACCCAATTGAATTTAAATGAACAAAGTAGATCAGAAACCTTGATTTGAAACTTTGCTTGAGATTAATTTGTTCTTGACATGGAATCATACTCAATTACTCAGAGAGTGGGTTCTTGAGATAATAATACCCATTAACCCATTGATTAAGCAGGAAACACAATCTTAAGATAGTAAATTAATAATTGGGATTATGGGATGAGGGTCCTGGTGATTTGAAAAAATTAAGGAGGACACGCAACTATTTAATCACGTATTTGTGGCTTTTGTGTCGCTTTCAGGTTAGCTAATTGAAGACTTGCTTGCTGTTTAGTTTAATTGGATGCTTTCAAATCCCACCATTGGATTTGAAACATTAATAAAGCCTGGCTGCTGGCCCATCAAACGGGCTGGAGTTAGCCAGCCCATTGGCCTTTCGGCTATTATTCGGCTTAGTGGGCTTTTTAGATTTATAGTCTAATCTTCTATCAGAGATGAATTTTTGAATAAATCAGATTATTTTTTTACTTTTAGATTTTTATACTTTTCTATAGGAGATGGTCTAACTAGCTAGACTCTGATTTTGTGACGAAACCAAGTCATCCATTGACATATACAAGTTAGGTTTATTAATTAAACTCCAATTATGGTTTAGGTTTTATATGAGAGATTAAGATGTATTAATTGATTAATCATGTTAATTTGAATAATTCAACTTAAATCATGAAAAGCAGCTGAATGATTACCTATTGCCATTGGTTTGAAGATGGTGACCAGACAAATTTGCAGCTTTTGTAAGAGCCTCTCTCCACTGTTTTACTCTTTTTCGTTTAGCTTCACGTTTCTTGCCATCTTTTTCTTCACGGACGCTCTTTTCGTGATTCCTAAATGCTTCGGATAAATCTCCGTCCTGCTTCCTGACATGTGAAGGATCAACATGATAGAATATTGGCAAAACATATTGCCCCTGTTCGTCTTTGCACTTCATGATCTTCACCAGCTCGTCAAGACACCAACTCGAATCTGCATACCTCTTTGAGAAGACAATGATAGAGATCCTCGACTCTTCGATAGCCCGCAACAGTTCCTCTTTTATTTCTTTCCCTATTTTTAGATTGTCATCATCAATAAAGACCTTGTATCCTTTGTCTTTTAATGCCTTGTGAAGGTGGCCTGTGAAGCCCTTGCGCGTGTCTTCGCCTCTAAAGCTCAAGAACACGTCGTAATTCCAAAGTTTAGACTTGGAAGAGGATGAAAAGGATGCTCCCTGGGCTGTCATGGCGGTATCCACCGTTATGGCACTGCAGAGCTTCAGATCACGACTGAAAAAATGGGAGTGGTTCACCGGTTTTGTTTGTATTCGAACCGATGTTACTGAAATACCGAAGCCAAGTCAACCATTCTTTAGTCCACAAAGGCGTCCATAATAATTAATCTTTCTTCACTGCAGGCCGGGAAGGTGCAGTGAAAGAGAGAGGAAAAGAGGAAACAAACAAACACGATGAAGACCATCCAAAAGATTCTTGACGGTGATTAAGCTATTCAAGTATCAATAATACATTATTTTATGTTGAAATTTAAAAGTATTTTTGAAGTAGGATAGCAATAACACATAATAAACAAAAGTAATTTAAAAAGACCCAAATGTGAAAGGATAATTAAAACAATTATTCAAGATGGATGGTAAAAGATTAAGTCGTTTTCAAGATTTGAACTTAAGATCATAATCTACTAAATCGTTGTATTAACTATTAAATGGTGCTTTAATATAATATTTAGGAATTTCAAGGAGGCATATGGGGTGGACCATATATAGGGCTGGTTTGGTATTGTTGTGCTTTGAAAAAAAAAGTTGTTTTTGCTGTGAAGTGAGAATAAGCAGCTGTGAAATAAAGCAGCAGAATGTTTGGTAAACTTTTTTGTAAAAGTACTTTTAAAAAAATACAGTATTATAATGTTTGGTAAAATTTTATGTAAAATAGATGTGAAAAAAAGTCGGTTTTTCAAAGCTGAATTTTACAGCTTCTTGTTTTTGGCTTTTTTTCATTCAAAACTATGAAAAAAACTGACGCTGAAGGTTTACCAAACACAAAAACAACTCCCAACTTTTTTTGATACCAACTTTTTTCAGAATTATCTCAGTACCAAACCAAGCCATAGTTGTAGATAGGCAGGTGTAAGGTGGCAGAATAAAACTTGAATCATTTGAATGGTGGGAAAACCAAATTTCTGCTAAGTTTTGTCTGTATCAACGATCACACAAGAAACACATTCAGTTAACTTTCTAGAAAGTGATGCTCACGTGTTGTTCCGGAATTAGAGATTGTTTGGATAATTATGTTTGAAATATTATCATTTTTTTTTTTCACACGAGATTATCAAATTTAAATCTAGTGTAACTAGAGATCTCTAACTTTCTAGTAGTATATAATTTTGAACTAATAAATGTATCTTTAAGCTTTCAAAGGCGATTATTTTTTTTAACTAATAAATGTATCTTTAACTTTCGACATTATTGTTAGCCCATTGTGAGGCTAGCCCAATCTCCTCCCTTTAGTGTAGATAATATTATTTGTTCCAAAAAAAAAAAAAGTTTCCAAAGAGAATTTGAATCACATTATTACTAATCAATTGTGAGACTTAGCTCACCCCCTACCCCTTAATGTAGATAATATCGTTTGTTCAAAAAAAAAATTGAAACTAATAGATTTGTTTTCTTCTGCATACTGGTAATTAAGAATCAAAAGTAACAGATCTTTCTTCTGTATACTGATAATTTAAGATTTGCTAAACGAATCCATAACTTAGGTTTCAAAGTGTACTATAACATTGATTAATCTAAACAGAACTTCCTCAGCAAACCAAACAATTTTATTTCCTCTTGAAATGTCCTTGTTTTGTTACTTTACAAAGCTAATTTGTTTCAAAAAATATTGAAAACAAGTGGTTTTCAACTTTGAAAATCTCACACCATAAATAGATTAAAGAAACAGTTTCTTCAATTATATTCAACACCACGACATCATCTTGCTGGGAACAAAAAGAAATTTATATAAACAATCAAAAACAATTTAATTGTAAATGTAAAGTTATGTGACCTAATGGTTAAAAATTATGTAAACCACCTCGACATCAAGCAATAAAAAGTTTATGGGAACTGAGGACTTACTTGAGCTGAGAGTTCACATAATCCTTTTAAGAGTAGTATAGTTTTGTTGGATTGCGTTGCTTGTAATGAGATATCTCCTTTCTGCACAAAGGAGTTTCAAATGCATGTATTAGCCTAACTTAGATTTACAATATTTGAGAATTGTGTTTATACATAAATAAATACACCCACACAGCGAAAAAAGGAAGACAAAAAACGAACTGTATGTATACTAAGATGCATGTCAAATATGATTGACAAAACAGATGCTCTTTTTTTCTACTGAATTTCAAGGAGGCATACGGGGATGGACCGTATAATACACCCAAATGGACCCATTTTTAGGCCTCACTGCTAACAACTATTGCAAAATGCCATTAGGATTAAACTGCTAAAAACTGTTACGAAATGAACCATATAGTGAGCCCAAATGGATGCCATTTATGCATATATAAAATTTGTTTTGAATTATATGACCTGGACTTGGAGTTCTTGCTGCAAATTGTATGTAATGACCTTCGAGCAGGTGATTAGCTAGTACAGCTATTCAACTCTCACAGTCTCACACTCTCCAAATGGTAAGGCCAAGAGAGTCAGGTGTCCGGCTGAATGTGGCCTGAGCAAATAGATGAATGATCAGGAGACAAAGAAACTGATGGATGCCACAATTCTCTATGAGAGTGTCAACTCTTTGTCAGTTTAAAAAGGGAAAGAGAGAGGAAAGGGGAAGGAAATGAACACGAAAGGACAGAGACTATTCACCTACTCAACTATGAATATGTATAAAATATGAAGTGATTACATATGCAAGTAACGACCCCAAATCTTATTGGTGCTAATTAACTAATGTAATAAAATAATTTTATTAGACACCGGATTCCTCAGCAAGTGGAACTTTTTTTCTAGTTTAGAGGTCTAGTAGTGATTAATTAGTTGTGATTAGATCTTAAGATTTATTTATTTATTTTTTTTTCATCAATTGGAATCTAGGTTCGTGTAACACTCATCATTTGTTAATGATTTGTGCTTTGGCAAGTTTGCTGCAGGATGGACTGAGGGTATAGTCTGTATGAAATACTGGAGAATAAATTGTGGAGTAAAAAGAAACTCAGAAAATTCACGTGATTTTTATTCCCAATTGACTAAAATATCCCTATTAATTTGGCCACATCCGTTCTATGCGGAGTTCAACCACTACTAATGTAGTATTAAGTTTAATTTTATGTCACTTAGTTGCGGGGAAGAGGTCGAGAGGGGACCGATGTTTTTACACTTGGATTTGTTCACTGATTATTTCTAGTGGTGCATATATGGTTGCAGGTGTAAGTTGGCACGATAAAACTTGAATCATTGGAATGGAGGGTGAACGAAATTTCAGCTATGTTTTGTTTGTATCAACGATCACACAAGAAACGCATTTAGTTAACTTATTATTTATTTGTTATTAATGTTCTAAATTTTTTACTTTGTAATTGATGTGTTTTGAAAAAAAACTGCTTCTGCTGTGCTGTAAGAATAAGCAGCAGAGTGTTTAGTAAACTTTTTTGTAAAAATACTTTTGAAAAAAAAAAAAAAAGCAATATTATAGTGTTTGATAAGTTTTTATGTAAAACAGATGTGAAAAAAAAGCCGGTTTTTCAAAGCTGAGTTTTGCAGCTTCTTGTTTTTGGCTTTTTTTCACCCAAAATTGTGAAAAAAAGCTGAAGCTGAATGTTTAACAAACACAAAAACAGCTCCCAGCTTTTTTTGATACCAGCTTTTTTCAGAATACCAAACCAAGCCTTAGTCATATTTTAAGGGGAACAACGTATAAGTTATTACGGTGATGCATTAGCCTGACAAAACTTCGACAGGCAAAATAGAGGAAGCTTCGTGGGTTGTCATGACGGTATCTACCATGACACTGAGTGGTTTAGAAGACGATTGAAAAAATGGCAGTGGTTGTGTTACCTAAACATAAGTTATTTATCACAGTGGTGGAAATGTGTTATGCCCTTGCATGACAGCGTGAATTCGAATTCTGTTAATGGTTAATCTAATATCTAACGTATTAACGCTATCGCTCGACTAAAAACAACACAAGTCAAGCTCCTTTAGTCAATAAAAGCAAAAATCTATAATATGATAATGTTGGCGTATGAACTTGAGAAACGACATAGTGCCTGATGAGAAGGTGCAGGAAAAAGAGAAGAAGAGAGGAAAGAAAGGAATGCGAAAGGATAGACTATTAAAATGATGCCACAACCCGTGAAGAAGAATTTAAAAAGACGCGGGAGTGGAAGCATTTGAGACAAAAGCTTTCCACACTCCACAGAGCCAAAAGTGGTCGTGTAAACCTACCGACACTTAATAGGGCGGTGGAAAAGCAGGAGCTGCATTTTAAAATAAAGAACAAGGAAGTTTCCTTTTGGAAACCACGATGCCACTAGTAGCCGCAAGATCTGATCACTGGACGGCTAAAATTGAAGATTCGCAAAAAATTCGTATCTGAATACGACGAGATAATCGGTAACTTGTTGTGGTGGGTATATAATATATTAGGAACTCTGAAAGGTGCTTTATTCACGTGGTTTTCCACTTATTTGATTAAGCCTCGTATTGGCTCCACAATTAATAACAATTAAAGTTAACATTTTCTCTCTCTTCCTCAGCCTCTCTATTCCTCATGATGAACGCAGAGTCTGTAAAAATCTCAAATCATTTCTCACTTTCAAAATGGTATCCCTGGATCATATTTGCAGGTCCTGAAATTGCCCGTTGAAAAACAAACAATATTATGAGAGAGGAAGACATAAAACTCTGCAATTGAAAAAAAATATTATCTCCTTCTTCTTCAACTTGCAACAAAAAAAAAAAAAATATATATATATATATATATATATTCACTTTTATTCCGGTAGAAAAAAACCCATCACAGGACTAGCAAATTTGGGAGACAGAAAGGGACATGCACTCAAATTGTAAGTTCGCCCGAGAAATTTTTCCGTTTCAGAATCCAAATCGTGCGTTTTTTCCCCTTCAGAATACAAGTATAGTTTCCTTAAAGCATACTACGTATAAGTATGAAGATTTAATGTATGCCAACAATATATATCAGAAATATGCCACAACATGAATAATTCAACAATAATGGAAATATAGGCATGTGCTTGACAATATACTAGCACGTGAGTCGGAGTCACTTAACGTGACTTGTACAACTGCATCTATGGCTCATCAATCTAAACTATCACACAAGTCGGAGTCACATCAATCTAAACTATCACACAAGTCGGAGTCACCTAATGTGACTTGTACGACAAGCTAGGTGTCATAATAATATACACTCTAGTGCTATGATCACGTAAGGCTTGCGCTAAACGCAGTCACCTAATGTGACCTGTACGACATGGTAGCACCTAACTTGGATCTAAGATGAGCATACGGTGTGGGAGGTGAACATACACGTGAAGGCTGGCTCTGGCCCTAGGCGAAAGCATTAACACCTAGGTGTAGTAATGATAAGCTAACTATATGAATATATGTATGCCATACAATTTGAATCAATATAATAAACTCACCTGAATTTACCTGCGTGTCCTGTAGAATCATTTTAGTATTCTTCCACAATACTATATAAATAATCAGGTAAAATGCGTATGAATATGCCATTGCCATTTTATAATTCCAATCACAAAGCAACATTTACCAAACTAACTAAAATTATGGCATAATATGCATGAATCCATTTAAATGCATTTGTGGAAACCATAATTCATATATATATATAAAAGTAAATTGCCCACTCACCTGGAGTCCGCGCTACAACTTCCTAGCACGAATATCAAGGCATCATAAGCGATCGTCGCCTAAAACAATTATCAAATCACAACTCAGGATTCTTATCGATAGAATACGCAACTCATGTAAAACACATTCCAAGGACGTTCTAGAATGATTTGAAACCCATTGACCAAAAGTAAACTGTTGGTCAAAGGTTGGCGGTAGGGTCCACAACCCTATGTAATTCGATTCGAAAGATCTATGCCTCAGATTTCAGATCCGTAACTTCCAAAGATCCACATTATGCCTCTAGAACAACATCCTAAAGTTTCCGAATGTCAATTCATGCAAGGATCCCGTGACAGCCAACTAGGTGGGCAACTACGATACTACATTAAAACATCATAATTTCACTAAACAGATGTCAAATATGGAATCGAGGCTTCAAAATTAGCCTAAGATGGTCAGGTGGGGTCTCGGCCCACTCGCCGCCACCACGGTTCACCAAAAAATTCCATTATTTCTAAAAATTCTCAAAGTTCACATAAATGAAGATCTCAAAGAGAGGGAAAAACTTTCATACCTACCACGAAGTTCAAAAGTGGACGGAAGATGGTCAATTTTGCCCACAAAGCCGGAGGGTGCCTAAAGCTTCTCGGCGTCGATTCGTCATCTATGGTGGTCCAACGAGGTCAAGGTTGGTTGGGATTTTCTCCTGGGATGATGGGCTATAAAGCCCAAGTGGTGGCATCGACCATCACTTTGTCGATTCGCTGAAAATTTGAAAAGAGTGGCTGGAGCATTATTGATTTTCGTCGACTTTTGTGGCCTCAAACTGCCACATACCATGGTTAATAAAGGTGGTTCTTGGGTGGGTTTTGTAGAGGGGAATGAGAGCTTTAAGATGGTGGTGGTGGCGTCGAAAAACTCTACCGGAGTTAGCCGGAATCGGCCTTGGAAAATGGGAGGTCGAATTGGGTTGTATGGGTTGAAAGGCTGACAGGAATGGAAGGGAGAAATCCTTCTTTTTCCTGATTGGCTGCTGCCCTCTCCCTCTCTTCTAAGACCTACTCCAACCATGAGCTATTTGCCAAAATTCCCCCCAAACACCACCCAACCCAAGCTAAAACATTAGGCTAAAAGCCAAATGCTAAAGCTGGGCCAAATTCCCCCCTCCCCCCAATCAGCGTCGACTCGCTTGAAATTGGGCCACTCTCGGCCCGCCCACGGGCTTGCTTCGAATCTGCTCCTGACAGAGTGGGGGCCCACTGTCAGGGCCTTGTCGGCCACTTCCCGTGAGCCTAACGCCTCTTTTTCCTATCCGACAACCATCATTTAAGGACCGTTGGTTGATCTAACGGTCCATATTCAAATGTCATTTTTAAAAAATATGTTATTTTAAAATACATTGAATCTAACGACTGAGATCGAATATAATCAAATTTAACGGCCCAAATTTAAATCCAACGTTTAAAATAATAAAAAATATATATTTAACTCAAAATTCACCCAAAAACTCTACAAATACATATGTATTTGTTCAAACATCCACACAAAACTCAATTTTCTCCTACAATTCTTCCAACTTATCTTTCTACCATTTCTTTCCATTTGCAAGTTGTTCAACATGGCAAGAGAGCATATTAGAAGTCGTAATTGGACCTGTGAGGAAGATGTTGCTTTATGATTGTTTCAAGAAAACTGCAACGACCGCGGGCGGGATGAAGGTGGTGTTTATGATAGGTGGAAGACTATCAACAAAGCATGCATTTTATGAAAGGAAAGCTTGGAGAGAGTCGTGGTTGGCATGCCTAGTGGAAGGAGCGCCATAGAAATTGTGAGTTTTGTTCTTGATATTTTATTTGTCATGTACATAATATTAGTTTGCAACTAATTATTTTTATGTATTTTTTTGCATAGGGTGACAAAGTAATGGAAATTTACAAGACAAGAGTAACACCAAAAAATCAAGTTTTTAAGTTGCGACCTGCTTGGGATGTCCTCAAGGATTGTCCGAGGTGGGGAACCAATGCGGACCAACAATGGGGAAGATTATTTCAACGTGAAGCCGCACAGACAAATGCCGGAGATGAAGGTGTCGATGAAATGACCCCATCTCTTTCTTTTGCAAGGCCCCCGGGAAAAGATAAGCAAAAGAAAGCAAAGAGAAAAGGGAAGTCTCAAGATCCGATGAGTGCACATTTTGCTATTGGAATTGCAAAATTGAACGAAACTCATAGCGCTCGCCAAGAAGAAACGGCCCGAATGCGTTTGCAAATGGAATCTCAGATAGGGAGCAAGATAGGTTTGAAATTAATTTGATGATGGAAGACCTTAGCAAATACACTCCAAAGAGGAAGAAGTTCTTACGTGGTAAGCAAAAGGAAGATGATGAATCCTTTGAACCCTATATCCCAATTCAACCACGAAGTCCATCACCAAGTAAAGATGGTGGATATGATTATTAAGTTTATATAGTGTATGAATTATGTGCTTTATTAATTAAGTTTATTAATTGTTGTTTGTATTAAGTTTATGTAGTTTATTAATAATGTGGTTTATGAATTATTAGTTGTATTAAGTTTATGATTTTTCAATATTTATCGGAATTAAAATTTTTTAAGATTAAAATGTTCGTAAAATTAATTTATGATAGTCTACATATTTATTTATTTTTTAAGTTTAATTTAAGAAAAAAATTAGCCTAAGTTCATTCTTTAATAATCCTGAGCTAAAATTTTAGGGCAGAATGGTGGGAGCAGAAAAGTTGTTTATGGGCTAAAAGCTAAATTTAGCTTTTAGCCCAAGAGTTAGAGATGGTCTAATTTGGTTCATTGTCCCTTTAATTTGATTGGTCCTTTATTCCTTGCGGAAGGCTGATTCATCCCACAAGGTAGGAATTTAATTTAATTAAAACCAAACTTTTAGTAACCAAATTCAAACGTCCGTAATTATACCATTATAATCCGGACTCGCAAACGACTTTCGCCTATGCGTTCGTAGTGACGAGTACTACGAGATTATGCTAAAAGAATAAGTCCTACGTTCCTCTAGACGGTGGTTAACAGAAGTCAAAGTCCTTGCCTCTAGGGCATTTTCGTAAATTCACGCTTTTAAAATTAATAAAAACGTAAAATTAGGAATAGGTTGTTACATGATATTTTGTACATACGGTAAAATTCAAGTTGAAAGAAAGTATCAATGTAGTTAATAGTGGGTCATTGATCAGTCTTTACGAATCTTGACAATATTTGCATTTGTTATGTGTGTGTGGTAAGCGACCATACTGAAATAAATACCCAAGCCTCATGTCTATAATAATATAATCTTCACGTCTTTTTTAGTTTATCAGATAATCTTCACGTCTTAAACTTGAGAAACGACCGGGGACGGAAAGACGCACGAAATTGCAGAGACAATCTATTTTAGTATGATAATCTTCACGTACATACAAACTAACGCAGAGTCAAAGTCATGTAGCTTTTGTCATTTTGAGATTTTAATAAAAAAAAATGTAAAGTTCTATTTTTTTTGTTTTTATTTTTCAAAATTGTTCGTAAGACGTTACCAAATGAACCCTTAACTTATGTTAGCCATCATTAGTTAGTGAACATTACTATACCAACAAGCCACCAAAGTCTGTGTGCTATATTATATATAAAACTGGGTTCTAATGAAAAAGCACTTATAAAACGGATAAGCACATTTCTAAAAGCACTTTAGAAACCACTTATGTTTGTCGCTTTTGCTTTCTAGAAGCCATAATGAAAAAGGAAATTGAAACTAATATTCAAAATGAAGATCTCATAATAAAAAAGGAAATAAAAAAAACAAATAGAAGCAGAACATCATCATGTGTAATTGATCGTACCATGGAACCCTCCCAAACCTCAGAGCCGCACAAGGTTTATGTGCATTTTCCCTCCAACCCATCTTGCTGAACGTTAAACCAAATTAAAAAGAATAGAGTTTTTTAACCGTTAGAGAAAAAACATATATTTAACAAGAATAAAAAATGAAATTGTACTTGTTCACTTTTCGCCAGAGCACAATAAAACAACACCACCCAAAATGTGTTTGCGAAAATGAAAAATGTGAAGGAGATTATATTTTTGTACCATTTAAATATACGATCTTATGTGGGATACATGCCGCATCAGTTAATGAATCTATTTGATTAGACATTAGTTGTATGTATCAGTTATTATATCAGATGGTACAAAAATATGATCACCTTAGCATTATTATGTGAAAAAACCAATCAGATGAAGAAAAAGAAGCTACTTTCGTCATCATGTAATAGAAAGAATAGAAAAAAAGAGTGGAGGGTTGTGTTTACCGGATTATATTGTTGCTGTTTGTTTTTGTGTTTAGGGTTACAAAATTAATTATTTCCTTTTCATTTATTTAAGGGCAAATTTAGAAGTTTGGTAGATAAATTTTTCTATTTAGGTATAGAAATAAGAAAGCTCAGTTCAAACAAATTTTCTCAAAAAGATTTCCAAACGCGAAAGATCTTTCATGCTACACATGGGCCTGCCCTTGTAGGCCTTAATTTTGGGCTATTGGCCCTCACTCGCAAAAGTGGAACAAATACTCCTACGGCGCCGTTTCATGACCTATATGAGATTGCACCGTACATTTGCCCTTTTACCGCCAAGTCCTTGTCCGACCCGCATTACGCTCCGAAAGTCCTCTCACCTCCTCGGCCCCAAATTCCTGCAGGTCAATCGCACCTCTTTGTAGTCCTCGTTAGTTTCTCGTGTTTTGTGTTTGGTTGCTGAGAAAATAGATGAAGAGAAAGAAAAATGTGGTCTTTCGTTTGCGTTTTTTTTTTTTAATCAGATAGCGTGGTCAATAGACGTTACTACATTCCGTGTGGAGGATTTTAAGAGGAATTCGAGTAGTTGGCGGCTTTTGGAACTTGGGCTCGGAGACGGCCGTGGTGAGGTAGCAGCTGAGGAGTATTCTCATATCCCGGCAACCGCAGACGACGTCGTTCTTGGAACTAAGGTATTTTCTGGTGTAGATTAAACTCGCCCACTACATTTACAATGAATTTGGAAATTTTAGGTCCAAACTGTTTGTCACGAAATTGATTATTTGATTGGTGGTGTTTTGGTATTAAGAGGACGAACAGATTCGTGCTCTAGATCAGGGCAAAAGCTTGCCGTCAGAAATTGAGAAGGGAGAGTTGTAGGGTGTATTCAATTGAGAATTTGAGAGATTTTAATGGATTTATAAATTCATAGATTTTTATGGAGTATAATTGATTTGTAGGAATTTAATATAAAATTTTGATTCAATTTCCTAGAAATCTCATGGGGAGAGGTGAGATTTATGAATGCTTAAAATACATTGCGAAATCTTTACAATTCCCTCTAATTCCTCAACTTTCTCACGAAATTTCACAAAATCTCATGAAATTTTTATTTTTTTTATTTTTTATTTTATTTAACTGGATAGTGTTTAAAGAAGGACACAACATGTAGCAAATGCGTTTTGTAAGGGCCAAAGAAACCGAACGTGGGCTGGGGTGGGGTTTGCTATGGGTTTTCAGGTAAGGGATGTAATAAGCACTCATAAAGTGGGAACAGTCGAAGTTGACCGTTTTCAGACCAGGTGGCAGTTGTAGTAGTAGTGTAGTTTTTGAATTTTTGGTTTTCATTTTGTTAGTTTGTTCGATTAATGGTGAAGAAGACATGAATTGCATGTGTGTAAATATAGCATATTGTATATATACTTAAAACTTTTGGCATATTTTATATGGTTTTAAAACTTGCAGCATCGCACGGGCACCTTCGCTAGTAGAAACTAAAACAGTAAAACTGTAGAAGTAGCTTATGAACACATCAGTCATAGTGAAAGGGAAGTGGAGAAGATTTCCGAGATATTCTATTGAGCAAAACCGTCGTTGATGAGCTTTTTAATCTTAACAGGAACAACTTTACGATCTTACAAACAACTTCCGTCGATAGTTTTGGAGAATCCGACAGAAGACTATTTTCTGATTGCGCAAATAGTTCATCGACTGCAAAGGTACTAGAAAGGGTAGCAGTTCTTCTACTAAAACGTACGGTCAGTAGTCTGCTAACATGTTAGGGCAAGTCAAATTTAATAAAAAGGTATTAGAAACTATTACCTGGCTATCCTTGATTTTCTAACCTTAAAAGTAAATTCCTGGAATATGTGGTGGAAGCATGGCAAGTATTTGTGCGAATTCTGAGTAGTATTTGTCAAATATAGGGATGAATGTCTTGTATTGATTGTTGTAATGTTGAAATGTTTCTAGATTCAATATATCTTCAAAATTCAAAACAGCTACTTATCGAAAAAATCATACGAATATGAAAGAAGTATGAAATATGTACTTGCCTTCGTCATCAAATTGGGAAAGAGAAAAACAAAAGGGGTGTTTGACTCAGATATGTGATGATGAGCGTGATGATGATGATGCATCACCACCTTGATTGTGCTTCACCATAGAAACGAGCTGGATGTGGGTCAAAAACATAACTAGCACGATCCAAATCATGCATATTTTCCTTCATAGACTTGTCCCATACTAGTTTAACCCCTGTTTTCTTCAATGACCTGGAATATTTAGATTCTGCAAAAATTATACCAACTTCGACTTTATCCCCGCCTTGCAATTTGAGCTTATTGTTCGATAATTGCCCCTGCCAAAGATAATTTTGTTCATCTTTTAGCTGCTTCACCCAATCTTCTCTGCTTATGTTGGCTTGCAACTTAGTACGCTGAGTATTATTTATAACAGTAATAGCAAGAGGAAGAGGACGATCAATTCTCTTCCCTGAGCTGTACAAGCAGAACAGAGTCAACCCTTCAAATTTACGACCATCATTGGGGGGAATAACAAGGTTGACTTTATTGCCATCGTTGACAAACTCAAACCAATCAGGAACATAATTCCCATGGAGGAAAATGCCACCAAATCCGCAGGAAGTCCATCCCTATATATACAATGCAAGTGTCATATATATATAGACACACACACGCACACACATACACACACACACGCGCGCGCGCGCACACACACACACACACACATACTTGTGCGTTTGTGTGTGCATGCGCATGATAGGAAGGCAATGAGAGAGAGAGGATACCTGTAGGATGTTCTTTCTAAAATCAGCTGTGAGATTGGTGCACATTCGCATATCAATCTGTGTCATGGAGTTTAATGACTTGTCCAAGCCTGGAACCTCAATGAGTTTGGGTGAACAAATTAAAACCAGTTCTCTCATATTTGACATATCCGAAAAACTGGGCATTGTTTCCAATGCAGGGCAATCATAGGCATACATAAATTTCAAATTTGCTGGTAAGTCAGGGATTTTATGAAGGTTAAAGCATTTGTCTAACCGCAGAGTTTCAAGCTTTGAAAAACCGCTGAGGTTGGGTAGGGAATGAAAATTATTCTCTGAAAGATCCAAAACTTGTAAAGAAATTAGACTCCCAAGATCATTAGGGATTGCATCATCATCTAAATTGCACCATGAGAGATTTAAACGAGTGAGATTCTTCAATCCTACTATGGAAGGTGGTAATTGTCTTATGGCTGTATGCTTTGCTTCAAGTATTCTCAATGATATCATCTCCCCTAAATCCTCATGCACTTCTCTGAAACTTGTACACCAATTAAGAAGAAGAGTCTCAACAGATTTTGACTTATAGAAATCCCTTGGAAGAGAAATGAGCTCGTAACATCCGCTAAGGTTCACCAAAGAAAGTCTTTTAAGATGACCAATGGATGGGTGAATCTCGGACAATCTCTTACAGCCTACCAATATCAACTCTTCAAGATTTGGGACTTGTGAAAAGTCTGGTGATTTTTTTAAGTAAGGGGAATAAGTGAGATCAATAATTTTCAACTTTTGAAGCCGCTGTTGCACAAAGCCAAAGGAAAATTGAAATTAATATCTAAAAAAAATGTTATAAAAAAAGAAGGAAATCTAGAAACAAATAAAAACAGAACATCACCATGTAATTGATTGTACCTTGGAACCCTTCCAAACCTGTACCAGATTGCTATACCGCATCTCTAAAACAACTAGTCTTGGTTGATTAAAAAAGTCATCTGGTATGGACTTCAAAGGGCATCCTTTCCAACACAACCATATTAACTCTTTGGAAAGATGTTTGTATTCTCCATTCAGCTCTACGTGGCTGAGCTGGAGGAGTCTCAGTTTCTTCATATTGGCAAATGCTTTTGTACTGAAACTAGGCCTGTTAAAGATTCGAGGATAAGGAAGAGGGAAATTTAGAGCAATTCCTTCAACTTCTTCAGTTCCCTGTTAACAAAAGGTTATATTCGTGTGTAAGAAATGGATTATTTGCACATGTTTTCATGTACTATTATTCATTAGGCAAAATCACCTAAGGTGAACATATTTACACATACGTGGGTTATATATATGTTTTCAAGTACGATGCACTAATGCAAAATTTTATTAGGAATGTACTTACCGATTTATTTCTCAAGACATCGGCGACTTCTCGACGGTTCCATAATCTACTCCATTTTCCAGGTTGACCGAGAGATTTTTCAGAAATGATTACTTTGGCCATTTCTCGAAGCAAATCATGCACATTCAACTTGTTGCCTTCAACATTTACAAGACATCGTTCAAAGAGGACAGCGATTCCTATTGGTGCAAAAAATCCACATCCATCTAATACTTTTGTGACATAGTCCTTGTCCTTTCCAATAAAGAAACAAGATATGTCAAGGAATATAGCCTTTTGTGAAGAATCTAGCCCTTCAAAGCTTATTCTGAGTCGATTTACAATGTTTCTAAGTGGATATCTTTCCAATTTCCCCAATTGACTTTCCCACTCTGCCAACGTTCTTTTAATCAAAAGAGATCCTAAAAATTCAAGTGCTAGTGGCAAACCTCCACAGTAATAAACAACTTTTTCTGAGAGTTCAAGATATCCTTGATTAGGACAACTATTTTTAAAGGCATGCCAACTGAATAGCTCAAGAGCTTCTTCTTCATTCATTTTCTTAGCCTCACATGCTTTGTCCACATTTAGTAGTACACGTCTATCTCGTGTTGTTATGATAATTCTACTTCCTGGACCAAACCAATCATGATTTCCAACTATTGCATCCAGTTGTTCCTCTTTATCTATGTTGTCCACAATGACAAGTATCTTTCTATGTCGAAATCGTTCTTTTATTAGACCGATACCTTCATCAACACAGCTTATTTCAGGCTTCTTTTTCAAGATGTCAGAAATAAGTTTTTTTTGCAAATCAACCAGATCATGTTGACTTGTAGCATCGCGAACGTCGGCAAGGAAACTTTTGAATTCAAACTTAGGATGAATTTGGTTATAAATGGCTTTGGCAGCTGTTGTTTTACCCAATCCACCCATCCCCCAAATTCCAACCATGAGAACATCATTTGATCCACCACTTGAAACATAAGTGATAATATCTTGAATGCGAGAATCGATTCCAACAGGGTGCTTGGCCACATGTAATTTGTTTGTGCTGGTGAGCCATTCACAAATATTCTCGTCAACAATTTTTCTAATGAACTCTGCTTCACGCCTAAAAATTCAATTTGTAAGCATTAGTGGGGCTCAACGAAGGCTTGGTAGGAGATATCAGTGCATAAACAATTTTCTTTCTTTCCTTCGTATATATAAACTAACAAGCAACTAGCTAGTATGTGATTTTGTGACGAACTTGAATGAAAGAAAGAAAATCATTCATCGCTCCAATTACGGTTTAGGTTTTATATGAGGGGCTAAGGTGTATTCATTAAGCCTGTGAATTAATGTTGAGTTTGTAAAATGTTAATTAAGCATGTTAATTATATGAGAGATTAAAGTGATATACTAAAATGTTCCAAATCTTCAAAAGCATGTGAATGATTACCCGTTGTTAGTTGTTTGGTTGTCAGACAAATTTGCAGCTTCTGTAAGAGCCTCCCTCCGCCTCTTCCTGACATATGAAGGTTCAACGTGAGAGATTTCAGTTATATTTTTTTTGTCATAGAGATTAAGCTATATTAAGCATGTTAATTAGAGTAATACAACTTAAATCTTGAAAATCAGCTGAATGTTGACCTATAGTTAATGATTTTAAGAGGGTGGCCAGACAAATTTGCAGCTTTTGTGAGAGCCTCTCTCCATTGCTTTACCCTTTCTTGTTTAGCTTCACGTTTCTTGTCATCTTTTTCTTCACGGATGGCCTTTTCGTGCTTCTGAAATGCTTCGGCTAAATCACCGTCCTGCTTCCTGACGTGCGAAGGATCAACGTGATAGAATATTGGCAAAACATGTCGCCCCAGTTTGTCTCTGCACTCCATGATGTTCACCAGCTCGTCAAGACACCAACTCGAATCCGCATACGTCTTTGAGAAGACAATGACAGAGATTCTCGACGCTTTGATTGCCCGAAACAGTTCCTCTTTTATTTCTTCCCCTCTTTTTAGATCGTCCTCATCAATAAAGACCTCGTATCCTCTGTCTTTCAATGTCGCGTGGAGGTGGCTCGTGAAGCCATTGCGCGTGTCTTCGCCGCTGAAGCTCAAGAACACATCGTACTTCCAAAGTTTTGACTTGGAGTAGGATGAAGAGGAGGCAGCTGTCATGGCGGTATCCACCATTATGGCCCTGCAGTCGTCGTATTTGTGTTGCCGAAGGATGATACTGAAATAGCTAAACACAAGTCAAGATCCTTCAGTCAACAAAAACAAAGGTTTATAATATAGGGGCATTTAGATCCAGGTCCAAAAAAATCAGCTACGTTTGGATTGAGTCTAGTTAGATATTCTTCCCAGTTTAGGTCTAGTTGATCTCATCTTATTCCCGTTTTGCCCTTTATAGTAAAAATAAATATATATTTAAATTTCCTAATTTATGCATTATTTACTCAAATATGAATTTCAAAATTTGAATCTTCAAATTCCTCAGTCTAGCCACAATTTAAGGAAAAAAAATTTAAAAGTAAGTTCATGTGTATGACTATAAACCCACGACTTAAGTTGAAATGAATGATATATATAAAACATATGAAAAAACCTATGAACAAAAACCTGCGATATAGGTAGACTATGAACAAAAACCTGTGATATAGGTAGACTATGAACAAAAATCTGTAATATAAGCAATGAACAAAAACCTATGGTATAGGTAGATAAATATTTTTAATTTGAATTAGAATATCAAGAACTAATGTGTGTGTGCACTATTAATCCATGGTATAAGGTAGATAGAACAAGATAACCTATGATACAGGTAGAAAAACACAATTAACTTGAGACAAATTATCAATAATGTGTGATAGGTAGATAATACAATTTATCCATGACACATGTAGTATAAAACACACATAGGTTGATTAGAAAAAAAGATGTGATATATATACCAAGAAGATCCATAGAAAATGATGAATAAAAAGATGATGCTGAGGGAGTAAAACACGAAGAGGTATAGAATAGAAAAAAAAAAAAAAGAACAGAGAAACATGAAAAAAAAAAAAAAAGAATTAAAGCATATACAAGATTGGCTAAATTCTACAAATCAAACCAACAATAGAAATTTGAGTTGGACATCTTTGATCATCTACGCTTGGGAGCAGGGAGGAGGGAAAAAAAGAAGATATCATGAGGCATGAGAAGGAGACATCGTGATTCGTGAGGGAGAAAGAGAAGGAAGAATAGGAAACGTTTTAAAGAGAATTAAATTCCTATACTTAATCCGATCATTAAGCATAAGATAATCCTATGAATAAGGATTAAAAATCATCATAAATATAAAAAAATTAATAATATATTAATTACTTAATTAGTCAATTTAGGGATAAATTTGGCAAAAGAACAAAAATAAGCTGATGTGTACAATGAGCCATTGGACCTAAGTCAATAATTAAGCAAAATTGGACTATACCTCACAAAGGCTCACAAAATTGGACTCATATCAAATTTTCTCTTAAAAAATTTAAGAGCGTCCAGCACCCGTGATAAATAGAAGGTCTTTTGCACGCACGTATGTGCATGTAGAAAGGCTAGTTAATAGTAAATTACAGTTTGACACATGTATAAAAGTTATTTATTAAATTATAAAAATATATATTTTTTTGCACGTGTCAAACAATAATTTGTCTACAACTGTGAGTGAGAACAACTTAGGTAAGGAGCCAAGTATTTTCGTATATTCATTATCTCATTATAATTAGGCTTAATTGGATTAATATTCCCTATGATGATAGGGTAGTTGGATGATAGCCCATGTGGTATTAAAAAAAAAAAAAAGAACTAGGATTTAAGCCCTTGGGCATAAATCCTAATAGACTTCACCACAAGGGCTTAAGTTCTAGTTTTTTTTACCACATGAACTATCTTCCAACTACCCTATCACCACGGGGACTAATTATCAAATTAGGCCTTATAATCATTATGATCATATAATTTCAAGACCACAAACGTGCATAATTTATTATATCACTGAGTAGTATATACGTCAAGGAAATTAATTAGTGATGAAACAAATTTAGTTTCTATATATGGCTAGGAGGTGAGGTGATTAATTCAAACGACGAGTCCACGACTTGCTATCAGCTAGGCTACTAGCAGTTGATCATATTCAACAGGGAAAGTAGAACTATAGAACGGACCAGATCGATCTTCATGTAGAAATATTGCAGGTAGAGAAAGTAGGGTTAGAGTGATATTGTAATAAAGATGCATGTCAAATATGATTGACAAAAGAGATGCCCTTTTTTCTTAGAAATTTCAAGGAGGCATATGGGGGGTTAGACCATATAATACACCCAAATGCACCAATTTTTAGGCTACACTGCTAAAAACTATTGCAAAATGCGCATTAGGATTAAGACTGCTAAAAACTATTGTGAAATGAACCATATAATGGATGCCGTATATGCATATTATATAAACAATGTTTTGAGAGGACAAGGGAGCTAACAGTGTCTTTTTATACGACTTGGACTTGGACTTCTGGCTGCAAATTGCATGCAATGACTTTCTTGGCAGTGATTAGCTAGTACACCGGATTCTGCAGAATTTCACCGTATTTCTGGGTAATTTTTCAAATCGTTGTATCTTCTTCAATTCTTCACCAAATTTTACGATATACCAAAATGAAGCTAGAGAAGGGTCGAACATGTTTTTACCTGTTTGGAGTTCATAAGATGGGTGGAAACGGTCTGAAATTGACGGGAAAATCTCGGCTCCAACCGGAGTTCATGGAATCGCGTCTGTTCACAGATTTTCAGAAAACAACTGCTATATTCATTTTTTTTTTGGGACGAAAGGAATCTTTTGATTGTGCTTTGGTGTTCAAATCGTCAAAGTTTGGAGGCGCTGATGGTTATGGTTTCACGAGAAAGAAGAGGCGTGAGAGATGAGAGATAGCTGGGCCGGCCCAGAGGTAGCCCAAGTAGGCGCCCGTCTAGGCCCCACTTTGAAGGGACTTCCAAAATTTTTTTTATATCCTATAAATAATATATAAATACGAAAAAAAAGGAAGAGATATTATAATTCATTTATTGGTGCAATGGAAATGTTTGGCTTTCTTTTTCTTTGGAGTGTTGAGTTCAAAACATAGAGATGTCTTTTTTAGTCACTAAATTTTTCTTGTTTTTCAAATTTACTGCCAATCCATCTGTCCAACTCATAATCCATCAGTCCAAATGCATATAAAGTTATAAAACTCAAGTCCCCTTGCAATCTTTTTTTCTTTCAACTTCCCAATCTCCTCATTTCTATTGAATTTTTAAACTAACTATCATCACATGGTAGTTATAAAGTTACTGCCAATCTCCTCATTTCAAATTTACTGCCAATCCATCTGTCCAACTCATAATCCATCAATCCAAATGCATATAAAATTATAAAATTCAAGTCCCCTTGCAATCTTTTTTTCTTTCAACTTCCCAATCTCCTCATTTCTATTGAATTTTTAAACCAACTATCATCACATGGTCTTGAAGATTGTACTTAAAGGTAATCAAAACTTTGAATTTATATTTTTCTTTTCAATAATTTTTTATTCAATGGATTGTTTTGGTATTCGATTCGTTAGTGTGATATTGATTTTATGAAAAAAACACAAAAGAAACAATTGACGTTGTTGAATTTATTATACTCATCAATCAAGTTTTATTATTCTTTACTCCCTTGATCATCAAGTTTTATTGTTCTTCACTCTCAATCTTAGATTTTTTACTACAAACATTTAGTACATTTGAGTCTAAAAACATGAGTCATTTAATGTTTAAGTAATGTTTGCATATTTATCTTCTTTTTATATTAATTTTTAATGATATTGGATGTGGGAATAGAATATTTATGTATTTAACGAATTCTTTTTTATACATATCAATCTACAAAGAACCGGAAATCAGAGAATATTAGGACCCCATTTTGAAAACTCGCCTAGGACACCCAAATTCTCAGGACCGGCCCTGGAGATATGGAGAGAGAGATGTGAGGAAAAAAAGGAGGAGACGAAGTTTCATAAAATTTTCGTTCTAGTTCTGAATTACATTCTGCTTGCACCCACGCGTTTATATCGATATGTACTATCCAACCATGCAAAGAAATGTGGCAAAATATGGGTCACTTAGTATTACGATCTAGTGGTATTTCTCCTCACTTATAAGTGAGAAGTCTTAGGTTTGATTCTCGCTAAAGACAAATTTGAACACATTATTGCTAACACATTGTGAGGCTAAGCCCACCCCCTCCCCTTTAGTGTAGATAATATCGTTAGTTATAAAAAAAAAAAAAAAAAAAGAGATTCTCATCCCTATTTTTCCTACTCCATTAATTAAAACCTTATTTCTTTTCAATTTTTTTTATTAAGGTCCTTAGATTTTAATAAACATCATTAATTATTTCGATAATGAAATATTTTTTATTTCTAAATATATTCATTTAGTGTAGAAACGTCACATTTGGTATATTTATATTTATGGTTAAATTTTTTAATCATATATTTTTATTTTTAGTTTGTACCCATTTTTAACTTACAACCCTTTTTTTAATTTGTACCAATATTCTCTTTAGTTTTAATTTGTACCCATATATTAATTCCTTTTTGTGCCCATACTTTTTAAACTTTTATTCGTATTTGTACCCATTTTTAATTTTGCTAAATATACTCATGCTAATTATATGTATTTATTTTATGTTTTAAAATATATCAATAGTTTTTTTTTTTAAATATGTCAATAACTATGTGGGTACATTATTTTTTTGCTATAATTTTTGTGAAGAACAATATTACTCTAAAATTGATTTTTAAGTATTTATTATTTTAAAAATATTATTTGAATTTGTTTAAATTTCATAATTGGTTGGACGTTAAATGCATAAATTCATGTGTTAAATATCTTAAATGAGGTTAAGGACCTCGATTAAAATATTTAAACAAACAAGGTTTTAGTCTAACAATTAGGTTAATTAGGGACCGGTACCAAAATGACCAAAAAAAAAAAAAGGGCTCATTTAATACGTCCAAGTAAAACTCCTCGCAGCCCAACATGAACATTTTCATCCTTTTACAAATTCGTAAAAAAATTTCTATACCGAAAATAAAAACACGTTGTACTACGAAATACAAAACTTAAATAGTGAAATCCGGAAACGGGAATTCATAGTATTCATGTTTTGGTACCATATTTTTTAGTTAATTTTGATGAACTCACCATATATATATATATATTGGAAAGTATAATTTAGTTTTTAATATATTTAATCCCACAAATTATTAATTTTATTTAAAATCAATTAATATAAACAAATACAAAAATAATTTTTAAGTCAAATATATAATAACCTACATAGAAATACATTATTATGTTTTTTTTTAACAAACAATATTATCTACCTTAATGTGATAGGGGAATAAGCTAAGCCTCACAATGAGCTAGTAATAATGTGGTTTAAATTCACTTTTGGCGAAAATATAACTTAAAACCTCTCATTTACAAGTGAAAAGGAATCCCATTAGACAATAATATTAAGTAGTGAAATACATTATTACGTTAATGTTAGGGACTTCGATCAAAACTAAAGACCAATACATTTCAGTCAAATAATATTGATAATTAGACACCGCATATTGTTTTCATTTTTCAAAGTTGATTGTAAAACGTTATAAGATGAGAGCTTATATTAGCCATCATTAGCTAGTAAACGTTACTATACCAACAAGCCACCAAATTCGATGTGCTATATTATAAAAGGGTGAAGTGCCGATTTAGTCTTTGAACTATCACCTTAGTAAAAATTAGGTTCTTAAATTATTTTTGCAGTAAAATAAGTTCCTAAATTCATTACAAATTGCTAAATTCATTAGAAATTACTAATTTCATCTCTACAATTATATTCAAAACTATTTTAATTATCCAATTTTTTGTCAACTTAAGTCATTTGACACACGTTAGAGTGTAATACCATCATTTTTTTCGTCTATAAGCCCATAACATTTCATATAGGTTGTGGATTTAATGTCTAATTTACCCTCAAAAGTTAACTTACACTATTATTTTATGAAAAACTACCAATTTATCCTCCAAACTCAACTCCATACACTATTTATTTATGAAAAACTACCAATATACTCTTCAATGTGTATCATATGCAAGTAACGTGACTTAAATTGAAGGAAAATTGAATATAAAAGCTTCGAATATAATATTAGGGATGTAATTGGCAGATTTTTATAATTCAGGGACTGATTTTTTTGAAAGAAAATAGTTTAGGGACCTAATTTTCACTAATATGATAATTCAAGAACTAAATTGGCAATTTATCCTATTATAAATAAAACTGACTTCTTATTAAAAAACACTTTACCAAAAGCACTTTAGAAACCATTTCTGTTTGCCACTTTTGTTCTTTAGAAACCATTTTAGCATACAAGCACTTTACTAAGAGCACGTCAAAATTTTGAGTATATTCTATTCTTTAAAAGCACTTTTATCCTTGTCATATAGTATTACGATCTAATGATATTCCTCTTCATTTGTAAGTGAGAGATTTTAGGTTTGATTATCTTCAAAGGTAAATTTGAATCACAGTATTGCTAGTCCATTGTGAGGCTTAGCCTACTCTATCTCTTTAGTATAGATAATATCGTTTGTTTCAAAAAAGCACTTCTATCCTTTAAAAACACTTAGGCTAAATAGCCAAAATGGTACCTGAGATTTGCATAACACATCACTTTGGTTCCTGAGATTGAAAATCAATAGAAATGGTCCTTGAGATTGTCCACTATCCATCATTTTGGTCATTATGTTAAAAACTTAGTTAAGTGTCCCAAAGCTCATGGCCTGAAGTTTGGGCAATTTTCAAAACTTCACAACTCAATCATTTCTTAACCAAATTCGACCCATGATATATCAAAATGAAGATAGGAAAGTGTATAATAAGATTATACCTATTTGGAAGCCTAATGGTTGCTGGAGATGGCTGTAAAATAACCTCAAAGTGGACTTGTCCGTGGAAAAATTGGAAAACTCGTCGGAAACTGGGTAAACTTTAAACGTTTATAACTTCTTCAATACTCAATGAAATCGAGTGATTCAAAAATAAAAATCATACTTCTCGATGAGACGAAGAGAATGGTACATCTTCTTGATGGCTAATTCGCCGTGGTTTGGCCAGAAAATGGATTGGAAGTTGTTAACTCATTTTCGAGTTAGCCACTTTTGAATCGTTTTCCGGCCAAACCACAATGAGTTAGCTGTAGAAAATGAGTTAACAACTTTCGAGCCGTTTTTCGGCCAAACCACGGCGAATTAGCCATCAAGAAAGGTACCATTCTCTTCGTCTTTTCAAGAAGTATTACTCGATTTCATTGAGTATTGAAGAAGTTATGAATGTTTAAAGTTTACCCAGTTTCCGGCGAGTTTTCCAGTTTTCCCGCGGACCAGTCAACTTTAAGGCTATTTTCCGGCCATCTCCAGCAACCATTGGGCTTCCAAATAGGTATAATCTTATTTTACACTTTTCTATCTTCATTTTGATATATTATAGGTCGAATTTGGTTAAGAAACGATTGAATTACAAAGTTTTGAAAATTGCCCAAACTTCAGGCCAAGAGCTTCGGGACACTTAATTGAGTTTTTAACGGAATAACCAAAATGATGGATGGTGGACAATCTCAGGGACCATTTTTATTGATTTTCAATTTCAGGGATTAAAGTGATGTGTTATGCAAATCTCAAGAACTATTTTGGTTATTTAGCCAAACACTTATAATTTTTTTTTACTAACGTCATCATAAACACTTAAAAAAGTTGTCTGGAAGCACCTTTAATAACTCTAAAACACTTCAATAAATTATTCGTCAAACTAGGAGAAAATGACAGATTAAAAGTTTTAAAATCATTCGTTTGGGATTAGGAAGAAAAGGTTTTAAAATCGTGAAACTT